TCTGTAGTTCTGTCTTTTTATTACTGCATAATACTCCATTGCGAAGCTACACCATATTACAGTTATCCATTTACCTGTTGACTATTTCATATTTTAGGCTACTATGACTGAAATTGCTACATACATTTGTGTATAAATGTTATGTTTTCATTTCTTTTGGTTTACTACACTAGGGATGGAATGCCAGGGTAGTATGAGAGGTGTATAATTAGCATATTAAACCACCAAATAATTTTTCCAAGTGGCCATACCATTTCACATTCCAAAGAGCAGTGGTGAGAGTTCTAATCAATCCTTGGTAATTTTCTTTTCATTTATTTTATTTCATTTCATTTATTCCCTTACCATGCCTGTGATCTCTCCCATCTGGCTGTTTATTCTTATCCTTTAATATCCGTTGTAATAAGTTAGGTGACCTAGTGTGTAAATGGGTTTCCTGAGGTCTGTGTGCTATTCTAACAGAGTAATCAAACCCAAGGATGGAGTCCTGGGAACCTGTGGTTTATAGCTAGTCAGTAGCACAGCTATAATCTGGGCTTGGGAATGGCACCTGAAGTCTGAGGAAGGTGTTGTGGGATCTCTGATCTAGTCAGTTGGTCAGGAGCGCAGACCTGCGTGGGGCTTGTGGCTGGCCTCTGGAGTGAAGACTGAGCCCTTAACTTGTGGAACCTGGCTCAGTCTCTAGGTAGGTGTCAGAATTGAGTTGAATTCTCGCACACCTCCTGGTTGCTGCTATGTGTGGGAAAGCCCCAGTTCTCACGCTCACTTTGAAAACTGGGCTCCAGGACACACCAACACAACATACCATATAATTACCATTTCTTTTTTGTGGGGAGACAGATGTTGGTTTAAATAAACTGAGGCAAGCAAAAGCAAATTAAAAAATCAGGACTGAGGGTTGGAAGCTGGGAACGGCCTCCAGATGGCTCTGGGAAAGCTGCATGATATCTGACCTTCTCAATGAGGATTTTATACATTCTGTGAGGAAAACATTTTCAGAAATTTTACAGAGAAAGTCCAGGCAATGGGCCTCTCTGGTGCCGCAAGGGGTTAAATGTCAACACTATGAAGCTATCTGCAGCCACTGCAGCATGAGTTCGATCCCCGGCCAGGTGAATTCCACTAAACATTTAAAGAATTAATGTCAGGGGCCTCCCTGGTGGCGCAAGGGGTTAAAGCACTGCACTTTGAATCAATCTGCAACCTTGGCAGCATGAGTTTGATCCCCATCCGACCAGGGAGCAACCCACGTAGCGCGGCAGACCTCTCCTGTCTCGCCCACTGCTCCCCTCATCAGTGTATTTCATCAGTCTGCCTGTTCTGTTCCCTGCTCTGTCTGTGGTGAATCCTCTCACCCTCTGCATCTCTGGCTTGCATCCCAGCTTTAAAAAAAAAAAAAAAAAAAAAAAAAGAGTCCTTCTCAAGTCCTTCTCAAGCTTATCCCAAAAATTGAAGTGGAAGAAACACACTCCTGAACTCATTTTTTAAGCCAGTTACCTTGATGCTAAGGCCAGATAAGGATACTACAAGAAAATAAAACTGTTACCTGTTTCGCTTTGAATATAGATGCAAAAATCCTCAACAAAATTTTAGCAAATGGAATTCAACAACACATTAAAGGATTGTTTACCATGATGAAGTGGGGGATTTATCCCTTGGATGCCAAGAGTGGCTAAACATACTCAAATCAATTAATGTGATATACCACATTAGTAGAATGAAGATAAAAATCAGATGATCATCTCAATAGATGCAGAAAAATCACTAGACAAAATGCAACTTTCTTTCATGATAGAAACACTTCACACATTGTGTGTAGAAGAAATGTACCTCAACTTAAAGAAAGCCATATACTCTTTTTTTTTTTTTTAAAGATTATTTATTCGTTCATTTATTTGTTTGTTTATTTATTTATACAAGCACTGGGTACAGTCAGAAGAGCGGGAGGGTGAGAGAATTCACCAGAGCCAGAGCGGGGAGCAGAGCAGGCAGAAGGACCAAAGTACACTGCTGAGGGGAGCAGCGGGCGGCAGGAGAGGTCTGCGCGCCATGTGGGACCCTCCTCCAGTGGCCGGGGAGCAGCCGGGGATCGAACCGGCGCTGCAGAGGCTGCGGGCAGCTTCGCAACCCAGCGCTCAACCGCTGCGCCACCGGGGAGGCCCGAAAGCCATATACTCTTACAAAAAAAAAAAGAGCCCCCATATTATCACATTTCTAGATAAATGAAGTTTTGGTTCTGTTTTTAAAAATTCTGTCCTGGTATTTTCAAGCTTTTTAATCCCTCTCTTAGCACTGTGTTCTCTTTGGTAAGGAATATAGTTTATAAAATACCAGACCTATATTAATGATGAAGAGACTACTTCCCCACATGGGCTGATGTGATGTAACCAGTAGAGCAGACCTAGGCACAGACACTGATGATATTTTGGCTTTTTCATTTTAAAAATGCCTACTTTGGTTGGTTTAATTCTTTTGAACAAAATAAAATGTCTCAAGTTATTTATTAGCCCTGAAAGTGTGTTTTCTTTAACGTTTTGTAAATTGTGGTAAGACACCTTTGGAAGTGTGACAGCTATAAAATGGAATATTTAAGGAAGCAACAGATAGCCACACTTCTGTGCATGGTGGTAAGTGAGGTATTTATAATTTCAAAAGATGCAAGAAGTGAACCTCTTTGTTTTGGTTTATATACTTCATAGTTTACTAAAGCAGGGACAAGATAGTGGAAGGTAAAACTTCAACTATTCATCCGTCTGCAGACTCCAAGTGTTTAGGTTGTTTTTTAATCAGTGAAATCCTGTGTGAGACTAAAGGCTTCAACTTTGGAAATGTTGGAAATGAACTTGTCAGAGCCTTGGGTTTTTGGAAACAGGTAATTGTTTGCTGTAAAGTAAGCAGTGAAGTCAGCTGACAACAACTTTTGTCATTCTTAGACATAATAAAACCTTCATAGTAATCGTATTTTGACTCTAGTCCTACTCCTGTTCCCTTAAGTCCATGTTTATTCAGACCAGTGTTCTTCAGTGTGGTCTGTGACCAGTGTCAGTCCACAAATTGTTGCTAACTGCTAGAAATGCCAAAGCTGAGCATTTAAAAACTTTAATTTTTTTTCTTGCATCATTGTTCGTTTTTGTATAGTATTTGATTTCTGGGCCTCCCCGGTGGCGCAGCAGTTGAACGCTGGGTTGCGAAGCTGCCCGCAGCCTCTGCAGCACCAGTTCGATCCCCGGCTGCCGGGTGAGGGTCCCACATGGCGCGCAGACCTCTCCTGCCGCCCACTGCCCCCCTCAGCAATGTACTTCATCAGTCTGCCTGCTCTGTTCTCCCCTCTGGCTCTGGTGAATTCTCTCACCCTCCCACGCTTCTGACTGTACCCAGTGCTTGTATAAATAAATAAATAAATCTTAAAAAAAAATTTGATTTCTCCCCACAGGTGTAGTGTCCATAATCTTCCACCACCACATTACCGTGAATGGTCACCGTGTCCACTGTGCTCGGTCCTTGTTTTGACCCTTCTCCCAGCCCCTCCCCTGCTGTAGAGCATTTAAAAATATTGTATGACAGTTTGACATTGTACAAAATTTAAGCTTATTATCATTTTTTATAGTTGTTTTTAATGCATTTTATTGGAGGATGGTTTGGGCAATTCTCACAGATAGTTTACAAAGCACTCCAGATCTTTTTTCCCATTGGAAATTCCAAGCTCTTTGTGTCCATGTGTTCACAGTAGAGACTAGAGGAAAGAATATGAAGATCAGTAAACTCAGTGTGATAACTGGTGAACGAGGTGCTGATTATGTGGATTTGTTGTTGAAATAAATTCTAGCCTTTTACCCAGGCAGAGGAAGAACAAGTGGTACTTCAGGCTGGTTGACTGAAATAACACTGCTGAGGCGAGCAGCGGGCCAGTCAGGAGAGTCTGCTGCCCCATGTGGGCAGCCCCCTGACAGGGAATGGAACTCATGCTGCAGTGGCCGCGGCTAGCTTCATAGGTTGTGTCTTAACCCCTTGCATCATCAGGGAGGCTCATGATGAGTTTTAAATAATCAAAATGAGTTAAGTCATAGCTAAGAGCATGATGAACTTACCATAGGACTTTCTTTGCTTATAAATAATGCAAAGTCTTTTAAAAGTGCTTGTGCATTTCAGCTCAGTTCTTAATAACATTTATGTAAGGTAGAAGTCGAGCCACCAGACATAAAAGTATGGATTAGAACAAACCCCTCTCTTTTAAACCTATGGTTTATACACTTGTGGATACTAATCACAGGGAATGTAGAGTACGTTGTAAAGTAGGTAAATGGGGAGATGATACTCTGTCAAAAATTTTTTCTATTAGAGTTGCTAAGTCACTATGATATGATATAATCTATATTCAGTGTAAACTGAAGTTGGTTGTTAGCATTTCCAGATCAGAAAGAACATCTAGACCTCCTGTATCTGCTCAAGTTTATGCTCCATTATTATGACAAATTATTTTCAGGAAGAGTGTATCCTATGATGTTCTTGTTATCAGCAATACTCTAAGCAACTACCCTTTAAGAATAAAGCCCAAATGTGTGATTCTCCTGATCAAGGACTGAGGTTAAACCTCTAGAACATGATTTTATTAGGTCATTGTTTGAGAAGAAATGAAAGCCCTTTAGTGTTGTGGTTTCTTTTCCTTCATTTTTTTTAGCCATCTTTAACACCTTTTCCATAGATAAAATATACATTTTTCTAGTCCCTGTGTCACTTGTAGCTTACGTGCCAAATCAACTTCAAGTCTTTAATGTTTGTATGTCAACATAATCTCTCATACACTTATATCTTTTAAATGACTTCGACTTTCACTGTGGCCTTTTAAAAAATTTATAATATAGAGTATCTTTGAGTTTTCCCCATGATTGTGGTGCTGTGGATGTGCAGTCATGGGCATCTGTTAGGTTTAATTTGTTATATACCAGAAATGTGTTCATGTTTCTGTGTACATTTAAGTAATTTTTTTTCTTTCTTTCTAGCTGTCCCTTTTCCTCCAACCCAGCGGCTTACTTTGAAAGAAGTATTTGAGAATGGGAAGCCTAAAATTGATGTTTTGAAAAACCATTTGGTGAAGGAAGGGAGACTGGAAGAGGAAGTAGCCTTAAAGATAATCAATGATGGAGCTGCCATCCTGAGACAAGAGAAGACTATGATAGAAGTAGATGCTCCGATCACTGGTATGATAAGTATTCTCATGGTGATGCTTAGATTTGAGCTAATTTGAGAAATGATTACAAGTAACCAAATAAAATGTGTAATTTTTCTCTAGGCATTATGAGACAGTTTTAGGATTATTTAGTCTATTTGTTGTTCATTGAAGAAATACAATGTAAAATATGTGATATTTCCAGTAGGATTATTCAGTATTGTTAGATTGAATACAAAATTATAGAGCAGACCAGTCAAAGGCTAAAATGATTTAAGTTAAAAAAATACATGAACCCTGTTGGTGTAATGTTCTTTCTCTTCTAAGACATAATTTTTATTTTACCCTATGACCTTTTTTCCTAGTATGTGGTGACATTCATGGGCAATTTTTTGACCTGATGAAGTTGTTTGAAGTTGGAGGATCACCTAGTAACACGCGCTACCTCTTCCTGGGTGACTATGTGGACAGAGGTTATTTCAGTATAGAGGTAAAAATTATACTGGATATGTTGGAGCATTCATATTGTCTTTTTTAAAAAACACTTGCTTTCCATTTTTCAATAGAGAAATTAAAATGAGAACTTAGCACACTTTGTTCCTCTCAGTAATTAAAGTAATAAATGTTTTAATTGATATAAAAAATTATTCCTTTTTTTTGGCCAGTGGAAAGTCTGACATACAGAAGATTGTACTAATCCAGCTTTGCAAACAAGTTAAATGTTTACTAACCTTTCCTCTTTGAAGATAGTGTACAGGCTGTATATGAATGACATAAATTGCTATTCACCCTAAATGGGCTTGGGATTAGCTGACCTTAATTATAAGACCATAAGCTGCTGGGCTGCAATTACTCTTAGATCAACTGTCAGTGCTAAATAAGCGGACAATTAGCTTATTGTGGAATAATTTCTCATACTATTGCAAATAGTAAGTGCCTAATAAATGTTCATTGAAGGGAAAATTATTACAGTTAATGAAAACATTTTTATATATTTTGGAAATTGAATAATGAGAGGGAAATGGTTAGAATTAAGTCTAACTTTTATCTCTAAAAGATAAAGCTGTTTTAGAATCTAGTGTAAGTCTTCAGTACAGTGAACCACAGCATTTTCTTATTTTCATGCTTGGTAAATAAATGAGAAGTAACTTTTGAAATGGTTCGAGTAATTGAAATTTATAATGTGCCCTGAATAAGCATGAGATGAGCTGTTGTTATAGTCCTTTGTTCTGCCTTTCCATCAAAACAGAAGAAAATCTCACTGTACTAAATGAGCTCTTGCTGGTTAAAGGTTCTTGTTCATGGAGCATTAGTCCTAAGTGCAAGTCAACTATATCACCTGGTGCTCAACCAAACACGCAACAGTTTTAAAACTGCTGAAAAAATAAGAAAGAGAAATAGATCTTACTTTTCAGTTAGGCAGTCTAAATTCACAAATCAGGAAAGTTCAGTGTTAACTGTGGGTGCCTCAAATTCATTTGGTGTCAGTTAGGAGGGTAAAAGGTAATGATGGAAGCTAAGAAAAATAAGCACAATTCCCCTATTGCTAAGTGAATTTCCAGAGTCTCTAAGGTACCTACCAGGTATCTGGCATGGATAGAGATTATTCTCGCAGACTATATGATTGAAGAGCTTCCCTATTCCTATGTACTCAATAGAGAGGAAGTCAAATGTATGGATGTTGGAAAGACACTCTGAATGTTTGCTTTGTGTGTTTGCTAGCATGAGGTTTTAGAGGGTGAAGAGGAAAAGAATATAGAACTAAGTGAATTATTCATCATTTTATTTAATGAAACAACTTCTTAAAAAGATAAAATATTGTGCCAAATCATCTTTTTTTTTAAAAAAGATTTATTTATTGGGCCTCCCCGGTGGCGCAGCGGTTGAGCGCTGGGTTGTGAAGCTGCCCGCAGCCTCTGCAGCGCCGGTTCGATCCCCGGCTGCTCCCCAGCCACCGGAGGAGGGCCCCACGTGGCGTGCAGACCTCTCCTGCCGCCCGCTGCTCCCCTCAGCAGTGTACTTCGGTCCTTCTGCCTGCTCTGCTCCCCTCTCTGGCTCTGGTGAATTCTCTCACCCTCCCGCGCTTCTGACTGTACCCAGTGCATGTAAAAACAAAACAAACAAACAAATAAAATAAATAAATAAAACATGCCTCTATTAAAAAAAAAATATTAAAAAAAAAAAAAAGATTTATTTATTTATTTATTTATTTATTTATACAAGAACTGGGGTACAGGCCAGATGCGCAGGAGGGTGAGAGAATTCACCAGAGACAGAGCGGGGAACAAACAGGGAGACTGAGTGAAATACATTGCTGAGGGGAGCAGCAGTCGAGACAGGAGAGGTCTGCTGCACCACGGGGGACCCTCGCCAGCTGGCTGGGATCGAACCGGCACAGCAGAGTCTGAGAACAGCTTCACAGCGCTGCGCTCAACCGCCTGCGCCACCAGGGGAGGCCCCCAAATCATCTTTTGATTGTTAGCTCATACTTTAAAAATAGCTTCAGTTCATCAATACATTCAATAAAGCGCACATGCACACACACACAAAGCACACAATGATTTGTACATATTACTATATTCAGAATATTTTGTTATGTATTTTTTCTCTCATCAACAAATATTTCCTGAGTACCACCTTCCGTGGCACTCTGAGAATAGAATAATGAGTAAGATTTATGCTCTGTACAAGAACTGACAATCTAATAGAAAAGGCACATTTTAAAAATAGATCTTTCAGTGTTAGATGAAAGTGCTTTTTCAGCAGTAGTAGTAATTTTCAGCAGTAGTCTTCATATTAGGACCTAGCCCAGCACCTACTATGCTTATTGAATGAATAATACTTATTGAATGAATAATAATTAATAAATTATAAATTGCTTTTGGCTTTATCCTGCTATTTGATGTTTGGCTAACTTAAAGGTTTTTTCTGGAATATCTTAAGATAAATTAATTTATCAAGCCTTTAAATCGACAATGCTATTTTGTACCAGTTTTAAAACTGAATTGTAGGGTATGTCTACTGTTAGTTGGAACTTACTTGTAAACTTCTAAGATTGTAAACTTAGGCTACAACATTGTAAAAATAGGCTACAACATAGTTCATCATGATACATATTGATGCTCAAACAATTTTTTCAACGTCCTTGATAAGCGGAAGTGTGATGTTTTTGTCAAATGGAATCATTAAAATTACTCCAGAAGTGTGTCTAGTGGTATAAGTATTTGTTTATTATTGCTTAGCTTCTCTTTCCTTCTTATTATTAAAATCCCTGTTTTGTTCAGATAAATGGGATGGGGGGGGGGTGGTTTAAGGAAGGCTCTTCTCCCAGCCCTAGGGAATGAATTCTGGTTGGTCAAAACTAGGTATGGCCATCCATTTCCTGTTACCAGTGATTGGTCTAGGGGTCAACATGGGATCCTGTTTTTCCCATTAATATATGAAAGGTACTCTGCTGGTATTTTATTTGGGATGTGTGTGCATATTGAAACATTTTCTTTCTAGATGAAAAGACTCTTGCAAGGTAAAAACTTTTGGGCTCCCATTATTTTTTTTTAAAGATTTATTTTTATTATTTATGCATATAAGAACTGGGGTGTAAACCAGAGATGCCAGGGTGGGGAGGGGATGCTGGTGAGAGGATTTACCAGAGACAGAGTGGGGAGCAGAACAGGTGGATCTACTGAAATACACTGCTGAGGGGAGCCGTGGGGAGACAGGATTGATCTGCTGCACCATGTGGATCAGCTCCCTGCCTGGGGATGGAACTCATGCTGCAGTGGCTGGTGATAGCTTGACAGTGCTGAGACTTTAACCCCTGCGCCACCAGGGAGGCCCAGCAGAATGCTTCTGTTATGAGTTTTGTGATTACACATGCCACGGAGCACAGTCCAGCAGATGCAACTGCAGATGTCCCTAGAGACTGACCAAGGTGAAGTCAGGAGCACAAAGAGGCACAAATAGCCCCCACCAGAAATTGGTGGGGGTGGGTAGTAAGGGAGGGAAATCAATCCATTCAATCATTGAACACTACTAATCAACATTTATTGAATGCCTACTATGAGCCAGACACTGCTAGGCCCCAGGAAGTAAAGCATGAACCCAAAAAACAAATCCCACTCTGCCGTCAGAAGAACCTGGGTTCAGGCAGCTTTCTATGGGAGGGCAATCTGCGAAACAGGAGGGCAAGCTATGCTTTATTCCCATGTGACTTATGGGGAAACTGAGGTCCAGAGGAGCTGAGAAAACTGCCCCAGGTTACCCCATAAGAGGTAGTTTGAGACTAGGTCTTTGTGATCCCAAGGCTGTTTTTAAGACTTTTGATACATATTGCCAAATTGTTTTCATAGGACCATTTCACTTTATTTATTTTCTTTTCCCATATTGTTTCTCTTTCTGTGAGCCTATGTGAGAGAGTGAAGGTGTGATGATTTTTTTTCATGCCTAGAGCACGATTTGATCTTTCCTGCAGTAACGCAAGTTTTGATTAGTACAACAGGGACTAATCCACATGTCACTGATAAAAACAGAATGGTAAAGATTCACTTCTCCTTGAGCTTTTTTTAAAAAAAGATTTATTTATTTATGCATACAAGAGCTGGGGTGTAGGCCAGAGGTGCAGAGGGATGAGAGGATTCACCAGAGACAGAATGGGGAGCAGAACAGGCTGATTGACTGAAATACACTGCTGAGGGGAGCAGCAGGTGAGACAGGAGACGTCTGCTGTGCCATGTGGGTCAGCTGCCTGGCCAGGGATCGAACTCATGCTGCAGTGGCTAACGATAGCCTGGTAGTGCTGAGACTTAACCCCTTGCACCACCAGGGAGGCCCCTGTGTCTTTGGTTTTGTCATGGAGTTCTAAATATTTGGCTAGAACATGAAAATGGAAATTAAGGGGGGATTTCTATGAAGGCTGCTCTTTGCTTGTCAAATTATAGGACAACAGATACCACATTCAAAAATAAAAAATGAGATATGCCATTATGACAGGTCATTTGAATTTATATAAATTGTCTTTATTTGTTATTATGTTCACAAATAAAATATTGTCCTTGTATTTGTCTTGTAGTGTGTGCTATTTTTATGGAGTTTAAAGATTAATCATCCCAAAACATTGTTTCTGCTTCGAGGAAATCATGAATGCAGGCATCTTACAGAATATTTCACCTTCAAACAGGAATGTAAGTATAATCATTTCATCAGACATCTTTTTTTTTTTTTTTAAAGATTTATTTATTTATTTATACAAGCGCTGGGTACAGTCAGAAGCGCGGGAGGGTGAGAGAATTCACCAGAGCCAGAGTGGGGAATAGAACAGGCAGACCCACGAAAGACACTGCTGAGGGGAGCAGCGGGTGCGGCAGGAGAGGTCTGCGCACCATGTGGGTCCAGGGATCAAACTGGCGCTGCAGAGTCTGCGGGCAGCTTCGCAGCCCAGTGCTTAACGCCGCGCCACCAGGGGAGGCCCACTAGGTACCCTTTTTCAGTGAAGTGGTCCTCACAGAAGTGCTTATAGCAGTCCAGAGGTTTTTTGCCTCCCCCACCTCAAGTCATAGCTCAGGAGCAAGGAAACAATATCCACACCCTGGCTTAAAAGGCTCATGCATCACAAGCTCCAATATATCTTGTAAAAATCTTTATTGGCATAGCTTCCAGGATCCCACAGTGATATATCTTTTTTTTTGGTGGGACCCTCCCCGGTGGCTAGGGAATGAACCAGCACTGCAGAGGCTGCGGGCAGCCTTGCAGCCCAGCGCTCAACCCTTGCGCCATCAGGGGAGGCCCCCACAGGGATATATCTTATGAGATATTAACTGGAGAGAGAAGTCCAGTTAATTGGGTAAATTTTACTATAAAGCTATGTTGTCTAATAACACAGCTGACATTCATTCATTAATCCGGTTTCTAGGGCAACAAGAGCTAGAATGTTAATCCAAGATCACATTTGTCCTTAGAGAAGGAGAGAGATTTTAACTTTTTATCCACAAGCTGTCAAAGATATATAAACAAACAAAAAAAAACACACCAAAAAAATAACACCAAAAATATATAAATAGGGGGCCTCCCTGGTGGCGCACGGAGTTAAGATGTAGCACTATGAAGCTCTCTGCAGCCGCTGCAGCCGCTGCAGCCTGGGTTCAATCCCTGGCCAGGGAGGTTGCCCACATGGCACAGCAGACCTCTCTTATCTCGCCCACAGCTCCCCCCAGCAGTGTATTTCAGTCAGTCTGCCTGTTCTGCTCCCCAAACTGTCTCTGGTGAATCCTCTCACCCACTGCATCTCTGGCATGCACCCCAGGCTGTGAAATAACTTCATCAACTTTTGGCTTATATCCTTTTTCATATATGATAAAATTCAGCTTTTCACCCTTTGACTGTTTTTCCTATTTTGATAGGTCGGATAAAATATTCCGAACAGGTGTATGATGCATGTATGGAAACATTTGACTGTCTTCCTCTTGCTGCCCTGTTAAATCAGCAATTTCTATGTGTACATGGAGGGATGTCACCTGAAATTACTTGTTTAGATGATATTAGGAAAGTAAGTTTTCATTATTCTCTTGGAGTGTTTTTTTTATTACAGTTAGTTAATATGTATTTGTTGCTGAATAATGTTAAAATACAATAGTCAAAATTTAAGAAAATGGAAATCATCTGTGATCTTGTCATTGGGAGATTACAACTGTTAACATTTTGTTAGAAGTTTTCTGTAACTTTTAATGAAAACTGTGCTTTACCAACTAAAAATATAACATTGAATTTAGTCTAAAACTTTAAATTATGTATGTAATTCCTGTCTTGCTTTTAGTTAGCTCATCTGTTGAGTCACATATTCTTCTCTGGAAATGAGGTCATTGCAATGGATGGTCTGAGAACTCTTCCCACTGTGAAATTCATTCACTTTGACATTTTAGATGATATAGTTTAGTTGCTGCACTTGCCTAACTTTGGTGATGGTTGTTTCTAGGATTCTGTATGTTCATAATTGAAAAGAGATGATCAGTCAATTTTTACTTACACCTTTATACATTGCTGTCTTCTCTACCTTAGTATTATCTTACTGCTCTCATATAGATACTGAAACCAAGATTTTCAGCTTATAAAACTTTTCTCTGAATTAAAGTTACTCACCTCAGGGAAAGATTGTATTCCTGTATGCAACAGTGCCTTTTCTACTGCCTTATTGTCTTTTAAATAAGCAGTATTTTTCTTTTACATAGTAAATCTTGAATATTCTAATTCTGAGTCAACTGTATTAATAAAAAATCTCTCTTTTGTAGTTGCACAATCAAGAGATTCTCAGAGACCCCAAACTGTTAAGGGACACATTCTAAAAGGATTTGGCCATCCATGAGAACACAAAAGCAAAGAAATCAGACTCTCAGTTTTGAAGTGCTTTAATTGGGCTGTGTTTGTGTGTGTGTGTGTGTGTGTGTGTGAGAGAGAGAGAGAGAGAGAGAGAGAGAGAGAGAGAGAGAGAGAAAGAGAGAGAAACTGAGAGAGAAGAAAGGATTTCAAATAGCCAATTCCCAGTCAGGCTGAAAATTCCCTCTTATGGGCAAATGGCAAGCCAAATAGACCCCAAAAATAGGGTGGAAGCCAAAAAGCTTAGCATAATTTAAGACACCTCCTGGTGGGGAACCAACCACAAGCAAGGGGCTAAGCAGGTCCTAGAGAGCTGGGAAATAGAAGAACCCTGAATTCAAAATGGATCATGTAATCCATGAGGTTAACATCACTGTTGCCATTGTCTTTGTCAAGGACTTCCCAAGTGTCTTCTTCACATGTCTCCCCTCCAAGGGTATCTCCTCCACATGTCTGCACGTCCTCCTTCATTTCATCTCCATTTATATATCCCCAGTGCATCTTCCCAGCTTGTCTGTCTTCTGCATGGCATGCTGGGAGCTGTAGTCCAAGGTGGCTGTGTGAAATGAGAGTGGGGAAAAATGGTGCCTAGTCATTGCACTGCGATGCTCCTTCTTTCACAGAGATGCATTCTGTAACACTCCCACTTAGTAGAAGTCTCTTCTTGGCACTCAGCTGTTCTATTATAGTTACTTGCTTCCTCTGCTTTGACTCCAGCCCCATGTGACTGAAGGCTTCAGTTCAATAACTTATTGAAATGCCTGCGTGGCGTAGAAGGGAAAACATGAAAGCCCTTTACAAAACAACTAGTGTTCTGTAAATAATGATATCTTGGAATAAACTATGAACAGAACTTCTGTAAAACCCTTCCTTCTCTCATGGTTCACGGCTGACCTAGGCGATTGAAATGAACTTTACATAGTTGGGCTACATAATAGTGTTTATTTATTTATAGTGGTTGATTTCTCTTTCTAATTCAATGAGTACCATTTTTAAGATTAGGATGTAAAAGGTCCTTTTTGCATTTGGTTAGACGACTGGGATATTGGTACAAGTTTATTCCAAAAAAAATTAAAACTACCTAAATTTGTTAAATGTTCATTTCTTGCAGGAAAATCCTTTAGGGTGTTAGAGCTTCTCTCCTAATACATTCTTATATTGGGGGAGGGAGTTTTGTTTGCTTGTTTTTGATGCATACCAGTTTCTAAATGCTCTTTTGATTTTGTGATTTTTTTTTCTTCTTTGGACTTTTGCATGTCTTCTAGTTAGACAGGTTTAAAGAACCTCCAGCCTTTGGGCCAGTGTGTGACCTGCTTTGGTCTGATCCCTCAGAGGATTATGGCAGTGAAAAGACCTTTGAGCACTATAGCCACAACACTGTCCGAGGGTGCTCTTATTTTTACAGGTAAGCTAATCCTCACAGTTAAAAAATTAAGAGAGAAACATAATATATTTTAAAGTATCTTGAATATGTGGAGTATAGAGCCTTCTATTTACCGTTAATTAATAGAAGGCAGAAAACTGTTTTATTGTTTATATTTTATTAGGTACTGTTGACTTAAATAAATTGGGTCAAGCAAAATTAAATAAGTTTATTAGAGAATCAAGAGTGAGGATTTGAACCCTGAAAGTTTGACAGATTTTATGCTGAGAAATGTTGGAAAAAACAGACCCAAGTTTGAATTTACTTTATATGGGTAGGAACAATGAGTCATTAAAAATGTAAAGATATGTTGCCATTGTCTGTGGGCAGACTTAGGCAAATGCTGGAGTTTAATCACGCCCTTGATTTCTAAAGAACACATGGTGGAGATGCAAATGCTAGGTACCCATAGTTAAAATCTTTATCTGGCCCCTTGGTCATTAGTGTGGGCTGGTATACCTTCTGGAAGCAGATTCCTGCATAGGCAATGGGTGGAGCTGTTCTGACTTTAAGTCTATAAAGATAACTTTGCTCTCTTGCCTGATAGGGTGGATGGGGAGGGTGGGAGTGGGGGGAGGTTGCCCCGAAAGTTTTATAGTGTGTTCACAGTATTACGCCCTGTAATGCAGCAAACATGAGCAGAACATCTTGCAGTGCTTCAGTGTTGTCTGACTTTAAATAATCTAGATTATGTATGCCAAAAAATCATCAATAGACTTTTTTAAGAAGAAAGACTTCTTGGCTTCTTCCCCAGAGATCCTGAGTCAGTAGATCTGAGACAGGGGAATCCTGTTATTTTTTGAAAAGCTCGCCTGCTTTTAGAACTACTGGCATAAGCAAAGATATAAAAAGAACAGGTTGTTGTGAACTAAGCCCAGGACATTTTCTGGAAGTTAGCTGTTGCCTTAAATCTCACATGTGAGCTCTTATTGTGCTTTGCCACTCAACCATAGGAAGCTATGGGAAAGTTTAAAGTCTAAATTTTATTAATTGTAACATGTTATTTTTTTCAACCCCACACTCTTATTTGTAAAAAGTAAAGCGTGAAAAATTGTATTTAATATACTCTAAAACCTGAAATACCCATGTCCATTCCTCAGATAAGTATGTTAAAATTGCTTAGTATCACAGCACTCTTTAAATTTGATGTTATGTTCAGATGAGTGGAAAAAATTCAGTTATGATACATTTTGTTCACAATACAAAGAAAAACAACATAATTAAAATGCAGAAATGCTCATTTTAAAAAAGCCACACAGGGTATGTTAGTAATACATGGTTCAAGTGAAATACAAAGGAGTTTTCTGTATATTTAACACTCTCATATCCTTATCTCTGCTGTCAACAGATTTGGTTTAATCCTAACACTTCTTTGTGACAAATCATACACTGTTAACTGCCTACGACAGCACATTCACTAAATTAAATCCACATACAAAAAGTAAGAAGCCTTCTCAATTTTGCTGTAGTTTTAACTTTATTTATTTATTTTAAAATATTTTTAATTTATGCATACAAGAACTGGGGTACAGACCAGAGATCTAGAGGTGAGAGGATCCACCAGAGACAGAGCGGGGAACAGAACAGGCAGACTGACTGAAATACATTGCTGAGGGGGAGCAGTGGGTGAGACAGGAGAGCCCTGCCTTGCCATGTGGGTTGCTCCCTGCCCAGCCAGGGATCGAACTTGTGCTGCAGAGGCTACAGATTGCTTCATAGTGTGGTGCTTAACCCCTTGCCAGCCAGGGAGCAACCCACATGGTGCAGCAGACCTCTCCTGTCTCGCCCGCTGCTCCCCTTTACAGTGTATTTCAGTGAGTCTGCCTGTTCTGTTTCCCACTCTATTTCTGGTGAATCCTTTCACCGCACCCCCCTCCTCCCCCACACACATAGCATCTCGGGCCTGTGCCCCAGCTCTTGTATGTATAAATAAATAAAAATCTTTTAAGAAAACCACACACATAAGGTTGTATGTTGATGAGTTGATGGCCTGTGGCTTGCAGGACCTTAACCTTGTACCTGGAACAGTGATTTAGTATATTTGCTAATCTAGTTTTTTTATAGCAACTTTGTAAAACATGGCTACTACAAATAACAAGAAATGACTGTACTTGTAAATGTGTTAAATACATGTATGATGTTATTTGTTGCTATATTATTTATGGTACAACATTTAAAACAGCACTAAATGTTAAATATTGAACACTAGTTATATAAATGAAATAGAATGTAGTGGATAGTGCATTTTTTTAAATGAAGAAAAAGCAAACAAGTCCTAGATATGCTAATATGGAATAATGATTAATGTGTAGTGAATAAAAGTACAGATTACAACAGCAAATAGTACAGAGGTACGTGTATTACCTTTTTTGAAAGGAACATTTTTGAAAGGAAAAGAATGTGCGTGTGTCTATATCATTGCTAGAAACTGAATATAGTACCTTTCAAAGGGTGCTTGGAGAAACCAAAAACATTGGTTGCTTCCAAAGTAGCTGGAAGATAGAGGTTAGAAGAAGGCATCTCACTGTATATCTTTTTTTTTTTTTTTAAGATCTATTTATTTATTTATACAAGCACTGGGGTACAGTCAGAAGTGTGGGAGGGTGAGAGAATTCACCAAGCCAGAGCAGGAAACAGAACAGACAGACTGACGAAGTACACTGCTGAGGGGAGCAGCGGGTGGCAGGAGAGGTCTGTTGCGCCATGTGGGACCCTCGCCGGTGGCTGGGGATCGAACCAGCGCTGCTGAGGCTGCTGCGGGCAGCTTCGCAGCCCAGTGTTCAACCGCTGCGCCACCAGGGGAGGCCCAAAAGTTAATTTTTTCTAATGAGCCTAACAAGAACCAAAGATTAAAACTAAACAATGAACACTTGGATTATTCCAAGTTAATTTTAGATTCTCCAGTTCTTCCCTTTAGATATTTGCCATTCAGAAATAAAATAGTACTAAAATAATATATTAGGAGTAGATGCAAACATCATACTTTTCATTAGAATAAGGTTGGGTATAATTTGCATTTATTTTCAGAATATTTCTGTGTCATATCATCTTGGTGTTGATATCACCAATGAATATAAGTAGGTTGTTTAAATTTTTTTTTAGCAATTTACCAATTTGATTGTGCTCCATTTTCAGTACCTTCCATATACAGATATATGTGCTTTTTTTATATTAAGACACCAAGAAAAGTTATGGTCTTGTTATGGGTTAAGACAAAATTAAAGGTGGAGGAGTTCTGTTTCTGTCTTAGGATTGTCTGTTATTAGAGAATGAGGTAATGAGTGAATGGAAAAATAGAGTAATGATTGCTAAGTTACTAATAAAAGCTCAGTGGTATGCGAAACCTATAATTTTAAAACAAACTCAACTCACATCATCTTGACTTTCCCCCTTCCTCCTATTAAAAAACAATTATTTTAATTCTGAATTTATGTTCTCTAATTTCCCTTTTCAGTTACCCTGCAGTTTGTGAATTTTTGCAGAATAATAATTTGTTATCAATAATCAGAGCCCATGAAGCCCAAGATGCAGGGTAAGTTGTATTTACACTATATTAATGTCACTGTGAAGTTTTTACCTTTAATATTGAGACAGACAGGCTGTCCTCTGTCTTCCAGGTATCGAATGTACAGGAAGAGCCAAACAACCGGCTTTCCATCACTCATCACAATTTTCTCTGCCCCCAATTACCTAGACGTCTATAACAATAAAGGTAAAAGAATTTGTGATATTTGAGTTTGAATGTGTGAATAAATGTGAGCTCTAGTTTAATCATAATTATGTGTTTATATACTTTTTAATGCATAAATTTTAAGTGAGGAGAAAAGGTTTTAATTGAAACAAGAACTAAGAAACTTAAAATCTAGGCTGCTGCTGGGTTTTCATTTCCTGAGGATTATTGGGCTCTTTGTGAGGATAAATAATGATTGTACTAGGTCTGATTTTTACTATTGAATCAAAATATAAGAAGACTAAATTACTTCAGCTCCAAGTTAGAACAATTAACCTAAGTTATTTGTTCTGGTAAATTTTGTTTATAGCAGTACCTCAGTAGAATTCACTGCCTGGTGTTTTAATGTTTGTGCACTCTTAAGCTGCTGTGTTCTTCTTGAGAAACGGTACAGGTAGAATGAATACTGTACAAAAATTTAGAAAAATTTTTATTTTAGTCCAAGCCCTCTGAGAAATTAGTAGTGTGACTTTAGTTAAGTTACATAATCTTTTAAACCTCAGTTTTCAATCCAGAAATGCTATTTCTAAGACTTTATCCTATTAAAGTCTTTTTTTTTATTTAATTTTTAAGATTTTAGTTCATGAGTTTTGTGTCAGGACAGTGGCTCACCTAAGAATTTCTTGCCTCTGTAAGTCTTCTGTTGTTAATGAAGTTAGATTATAAAATAGTAGAACTTTTAAATAAACACACGAGAGCATATATATCAGTGAGTTCTGCCCCTTCAAAGTAGCTACTTTGGGAGCTCTACACTTACTCCAACAATGCTGCCATTGTTCAAAAACAGTTTTGGAACTCCTCTTTTGGCATTGCCTTCAGAGTCTGCGACACAATATTTTGCTTATCCTCAATGATGGGAAATCTTCGTCCTTTGAGGGTGGATTTGATTTTTGGAACAGCCAAAAGTCATTCGGAGTCAAGACTGATGGATAAGGTGAGTGATCGAGCGAGGCAGTACCATCTGGGGTCATAGACAAGGTATGATCATGACGTAATGAGACTGGGTTTTCTTGTGTTGCTTATAAAATGGAGGCAATTCCAAAAGAGGAGTTCCAGAAATGTTTTGAGTAGTGGCAGCATCTTTGGATTAAATAAATATAGTAAGGCAGCAAGGTAGATTGAAAATAGCACTAAGCTAGGAATCAGAAATCCTCATCCTGCTTCACCTTTAAATTAACAATTAACAAGATACTTCACTCCATATTTACCAAGATTAGTAACTTCTCTAAGTCTCAGTTCATCTTTAAACGATCTGTCATAAAGGGTTTTGTCATATGTGTTGTTGAAGATAAGTTAGAATAGTAAAAATGAATATTAAAAGCACTGGTCAAACTATAAACTACTATAATACTGTAATATTTTAATGCTTTTGTGCCTGATGTGATTATGTCAATGGACTACATTCATCTGATTATATAAGGTCTGGTGTGTTTGTAGTTGGTGGTTTCGTAAGTCTCATTACTTTATAGTCATACCTTGTATATGCAGCTGGGGAGAGAAGTTTAAGAGATCACAATATAGTTGCTGTTTCCTCTATTGAAAAGTAAACTGTGGAATGTCGTGTCTCATTTAAATCTGACTTGAATCAGTCCTCTAAGTGTGTCCTTCAATGACTTACAGTCCATTTTAAAAAAAAAAAAGCATTTCTTTGGGCCTCCCTGGTGGCGCAGCAGTTAAGTCTCAGTGCCATCAAGCTGTCTTCAGTCACTACAACATGAGTCCGATCCCCGGCCAGGGAGATAACCCACATGGCACAGCAGACCTCTCCTGTCTGGCCTGCTGCTCCCCTCAGCAGGGTATTTCAGTACATCTGGTTGGTCTGCTCCCCACTCTGTCTTTGGTGAATCCTCTCACACACCCCCACCACCGTACCTCTGGGCCTACACCCCACTTCTAGTATGCATAAATAAACCAATCTTTTTTTTTAAAAAAAAGGCATTTCTTTGACTTATGTTCTCTTAAGCCTTTTTTTTTCACTTGTCATCATACTTTTCTGAGTCTTAGCTGTCCTACTATGTTCTGCTTTTCCTTAAACTTGTTTCTAACTTCCTTTTTCCTAATATTCCAACATGTTAGAGACTTTGTTTTGTTCCTGTTTCTTCCCTTATGAATTTCTTCCCTGTGTGTATTGTTTACCTTATTCAAGGACATTTAGTGGCCCTAGTCCTCATATTTGTGATTAAGGCGCCCTGCTTACTTCCTTTTTTAAATCCACTATTAAGAGAGCCCATTGATTGCCTGTTGGATGGATCAGCGTGCTAAGCTGACACATGTACCTAAATCATCAGTCACTTTACTGACTAACACCAACTTGTCTTTTCCCATTTTAATCTTTTATTTTTCTTGAGTATTTCTTTAGTAAACTTTTAGAGGCATACTTCATTATACGTTTTCTTTTTTAAAAAAATTTATTTATATAAACACTGGGTACAGTCAGAAGCGTGGGAGGGTGAGAGAATTCACCAGAGCCAGAGTGCGGAGCAGAACAGGCAGACCGACGAAGTACACTGCTGAGAGGAGGAGTGGGCACTGCAGGAGAGGTCTGCACATTATGTGGGACCCTCGTCGGCGGCCAGGAATCAAATTGGCGCCGCAGAGGCTGCGGGCAGCTTTGCAGCCCAGCGCTCAACCGCTGCACCACCAGGGAGGCCCTCATTATAAGTTTTCTATTCACTTTGACATAATTAGTAATTTTATCTTGAAACAATCTTATTTTCCTGGGTTTTGTTTTTTTTTAAAGATTGATTTATTTATGCATACAAGAACTGGGGTGTAGACCAGAGGTGGTGAGTGAGACGATTTGCTGGAGACAGAGTGGGGAGCAGAATAGCAGATCTACTGAAATACACTGCTGAGGGGAGCACAGGAGAGGTCTGCTGTGCCATGTGGGTAGCTCCCTGGCTGGGGATCAAACTCATGCTATAGTGGCTGCGGATTGCTTCATAGTGCTGAGACTTAACCCCTTTCACCATCAGGGAAGCCCTTTGCTGGTGTTTCTTAAGAACTTTTTTTAGAAAAAGGCAGAAAATGTGACATCTGAAACAATTTGTGGTGGTATTCAGTTACTCCCCCTTCAAGGTCCTCTTTTCTTAGAAAAGGCTACTCTATACCTCTATCTTTCTCCCCCTCTTCTGTTGCTTTTCTTTCTAGCATATTCTTTAGATGTATAGGTACCAATAGGTCCAAGGAGAGTCATAATTATAACCATTTGGCCTATTAAAAGGGTAATTATGACAAAATTTTTCTCATGTGGAGCCTAAGATTTCCTATGCAGGTACCCTTTGAAATTTCAGAGATTACTTTCTTTTGTACTTTTATTATATGAGCCCTTTAGGTGACCATTCCTTGGAATAATTCTTAAAGGAATGAACTAAATAAGATGCTTTAAGATTTTTCATTTGCTCTTAAATATCAAGTACTGAATTACAAATGAGAAGTAGGTTCCTGAGTGCTGTATAGTAGATAATCAGTTGTGCAAAGTAGGTGGGCTGCCATGTCATATGCCTTTGTGCTATATTTTCCTGCTTTTTCTTTTTTAGCTGCTGTGTTAAAGTATGAAAACAATGTCATGAATATCAGGCAGTTTAACTGTTCTCCACATCCCTACTGGCTTCCAAACTTTATGGATGTTTTCACGTGGTCCTTGCCTTTTGTTGGGGAAAAAGGTAAGAGAATTGAAAATCAATCATTTAAACTCTAGTGACCAAGTTCACCTTTATATTTACAGGATCCCCTGACAATTCAGAAATGTTCTTAAAGTTTTCAGAAATATTTTCTGTTTTGTTTGTTATCTACAAACTATTTTTTGTGCCATTTTTCAAATGTCACTTAATTGGTTTTTAAAGTTTACTTCTACTTGATTATTCTTTTCTTATCTAAATGTCAATTTAAAGTAACTATCCTACTATAACCAAGATGTTAAAGTAACATAAGTCATTATGCTATTCCTTCAGTGATTTCTTCAGCAATACAGATATTTGAATAGGAAATATTAAACTTAGAAATATATTTCTATGTCTATACAAATCACTGTGCAAATATAAAATAGGCCTGTTGGACATGGACTTAGTGGCTTAACTTCTTTGTAAAATGGGAAGAAATTTTTTCATGTGGGTGTCAGTACGGAAAAGACTCTGGGTAGCAGTCTAATGAAATCAGTGGAATCTTTAATGACTCTGCACTTTGCCTGGAGCAAGTAATCACTCCAAATTCTATATAAACCTGAAGGCCTACATTTAATGCTGCTCTTTATAGTTACTCTTAGTAACATAATGACAAATCTCTTTTTGTCTTTATTTAACATTAATGTCTATTTAGTTATTCACATTATTTTAGAGAAAGTGCCTTATTAATTATATACATTTTGGGATATTTTGTCTTATATAGTCACAGAGATGCTGGTTAACATTCTCAACATATGCTCTGATGATGAATTGATTTCTGATGATGAAATTGAAGGTAAACTTGACTTTTCCTCATTTAAACTAGAAGTGAAAAAATTTGTTTTGAATCATTTCATTTGTTTTATTGAAAAAATTGTGTTCATTGTAGAAAAATAAAAAATGAAAAATGAAAACCATAAATAAGGGGAAAAGTTGCCCAAAATCCTGCCATCTCATAGATATGCACTGTTAACATCTCGATGTATATGTGTTTAGATGTCTTTTTTGTCTTTGCACGTGTTTTCTCCTCTGTTTTTCTTTTTTAACAAATCATGAAAATTTACTGTGTGTTTTTGCAGAGTAATTTTTAATAGTTACGTAGTTGTCCATGTCCAACATTCATTGTTTCAACCAATCCCTTGCTGTTGGATATTGGACTTTTCCCCCAACTTTTTCCTTTTAAACTATTTCAAAATAGTTTTGAAAACTGTATAGTAAAGTTTACATGTTCTGTCAATAACCAGTATTTGTATGTCTGGTATGTGCCAAGTACTGTTTAGGTTCTTGTTCTCAATTAGTTTGTATTATGGTGAGGGAAAATAGACTATAAGTATAAATCAGATATGATATGTTGTGTGCAAAACTGGAAAGCAATATTAGGAAATAAAGAATAACATTTTCTTGATTGTTCAGAATGTAAATTTCTACAAATTGACTATCTGTATCAATTAGCACTTACAAGTTTAAATTGCATACATATAATTTCTAGAAAAGCTGTACCTGGTTAATTGTATGTGTGGAACGGAGTTCATAGTATTCCGTCTGGCATTTTAAAGTTTTTAATTTGTTTTTATAGCTAATGAACACTTTATTTTGTTTTTGACTGAGTTTTTCTCTCTTTAGTTGTCACTTCATACCTTTTGCCCATTTTTCTATTAGATTCTATGCCTACTTGTTTTTATTCTCATTGGCCTGTGACAGATTTTTGTTTAATAACATATTGTTACATATGCAACCAAGTATATTTTTCCTTGTGTGTTGAGGGAGGTTTGATTTGAAAGGTAGATCCTAACTTATCTGACAATGCAGAAGATTCTGGAAAGATGATGGAATCTGAGCACAAACCTCTGAGTCTCCTTGTTTCCAAGCTCTACTAAGGTGATTCACTCAACTATAAGGATAAGCTGTGTACATGGTAGAGAGAGCCTGGCCGACATAGGGAACATAGAGAGTCCTAAATGCTTTAGATTCCACATTGAAGGTGCAGAGCAGATGAGCTTCGTTTGTGAGTATGTGTCCCTGTATGTCTGGGACTGGAGAGCACTACAAGGAACCAGTTCTTGGGGAAGTAGTGTAGCTAGGTGAAAATTAAAATAAAGAACTTAAGTCAGGGGAAGGTAAAATATGTAAGAAATAAATCTTATAACATTTATTTTCAAATCTAAATGGAAATTATTGTGAACTTTATTATATGTACTAAGAAAGGATATGCTTTTGTGCCAAAGTTATGGGAATATTTTTAAGTATAGTCACTTAGAGCGAAAGTTCAAAACAATCTAAATGTCCTCATTGGAGAGCTGGGTAAATCTATGACATAAGTATGTGATAGATTCTCTACCTGTATTATTATTTTCTTTATGCAAGCCTTCTTTCTGCTGTTATCATCTAGTGAGTTCCTGGTCAGCTCATTGTAACTTCCTCATGGAAGGCATTTTTTTTTTTAGATGTATTTATTTATGCATACAAGAACTGGGGTACAGGCCAGAGTGTGGGGGGGGTGGTGAGAGAATTCTCCAGAGATAGAGTGGGGAACAGAATAGGCAGATTGACTGAAATACACTGCTGAGGGGAGCAGCAGGCGAGTCAGGAGAGGTCTGCTGCGCCATGTGGGTTTCTCCCTGGCCAGGGATCGAACTCTTGCTACAGTGGCTGCTGATAGCTTCATAGGTTGCGTCTTAACCCCTGCGCCACCAGGGAGGCCCCATGGAAGGCATCTTTTACCTCACTGGATTCAAACCCCTGTCTTGCTCTCATATAGTGTAATAGCACTTGATAGATTTGCAATTTTACATTCATTTGTATTGTTACAAAATTAATATATTTTACCTCTCCTAGTTAAACTCCTTGAGTGCTGGGACAAAATTGGTTTTTGCTTGCCATTCTAGCCCTAAAGCCAAGTATAGTGAGGTAAATATTTGTTAAGGATATTCTACTACGTGTCAAATCTTCTCATTCCCATTTTTGATAAGATGTGTGACTACAGGCTGCTGTATGTTTAAAAATTTTTTTTTGGATAAGAAATTAAGAGTATCGGGCCTCCCCAGTGGCGCAGCGGTTGAGCGCTGGGTTGCGAAGCTGCCCGCGGCCTCTGCGGCGCCGGTTCGATCCCCGGCTGCTCCCCGGCCACAGGAGGAGGGTCCCACATGGCGCGCAGACCTCTCCTGCCGCCCGCTGCTCCCCTCAGCAGTGTACTTCGGTCCTTCTGCCTGCTCTGCCCCCCGCTCTGGCTCTGGTGAATTCTCTCACCCTCCCGTGCTTCTGACTGTACCCAGTGCATGTATAAACAAAACAAACAAACAAACAAATAAATAAATAAAACATGCCTCTATTTAAAAAAAAAAAAAAAAAAGAAATTAAGAGTATCCTTTTAGATTAAAATGGTTAGTAAAACACACTTCTAATTTTTTTCTTCCAAAAAAATCAATATAATTTTGGTTTTATTTGTGATATAAACTAAGAATTTCTACTTTAAATCAACTTAGTTTAAATCAACCCTGTCTCTTCAGACGAGAAAAGCTAGACAAGGTATTTTTAAAATCCTCATTAAAGACTTTCAGAAAGCTAACAATGTAGCTAAGAATTACCAAGTTGAGATCTGGAAAAAGGCATACATCAGAGAGATAAGAACAACATTTGGGACTATTCCATTCCTAAACACATTCATGAGTTAATGAGAGGGGTCTAAGAGGTTGTACATGTCTCCTAAGAAAAGCTAAAAAAGTTCATGGTTTGCCAAAGTTGATTTGAGTGCTATTATGTTTCTGCTCATTGTTTTGGAACCCCTAAGATTGCAGCTATATAAGATTAAGGGTGAACTGGAAAGAGATCAGTCCTGGAAGGTACTGAAATTTAAATAAGGTAGTTCCAGGCACCTGGCAAAGACAAACCTCTTTAAACTTACAACATCAGATAAGATATTAAATTTTGCAGTCTTTCAAATAAAATATGTGGCTCACACCGGAAATAACTGGGGATATAAGAAGACATATGACATAAATAAGAACCAGCAGAAGCAGCAAAAAATAAAAACAGACCCCCAGGTTCTCCAGACATCAGCTTTATTAGACCAAACTTTAAAATAACTAAGCTTAAAAACAAGATAAAATTATGTTTATGATGTTCAAGATATCAGACTGAATTTAAAATTTTGGCAGGAAACTATGAATTATAAAAAAGATATATGGAATTGATATATATATATATTGCTGGTGTCTTGTTTAGGACTATTATATCTATATTAATGTCCTTGCTATATTTTGTATCATAGTTATATGAACCATAATTAGGTTCATGTAACTCAAATGAGTTGGAGAGCATTTCTTTTTCAAGAATTTTTATGAGACTGGCATTGTTTCATCCCTAAATGTTTGGTAAATTTGCTGTAAAGTTAACGTGCACCTGGCATTTTCATATATGTATATGAATTATACCTCCCAACCAAGTTGATTATTCCAGAAATGAGAGATTTAACATTAAATTTTAATCACAGAGAAAGATAATCAAATATTTTGATCATCAAATATTTTCAAAGATATCAAATATTTTCACTCATATGTGGAAGATGAAGCAAAGCAAATGAACAAACAAAACAAAAACAATCCTTAGATTGTGACAACAGAATGGTGGTTACCGGAGTAGAAAAGGGTGTAGGATGGTTAAAACAGGTGAAGGGGGTCAACTGTACAATGGTGAATAAAATCTAGACTTTTGGGGGAGAGACGGCCTCATCGTTCACTGCTGTGATGGTCCGCGGCAGCGCATAATGTAGCATATGCAGACCTTTAAGCTGCACACTGATACCCATATAGAGTTGTAAACCATGTTACTTCAATAAATTTTAATTCAATTAATATTATATACTAATATAAGATGCTAATAGTAGAAATTGGATGAGGGTATAAGGAATGCTATACTAGTTTCACAACTTTTCTTTACATCTAAAACTTTTTAAATAGAAATTATTTCAAAAAGCAGATAATTAACTGCATTAACAAAACAGAAAAATACCTCAGTAGATTGTAGAAATAGTATTAGATAAAATTCACCTTCCATTTATGATTCTTAAATTAGGTTTGAAAGGAATTCTTTGATGTGACAAAAGTATCTATAAAACCTATACTAACATACAGTGAACTGTTGAAACCTTTGGAACAGGCAAGGATACTGCCTGTCAACACATACAATATAGTATATTAGAAGTCATATCTGATACAATAAGGCAAGAAAAAAAAGTACAATTTATGAAAATTATAAGGAAACAATATAATTGTCTTCATAGATGATATGATTGTACACAGAGAAAACTTAAGAGTCTAGACTCTTAGAATCAGTAAGTGCATGTAGCAGAATTGCTGAATACAAAGTCAAAAACAAAATGGAATTTTAAAAAGAGATGCCATTTATAATATTTGTAACAATAAATCTAACAAATGATGTGTGATACCTTAAAGCCATAAACTTTAAAACATTACTAGAAAAATTAAAGGAGATCTAAATAGATGGAAAGAAGCACCATGGTCATGGCTCATTGGAAGATTCAAAATTAGAAAGATATAAATCATTCCGAGCTGGTCTGTGGGTTCAATACAAAGTCAAATATTACCAGAGAACTTCATTTAAAAATTTATATGGAAATGCTAAGAATAGATTCTAAAATTCATATGGAAATTGCTGAAGTCTGAAGAAGAGTAAGGTGGTAGGACTTACTCGCTAGGACATCAAGATTATAAACTAGAGCAATTATTATTAGTGCAAGGACAGATAAGCATTGAAATAGAATGGGGAATCCAGAAGTAGATCCATGCATACAAGGCACTTGGTTTACACCAGATGTGCCTCTGCAGAGTAGTAGGAAGATGATAGTATTTTTTTTTTTTTAAATTTAATTTTTTTTTTAAGATTTATTTATTTATTTATACAAGCACTGGGTACAGTCAGAAGCGCGGGAGGGTGAGAGAATTCACCAGAGCCAGAGCGGGGAGCAGAGCAGGCAGAAGGACAGAAGTACACTGCTGAGGGGAGCAGCGGGCGGCAGGAGAGGTCTGCGCGCCATGCGGAACCCTCCTCCAGTGGCCGGGGAGCAGCCAGGGATCGAACCAGCGCTGCAGAGGCTGCGGGCAGCTTCGCAACCCAGCGCTCAACCGCTGCGCCACCGGGGAGGCCAAGATGATAGTATTTTTATAAATGGTTGGGGTCATCTATTTGAGAAGAAATTAACCCTGACCCCTATTGTATTCCAAGAGATTAATACAACCACATATGAAAGGCAAAACAGTAAACTTCTAGTATTTACAGAATATCTTTATGATTGGAATAGATGAAGCAGACACGAAAAAACACTAACTATACAGGAAATTTAATAAATTGGACTACGTTAGAAGTAAGAACACTTGAGTTTACCAAAAGACCGTTAAGTGTGTGAGGAGTGAAGCCACAGAGTGGGAGAGGATATTTGAAGCACAGTCACAGAGGAGTCACGTAAAGAATACAGAAAGACTACGGATGAGACTTAAACAAATCACAAAAGAGGGTATCCAAAAATGGCCAGTAAAAAAATACAAAAAGATATTCAGCCACATTGGTAGTCATGAAAATACAAATTAAATCCGCAGTGGATGATTCCACCCCACCACCAGATTGGTTCAAATTAAGTTGAATCGCATCAAGTGTTGGCCAGGATGTGGAACTACAGGAATCCTCAGACCCTTAAGTATAAATTGGCACATCTACTATAGTAGATAACACTTATCCAGAATTAAACACATACATAGTCTATAACTGAGCATGCGCACCCTAAGGATACGTGCGGCAAAGAGAAATGCATAGGAAAAGTCATAATAGCCTCGCTTTAATTAACCAAAAATTGGGATCAGTCCAAATGGCCACTGACAGTAAAAAAGTACTAATTGTGGACTATTCATATGGTGGAATTGTATCAGCAATGACAGTGATCTACAGCAGCAGTGAAAGCGTGGGTGACTCTCACATAATGCTGAACAAAAGGAATGAGATGCAAAAATACACATTGACTGTTCCAATTACATGAAGTTCAAAAACAATAAAACTAGTGCTTGTGGATACATCCATATTTGGTAAAACTATAAAGAATAGCAAGAAAGTGCTTTCAGTAAAATGTCGAGAGAATGATTTCCTTTGGGAAGAGAGAGACTAGTCGGTACACAAAGGGGTATCTTGGATGCTGGCAGGTTTCTATTAATTTGAGTGGCAGTTATGTGGCCATTTGCTTTTTAATCTTTGAGTCATATGTTTGTTTGCTCTGTGCACTTTTCTATATGATTATTATACTTCACAATAAAAGAACTTTTAAAGTTATAAACCTACAAATAGGGGAGATTTTTATGGGAACTTTTGGAGTTGGAAAACAGATGGATTTGTGTTACTGACTTACTTAGCAGGTTCAAGAAAGCTAAAGCTTACTTTAGTGATGGGCAATGTTGAGTCCAGCACAGAATCCTCAAAAAGCAAAGGAATTTGTTGCACCCGTTGTTAAACTTAGGGACTGTGAATTAGCAGGAGCAGAGAGATAGGCACAGAGCTAAAATAAATAGGTGAAAGCTGTTTGAAAGGCAAGTGAAGTCCTAGTTGCCGATGGGTGACTGCCTCTTTCCATGTCTAGAGGCTAATTTCTAAAAAATAGAGACCAGAGTTTCTGAACTGAGGGTCAATTGAGGTCATCAATACCTTTCCAAAAATAGGTGAATGAAGATCCCATCTGCATTCTCAGTAAGGACTAGCAGGACTCCCTACCATGGGCCCACCCTGGCCCTCTATGTAAAGCTCCACCTGCCAACTCTGAAAGCATTTCAGCCTCTCCCTGGTAATCTTGAGCAAACAAGGATTACCAGGACACCTCAGGGTAGTCTATAAGAGAGAGACAACAGCAAGCACAAGACAGAAAAGGGCAACTTGAATGAACGTGAGATTATGAAGAAAAATAAAGCTGAAAAAAGGAAAAATCACAAAATTCCCAGAATGGTAGGAGGAAAATACAGGTGCCATTAAAGTAAAAACAGCATTTTCCTTAGGAGATTTGTGAGCTGTTTGTTCTGCCCTTTGTTTTTGTTCCTAGTTTCTAGCATCATTTGTCCCACAAATATCTTTTTGTTTAATTTTGTGGGAATAGAATGTGTTGGATAACAATATATGTGAATAAATATAAAGCAAAACTCTTAAATGGAAAAGGTACTAACAAGAGACCTGTGATTGAAGGGTCTGTCTTGACCCTAGGATGTCTCTTCTGAAATGGTAAAGATGATAGCCTGCTTCTCTTGTTGCATTTCACTTGGAATTTTGTCCTCACTTCCCTGTGAGCTTCACTTTCTCTTCTCATATTTCCATGTTCATTTCATTGTTTCTTGGTGTCTCTTCTCCCTGAAGATCACTGCATTTCACGCTATCAGAAAGGTGTACCCTACTAACATGTGCTTCGTCCTGGCTGTCTGTCCTACCACACTGTATTATTAGGTAGGCTCGTTAGTGGGTAGTTGAATAGTTTCAAACAGGCTCTCCATCCTCCCTTTCTGTTTTAACATCTGTATTTTCTCTGGACCTGCTTTATAATCCTGCAGGATATTGAGAGCTGGGGGGTGAGGAAGGAGAGGGCTGTTTCTTTTCTGACTTTTGACTGTGGTCACCTGGTGCATGCCTGGACCTTGGCTTCTCAAGTACGAGGTATTTCCTGATTTTTATATGAAAAAGGCCATGAAGTCTTCTGTTAACTATTTTGAATTTGCTTTATAAAATACCTTCCTTGTCATCATAATTTGTTCTGCACAGTTGTATATGGTAGGAATAACTCACTTGTATGTGAGTGAGGAATCAATGAAAGCAGACTGCCCAAGTGCAGGAGAGCTGGCTGTGCGTTGTATTCACATGCAGAAGACAAGCTGCTTGGATCGTCCCTTGCCATTTGGGCCAAACCCTGAGTCCTGAGGTGGCCCACAGCATTCTCAAGAGATCGCTGCTGTATCTACTGTCTTTATTTATGTATGCTTCATTCTTTGCTGTGTTCAACATTTCAGAACCACAAATGACCTCTCATAGAACTGCTCAGTCTGTCTTTTTTTTCTGTGGCTCCTCCATTTTTTTCACTTCATCCTTTTCTCTTCTGGATTTAATTTTTCTCTTGCTCCTTAGAACTTCCTAGGATTTTTGTTTATTTAAACAAACGTCGGCCTTGATTTCTTTTTTAAAAACAGTTTCTTTAACCTAGAAAAACCCTACTTTTTTTTTAACTATTCTGTTAACATATTCCTGTAACTCACTTCTTCTTTGTATTCTCTAAGGAGGTACAACAGTTCGAAAGGAGATCATCAAGAATAAAATCAGAGCCATTGGGAAGATGGCACGGGTCTTTTCAGTTCTTCGGTAAGGATAAGTCTATCATTACATTGTGGGGTGAAAGCACTTCAAGAATAAATTAGAAGTTGATTTCAGAAGTTTTTTAGAATTGGAATTTGGTATTAGACCTATAGGTGTTCAGGTAGAGTGCAGATTGAATCAGACCTACGTATTGAAGTGACTTGCACAGTCCTGGCAAACATTCTTTTCGTCCTAGCTTAGTTGTAGTCAGGGGAGAGGTTTAGGGTGGATTCTGGAGCCAGATTGCCTATTCTTCCTGTTGGTTGTATGATCTTATGCCTCATTTTTCTTGTTTGTTAAAGAGTGATAATAACAAGACCTGCCTTATGCAGTTATTAGGCAGATTAAATGGGATGAAATGTGGCAGATGTTAGAACAGCACATGGGCCTCATTGAAAAGCAGACTGAGTGCTTAAAATTGGAATATTTACAGAAAACAGCCCTACCTTTGGGTCAGGGGAAGGGTAGGGAGTAGGAGAACCTGTCCTACATCTCAGTGCATCTTTTCTTAACTTCTTGCAAGTGTCTTTGAGTTGGTGCTGAGTGGTAGACACCCTGTGGCATTAACCCAGGGCTTTGATCTTCCTTTGCAGGGAAGAGAGTGAGAGTGTGCTGACTCTCAAGGGCCTGACTCCTACAGGTACACTCCCTCTGGGTGTCCTCTCAGGAGGAAAGCAGACTATTGAGACAGGTGAGTATGAAAAATGCTCCTTTCATGAATGGTTGTGTTCCTGTTATCTAATAGTCCATGTAAAATCTAAAATTGGAGCTTCTTTCAGTAAAGGGTTTTGGAGCAACTGGATATTCATTTGGGGGGAAATAAGTCTTGACCCTTCTTTCCATATACAAATTAATTCTAATTGAATTATAACTTAATTGTAAAAAGTAAAACTCCCAGAGTAAAGTAGGGAGGAATAGTTATTGGGTTAGATAAGGAATCCTTAAATAAAAAAATACCAACACACAAAAAAATACTAACACTAAGAGAAAAACATCAATAAATTATCTTTTATTAAAATTAAGATTTTTCTGTTCACAAAAACACAGGATTAAGAAAGGAAAAAGCAAGCTAGAAACTGGAAAAAGATTTTTGTAACGCATATGACTGATAAAGGGTTTGTATTCAGAATAAAAACACCTCAGTAAGAACTCAGGCAACCATTTTTTTTAAATAGTCAAAGATTTAAACAGGTGCTTCACAAGAGAGGTATCAAAATAACCAATAAACATATGAAGAGATGTTTGAGACAGTTAGTCACCCGGCAAATGGATATTAAAACCACAGTGAGATACCACTGCACACTTCCGGAGTGGCTAAAGCTAGAAGACCTGAGTGTGCCGAGTACTGCTGAGTTTGTGGGGATCTAGAACTAGACACATTGCTGATGGACTAGTAAATTGTTTCAACCACTCTGGAAAACTGATAGTCAGTGAAGTTAAACATATATCTACCCTAAAACTCAGCAACTCCACATGTGGTATAAATCCAAGAAAATGTCGTGCATGTGTCTGCCAAGGGATGTTCACCTTAATGAACATGCTTAGCAATGTTCGCCTTAATTTTACTAATAAGATCCTTGAACAGGACACTACCCAAATGTTCATCAATAGAAGAAGAGATAAACAAAACTGTGTTGTTACATATCAAAATACCACTCTGCAATAAAAAAACCCATGAATAATTGCAACAACATGGTTGAATCTCATAGACATTGTAGTAAATTAGCAAATCTAGACACCAAAGAGCACAAACCGTCTCATTTATATAATGTTCAAAGAACAGCAGGCTAATCAATGGTAATGAAGTTAAAATGACACTGCTTTGATGGGAGAATATTGATCCTGAAGGGACCCAAGGGAAGTTTGGAGTAGTGGGAATGTTTTATATAAAAGTGTATGGTGCTGTAGACTTCACAGTTGTGCATGTGAGAAGTCTTACTTGTGTATGTTTTATACCTTTATTATTTTTTTTTTTTGCTGTTAGAATTATCAAACAGTGAGGGAGTTTACCTGCAAGCCACGTCCCAATCCAGTGCCACAGTCACCCTTTAACAAGGGGGTCAGTTTTAAAACTTACATGGGTGCTGACTTCTCAGGACAGAACTTTACATAAGTCTGAATGAAGAGAGTGATGTTTGTTAGAATAAACATAGATCCAGTCAAGCAAAGTTGAAGAGCCATCACTTCATTAGATGACTAATTTTAGGTATGAACACTGGAGTTGGAGCATTAACACCTTAAACTAGAGTACCATTGCTATTTTTCGTTCCCTTGTCATACAGAATTATTTCTACTTATATTTTTCTTTTGAATTCTTTGCGTTTTTGTGGAAGTAGCACCACTAGTGATTAATAGAAACAAATTTCCTTTATCCCCCTTTATCTTTTATTTTTAAAATTTATCTATTTATTTTGCATAGAAGAACTGGGGTATAGGCCAGTGGTATGGGTTGGGGAGGGGTGTATGTGTGTGAGAGGATTCACCAGAGACAGAGTGGGGAGCAGAACAGGCAGATGTGCTGAAATACACTGCTAAGGGGAGCAGTGTGCAAGGCAGGAGAGGTCTGCTGCACCATGTGAGTCAGCTCCCTGGCCAGGGATCAAACTCAGTGATAAGCACTGAGACTAACCCCTAGGCCACTGGGGAGGCCCCTCTCCCTTTTTTCAATAAAACTGAATTTTCCCTTTTTAAAATTGAATACTAGAATTTTAGACTTTAGCTATTTAGAAGGAAGAATGAACGTTTTCTCCTTGAAAGTGCATAATTAGTTTTCTTAATTTTAGCAGTTTCATAGAAAAGATCAGTAAGCTATTTCATATTGAATTTTTGATTCTCAAATAAATGTTCAGTTTCTTCTAAGCTAAATACATTTCTACCATTACTTTGGTAATTAGTCCTGGGAGATATTCTGAGAACATCTCTGCAGGGCAATTTAGAGTTAACAGGAAGAAACGTAGGTTAATATCTCTTATAATGTCCTTACTTGAAAATTTGAAAAATTTACTGATCCACAAAGTTGTTTTAATCTGAATCAATTTTTCCTAGGCCCTGAAAGACCAAATATGAGAAGAATACAAAGAGAATTTTATAGAGTTATTGTTTGGAATTCTTTGTAATTTTCAATCTACCTTTGCTCTCAGTCCAAAATGTATATAGTTTTGAATATGAGTGATTTAATCAATACCAGATTCTTTATGGGTACTTCTAAAATTGATAGAAATCTTCAGGAATGGGTAAGAATAACAAAAGGAATGTTGGAATCAACTTTTTAGAGCTTATCTTCTTTTTTTTTTTTTTAATTTTTAAATTCTTTTATTTATTTATTTATTGTTTATTTATTTATACAAGCACTGGGTACAGTCAGAAGTGGGAGGGTGAGAGAATTCACCAGAGCCAGAGCAGGGAGCAGAGCAGGCAGAAGGACCGAAGTACACTGCTGAGGGGAGCAGCGGGCGACAGGAGAGGTCTGCGCGCCATGTGGGACCCTCCTCCGGTGGCAGGGGAGCGAGCAGCCCGGAATCGAACAGGCGCTGCAGAGGCTGCGGGTAACTTTGCAACCCAGCGCTCAACCGCTGTGCCACCGGGGAGGCCCGAGCTTATCTTCTTATTGATAGAAAGGAATTGAGTGTATACTTTCCTATCCGTGTATCAGCTCTACAGGTTCATTGTCAAACTGCAGCATTAGCCAAAAAAAACCTTTATGTCTCTATAACTACATGGAGAACTTTAAGCCAATAATATTCCATATGCCCTTACAGCATGTGTTCGTTTATGCCCCATCTGATTCCAAGAGGGGTTTGAGTAAGTTACAGTATACATACAGCATGGTGAAATAAACTAAATATGTTTGGATATTGAAACACAAAGAAAACAAAAATAAAGCCAATAGTTAACCACAGATTTGACTCCAAGCTTCCTACTAGCCAAAATAAGAGGAAAATCAAGGTCAACAACTGAACACACTTCACAAAGACCATAAGATTAAAAAAAAAAAATATATCAGCCAATTGGACCTCACCAAAATCAAAATTTTATGCTATAAATGGAATCATCAAGAAAGTGAAAAGACAACCCACAGAATGGATAGAAATATTTACAAATAGTATATCTGATAGAGGACTTATATCCAGAAAATATAAAGAACTTTCTTAACTGAATAACAGAAAGATACATAACACCATTAAAAAATGGGTAATAAATTTGAATGGACATTTTTCCAAAGGAGACATACAAATGGCCAACAAATATGTGAAAAAATGTTTGACATTGTCAGACTATAAGAAAATGCAAATCAAAACCACAAACAGATCCTGCTTTTATCCACTACGATGGCTGAGATATCAAAGGCAGATGGTAACAAATGTTGGTGAAAATGTGGAGAAAGCTGAGTCTTAGTACACTGCTGGTGGGCATATAAAATAGTGCAGCCACTTTAGAAACTAATCTGTAAGCTTCTTAGTTGATTAAACATACCTATGACCCAGCACTTCTACTCTTAACCCAGGGAAATGAAAACCCAGAGAAAACCCTCATAACCCAGAGAAATGAAAACATATCTACACGAGACTTGTACATGAATGTTCATAGCAGCATTCTTTAAAATAGCCTAGAAACAGAAATAACCCAAATGTCCATCAACTGGTGAGTGAGTGGATAAACAAAATGTGATACAGCCATATAGTGGAATGCTATTCAGTCACAAAAAGGAATGAAGTACTGATATATGCTAAGTGAAAAAATCACTAAAATTACATATTATTTGATTCCATTTGTATGAAAAGTCTGGAACAGGCAACTATTAAGACAGAAAATAGAATGAGTCTAGGGATAGGAGGAATGATGTTTCTCTCTGTGATGATAAAAATGTTCAAACCATAATTTGTGGTGATGGTGACACAGCTCTAAATACATGAACCTTATTGAATTGCACAACTTAAAGAAGTTAAGTTTATTTTTTATCAATTGAATTTTAGTAAAAATAAATAATCTTTACTGGAAAATGTATTTCAGTAAAGGGAAAAAAAACAGTTTCTCAGTACTATATGACTTTCTTATACTGTTCCTTACTGCTGGCCAGTACCTCCATACCCAGTGCAAAAAGCAATTCCAGGAAGGCCCTAAGCAGTGTCATGCCAGTGTGCATTTCACCACATAGCTCTCCCACTCATTGGACCAGCACTGCACAGTGTTAGGCAATGCGTTGTTCACCTACTTTCTAGCAGTTGTATCCACAATGTGCTGTTTGAAGGTGCTATGGTTATCTTGTGAAAGTTTATTTGTTCTATTTGAGGAAATTAGAGAGGGGGTGACATTGCTTTAACACATGCCTGCATATGTTTAACAGATGCAAGCAGTTGGTAAGTTGATTCCAAGTTTCCATTTTTTTACATTGCATTAGGAAGTAAACTTTCAGTTCTTCCAGTTTTCCTCTCATCCATATATAAAGCCTCAAGAACAGCGAACTGCTACTATTCATTATTCTTCCCTGCCTTCTTTTAAAAAATTGGTATTGAGAGGACAGGGTTCTCCTAACAAGATCTTTTTTTCTACAACCCATAACCTTTTCATTTTTAGAACTTTTACTGTCTTACAAAGAAGATGCAAGGAAGTTCACCTGTTGGAATAATGTTTAAGTTATAGGAGAAGTCCTTCTTAGTGATTGACTTGCTTTCTTGCACAGTGAATGCAAGCCATATGGGTTGGAAATGCCAGCCTCTGCTATCTCTCTGATTCCAGATGGCACATGAATTTGTATCTGAAGTTGAATATGTTTATGCTTTTGCTGGCTCAGTACTCCACCCCTGGACAAGAAATATTCCCTAACTTTTAACCCAACCCATTTTCCTCTTTCCAAATTCCAGTCTGTTAATCAAAGGCCACTTGTTCATTAAGTAATTTTGAAAGACACTTAGACCCTACATAAGTTTCTTGAGAACAATAACTAGTTTTTTTTTAAGATTTACTTATTTATGCATACAAATATTGGGGCGTAGGCCAGAGATGGGGGGGAGGTGAGAGGATTCACCAGAAACAGAGTGGGGAGCAGAGCAGGCAGATGTACTGAAATACACTGCTGAGGGGAGCAGCGGGTGAGTCAGAAGTCTGCTGCGCCATGTGGGTCATCTCCCTAGCCAGGGATCGAACTCATGCTGCAATGGCTGCCAATAGCTTGATAGTGTTGTGTCTTTAACCCCTGTGCCACCAGGGAGGACCAACAATAACTAGTTTTAAATAAGTTTTTGAGTAGGACTCAGCGGCAGCTCATTTAATATCATCTAAAAGATGGTTGTAATATTAAATGATTTGACTCAACAAGTTATTTCAATCTGTGAACGTCAAGACATAAGTTAGCAGCTGCTACTTAAAATGAGGAAAGCAATGTAACTCTTGGTTTCTCAGTCAGCTTGATGGGCTCCATGGTCTCAGCAGTAGATGCCTTTGACTAGAAAAGGTTCCCATGACACCTGAAATGTTAAAAATATTAGAAACTCCCCAAACTCATAATTCCCCCCAGTTTAGTTTTTCGCAATAATCCTCTCGCTTCTCTAACTAGTTGACTTTTTTCTGGGTGGGAGTAGCTAACAGATGGGCCCTGGGGATGTCTGTGCGGGTTTACTCACTCTTTTTCTATCTTCGTTTTTGCATGCCACTGCTCCTGCTCTTACAGCCACAGTAGAAGCGGTAGAGGCCCGGGAAGGTATGGCCATATTCCTGTGATAGATGTGATCTTGTGTCTGTCTACTAGTTTTAAAAAGCTTTGTCAACATTTAAGATCTTTTATTATTGCATCACCAGAACTGTTAATAGTGAGAAAACAAATAGACATTTCTGGGCTTGCCCAGGAAGCAAGTGCTTCCTTTGTGTCCTGTATTTGTGTTTTTTTAAATGCCCCTCTCCACAGCCACAGTGCTTTCTGGGCTCTGTCAGTTTTAATGCAGTGGCTGAAACTTCAGAAACTGGTCATGAGGGGTCAAATAACTAAATCCTGATTCCTTCCATGCACAAAAGACACTCATTTGATTACTAGCGATTGGAGCAGGTGAGCCTCTGTATCCAGTGGTTCTAAAGGCTTTCAAGAACAGAGGCAAAATTAGTTAGCAATGTAGTTCGATTCATTTCTGAGGTTGTCCGGGGCAGTCAAGCCAAATTATCTTTGTTCCTTTGAAAATGATTTTAAGTAATAAATTATAAATCTGGAGAAAACCACTAGAATTGATAAATGTATCTCATAAATTTAATTGTTTTTGTTAAGGTGGTCCAAGATGGGAATATCTCTTTTTGATAATACAAACGTTCGACAGAAAAGAAAATATCTAGAGGCTGTTTAATGGCTTTTAAACTTTAACTCAGCTCCTGGTTGTGCAAGATAAAAAAAACAAACAACTGTCCTTCTAAATAAAAAGACCAGATTTCTTAGTGTTGTTGTTTTTTCTTTTTTTGTAATCAGTGTGATGTTTGTGCTAAAGTTACTACTCTGTTTAACTTGTTCTATTACTCTTCTGTTGCCTTATTTCTGTCATTGAGCACGTTTCTGGTTCATAAGAAACTTTCTCAAATATGTTGGGGCTGAGTAAGAACTTTTTAGCTTTTCATCAGGTATAGTTCTGCTATGATTAATTGTATTGAGCTTCTGTGGAAATTATTTTCACAGTTTTGGCTCACCCTTTGGGTCTTAAGGAAGCAATTGCTTCAGACAAGCCCAATTCAAATCAGATATTGCCAATTACCATCACCAGACATGTGCTCCGTTGCTGCCCTTCTATGTTTTTTTCTAGGAAGTTGCTATATGCTAAGGGGTTTGTTTGTTGGTTTGCTGTCTAATTAAGCTCCTCCCTTTCCTGTTTTTCTGTAGCTATCAGAGGGTTTTCGCTTCAGCACAGGATCCGGAGTTTTGAAGAAGCTCGAGGTCTAGACCGAATAAATGAGCGGATGCCTCCCCGAAAGGATAGCCAGTACGCAGATGGGCCAGTGAAATTGGTAACCCCTGTCCACCCAAATGCTGCGCATAAGAGCGACCCAGGGAAGAAAAGCCAGTAATGACTCAGTCCTGCTGCAGGGTGGATCAGAACTTCAGAACAAATTTTATTTATTTATTATTGGAAAACAAAACATCTTAAACCTGGAGGTGCATTCATAATACACTCTGCATTTATTCTGTAAGAAAGGCAACCATTTTATAAATTCTTTTAATTTATGTTCATTATATAAAAAAAGTACATCTGTTTTGTTTTTCCCTTTTATTCCTAGTTTTTAGGAATTGATCTGATTGTTGTCAATACATATGTGAAGTCTTGTGCTATAAAGGGGACCTTCCCCTAATAAAAGGGCCTTGGAAACCTCCAATCTAGGTTTCAGACTTGAACTAGCTAGCCTTTTCTCTTGTTTTTAGTAGGTAATATTTTTCATTTCAGACTAATAACTTTTCAAACACAAGAGGGTTTTATCGTTTTTTTTTTTCTCCTCTAGGGCACTATTATATACCAAGTATCTCTCAGACTTCAGTGGCTAAAACTATTCTTAGAGAAAACTTGATCATAGTAGAACTTTCACATGAATAACCTAACCGCAGTGATTTGAAGGACCGAGAAGAACTTTTTCCATAATAACTTACTTTCTTCTGGACTCCCAGTTGCTTTTAATAGCTTCAATTAAAACAAAATAAAAAGTAAAGAGAGATTTTCTTAGAATTACTTAAAATGTGTTCATTTAGCAATGACATCAATTTAAATTTCCCTTTGAACTTTGGGGGAGAAAAAGATTTTCAGAAAGCTTTCACTATCACCAAATCCTTTTGCTTTCATTTTTGAAACCTAGGTGATTTAACCCCATCTACAAAGAAAGCCACGTTTCTAACTGTTGTATATATGCCTCTGCAGAACCTTCAACAGTGAGAAGTCGTCGTGCCCCTCCACGTTATTACATCAGCTTTTCCATCTGTTTTCCCCACCACTTTTCTGTTTTTATATACCAGGATTTTGGAAACCTACAGGGGAAATGGAAGCTAACAAGAGTGAATAGGAAGTGGTGCTAAATGGCGCTGGGAAAGTGAGGATTTCCTCTTTTCTATATCAATGACTGGGATGTTTCTCTGTCCTTCAGCATGTATTAGGTTGAAGTGTGTCTCAATCTCTGTCAGTTTATTTTGGAATCCAGAACATGTAGTCAGATGTGGTGTTTGAATAATCTGCCCTCAACTCTTCAAGTCACAGCCAACTATTGAAAGATGTTTTGGGGATCCTTAAGTTCTTGGTTTTGGTGCCATGTTGTAACACTTAGTGGTCAGCTTGGCAGGGAATGTGCCATCTGGGCAACACTACCAAAGTGTGGAGATGCCTATTTATGAAACTCCTCAATGTCTTTTGGGATGTGGGGACCTGTATTAAAGCAAGAATCTCAGACAGTAGTACTTAGTGGGAGGAGCTTCAAGGAAACCAGAAACCATTTCAAAATAGCAATTTCATTAGAAGAATGAGGACTTAGCACATCTGTTTTCTATACCTTTTGCTAATAGTTCTCAGTGTGCTTATGACAGAGATCAAAGCATTTTGGGGGTGGGAATGGGCGCACATGTTGCTCTGATAATAATAAAAAAAAGACAGGACAGGTACTGATGAAGGAGATAGAAAACAAAGCCTTCTTAGAGGTTGTAACACCTAAGAAAGAAAGGAGGAAAAAAAAATTGAGTAGCTGTCCCTGTAATCATCATTTCTTTATATTCAAAGAAGGAATTCATCAGCTGAGCATCTTCCTATTCCTCCCTCCCCAGTCCCAGTATTAAAGACCGATACCTTTGGAAATCTTCCCCAAAATCAGTCCATGTGACAGATTTGAAAGGTGGAGGTTTGTTCGCCCTTTGTCCTTTTTTCATTGAGGCAATATTGTTCTACACGCACAATCCATAGGTAGAAACTATTCTTAAGGGCTATCTTTAATCAGCAGGCAAGTAGTGAACTAGTTATTACAGATCCTCATAAGCAAAAAATAACAATTTTGCAGGTAAAGAGGACAATTTTTTAGGGCTGTCTTCATTATCTTCTCAGAAATAAGTTGTATGATAAAGCAAGTTTCCTTCAAAGAAGCTTGGCAAAAGGATATATTTTACAGGTACCCTTTGCACTGTTGAAGGATCAGCCAGAGTAGAGAGACAAGATTTCATGAATCAAGAAAATTGGAGTGAATTTGAAATAGAAGAGCAACAGCTCTTGAAGGAAGTTAGGTTTGAAAATTCTGTTATATTATAAATGTATTTCTTTCGTTCTGTAGAATTTTGGGGTGTGCATTTCAATCATTTAGAAAGTTGAGTGTGTCGACGTGATACTGCTTCTTAAAGTGAGAGCAGCAGTTGCTGTACCTAAATTTGCATCTGCATTGGAGTCAAGACAGTGTAGAGGGCATGGACCTTAGGGATGTATTGTAATAACAGTAATTGTTCTTCACCTTAAACTTCACTGGAGGACTTAACAATGTTTTAATCACACAGCCCAGGAGCTGGCTGCCAGTCCTGGGTTTGCTGTAGGATTGTGGCTGCCCTTTCAGACTACATTTTAGCTCCTGTCAGAGTTCTGCCAGATTGGCATCTTTGAAGCCAAACTGGTTTTGAAGGGAGAAAATACTTTTCTTATAGCCTCCTTTACATTAAGGTCCACTAGGACATTATTTCCTCCGGTTTCCCTCATCTGAGGTGAGATGGGAATCAAAACCACTTCTAAATACCACTTTGGAAATGAAGCTTCCCATGGGCCAGTTTTGCCACTTTTGTTTACATTCACATCATATGAAATTTTTAATTGATCAGATGGCTTTTTTTTCTATTTAAAAACTCATCTATAACAATCTAATGTAAGTTCAAAACATGCATATTTTTTTATCTCTGTTCTGAATGTGAGAACAAAAGCAAAATAATAAGCCAAGGGTGTGTGTGTTTGTGTGTATGCACGTGTGTATGTGTGTACGTGTGTGTGTGTATGTGTAACAAAAGCAACCTCAGTTTTCCTAAAAACATTTTCTTAGAACATCAAGGTTATAGGTATAGACATTACTGATTCTCTGGCCTTCTGCAACTGGATATTAACCAGCAAGGTGAACATTGCTTTTCACACTTTGTTGGGCTTGATATAGTAGCTCCTTGCCTAGAAGAATCAGCTTGTCTAGGAATGTCAGCATTTTTTCATATCCATTTATCTCTATTTGTATTGCCTTTCAGTTCCTCCATAATAGTTGCAAGTCAATGAAGCAAGTTTCTATAGCAAAGACTTGCTTTCTTACCCTCATAACTTAGGTGTGATTTCCTGACACCTTCAAAATAGGAAAAGAAAAATCTTTTTTTGTCTTATCAAGAGAGTATTACTATTTAATGTCATTCAGGGACAAAGGTGGGGTTTAGTAAAATTAGATAGTTTTGGGGTCCTTCAGCCCTAGAATTGTCCCTGAGAGCCTTTTCTGAGTAACTTTAAAACAGAGTTTGAGGCAGCTGCTGACTGTGAGAGCGAATGCACCATGCCTGTAGGAGATCTGCTGGGCTTGCTGGACCAGACTGTCTCCAGTCTCCCAGTGAGTAAGGCTGACCTCTATTCCCCCTCCTCGCCTTGTGGTATGTAAATATTGTAGCCTTTCTCTAGGATTTTGGACTGTACCATAGCTATAAATAAAAGACTCAAGCTCTTGAGAATTAAATTCATCCTGATCAATCTGGGTGATCACAGCCAGTTAAAACGGTTTAGGAAAAGCTTGCTCCAGATTGACTGATTCATAATTTTTCTTTGTATTAAATATCAGGCTTTTCTCTCCAGTTTTTGTACTGAAAATTATTTACAGTTCCATAAAGACTTGAGGTATTACTCTAGAATCCCCATTATTTATTATAGTTGTTATAGTAACTGTGGAATCCAAGTGTTTTTCAAAGCATTATTCAACTTTTGCAATGCAGGCAGAAAAGATTTCAGAGGGAGGGTGAGCCCAGAACCCTGGTTGTGGGGTTCATCTATGGTTACAGCCATGGATTCTACCTAGTCTGGCACCTAGTCCACATCTCTTCTGAAATCTGCTATAAGAGGGAGTGAAAGGCAGCCTCTTCTACACCCTCATGACAAGTCTAGGTGGCATAGGAGCCCCAGCAATAGCTGGAGGAGGGTCCGAATTACCTGCAGGGCAGTTCCAAAGCATTATATTTGCATAGTTGCTCTTTGGAATTGCTATCACCAAATGCTCGTAGGAGGCCATAAGAAAACAGATGTGTGTAGAGGAAGAAAGTGAGTTGTGTGGTTGAAAAACAGGTGTGTTACTCTTAATCTTGAATCAAGAGAGAACTATGTTAACAATAGACCTTTGTACAAACATTGATGGAGTGTGAAAGAGGGAACCTGTATTGCTTTGAGACTTGTGACCTGCACTGCCCATGTCTAGCCAGTCAAAGTGAATGGGGTCAGGGCTAGCTGCCTTCATCTATGCAGTCACAAAGGTAAAGATGATACTGGAGAGTACATTCCCTCCCCACCAACAACCTTGGCAAGACTTGCTCAATAACACCTTTGCCTGAGATAGGGCTATGCGTCTTCTCTTCCACACCCTCACGACAAGTCTAAGTGGCTTAGGACCCAGAAGCGTGGACATGGATGTGGACCATCCCTCTGAGCAGCTCTAAAGTAGGGCCAGTCACACTGCCTCCCTGTAAGTTCTTGCTGATTCCCTTTACTCCCTTGACATAGGTGTCTCCAAAAAACCTTTTTCTCTTTTTGCATGTTAAAGTGAAGTGCATGTAATAAGGAGGGGGGCTATCATAGATTTTTATTTGGGGCAATGAAGATGCGGCTTTTTTTTGTCAAAGAATCTCTCTGAAGATGCCATCACGTATGCCTCAGTTTTCTTTCTCAGTACACTGTGATCAAGTTATTTTCCTACTAGCAATGTCAGCAGGCATATGCCAAGGAAAGATCCTCGTTTTATTTCCAAGTGAGGTAACCAGACACGAGACTAGCTGGTGGTATAATTTTTTAAAAGGTTTTTCTGAATGATGGATTATTTGCTTGTGCTTAGAGATTGCTTGCTTTCAGTTACAGTAAAGAAAATGGTGGAAATGTTATTTATTGGCAGAAATTGTTTAATAAGTCTTTTTGTGAATAAGAAATTTGTTAAAACTTTCTTATTGTAAATTCTAAGTCATCTTTAAAAGAAAAAGATTACTCTTAAAATTAAATGATAACTTTATTGGCTCCTTGTGTCTTATTTCCTGCTGGAGACACTTCTGTTAGATGCTTATCCTTCTAACTGCACAAGTCAAGGGGAAGTCTGATGTTTGGTGTCTAGACTGGTTTCTAACAATGTCAAGGAGTACCCTCCTCAAGGAAAGGAATCCCGTCACAGTGAAAAAGACCTCTTTCCTTCATCTCTCCCGCCCTTCACTTTAAAACAGGCTTTGGTGGCTGCAGTGGGTGCTTCCATTTCTCCTACTCAGACCCCACTCCATTGCCCTGATCTCCTACCAGGCGTTTTGCCCACTCTAACTCATGGTCAGGTCCTAGCTCCTTCTGAGGCTTCTTCAGCAGATGGTGCTGCTTGAAGAAAAGGAAGCATCTCAGAAAACAGAGTCTTTATGAAGGATAATAGTAATATTTATTATAGTAACTTAATAACTTCATATGTGATCCTGAAAATAGACCTGGATGAATTCCAACTTGGGAGAAGTATAAGAAGCAGAGAGGAATTGAATATGGAGTGGGACTGCCCAGAATAGGAGTGTCAAACTAGCCTTTTGATTCCTCTGAAACCTAGAAATATGAGGTGCTATGAATTCACAAGGAAAAACAACCTCCTGTGAGCAAGTGGGAGATTGGGAGCAGGGAGAGGAACCAGAACTCTTAGGAAAGAAAATGCATCAGTGAGGGAATTCTATTGGTCATGGCCACAGAGATAGAAAGTCTAAGTTCAGGCCCTGCTAGGCCTAAGATAGACAAATTTACGGCAAATACAGCCACATCAATGTTGACAGTGCTATTTATGGACCAGAAAGTGAGCCTAGGTTTCTAATTTCAAAACAGTATGAATTTTGAAATCTTTTGTTGTCCAGTGGTGTTCTGACTTAGCAGTGTCCTTACATCTCAGCTAAACCTCAGTAAGCTGCGGTCATAGTTACCCTTATTTCCAGAGTCATAAAAATTATTGAAGGCCTGGAAATGAATTCAAATGCAAATTTATATTTATCTCATTATTTCTAAGTCTAATCCCCATTTTCTTGCCTGTTACATGTAATTGTATGGTCTCCTTTTTTTATCACAACTCTCAGGATTTTGGAAGTGTTAAATTTGGATACAGAAAATTAGTAACTTAATGGCAAATTAGGCAGTCTTTAATGTTGCTACAGTTGACAGCGAAGGAGGTGGCAAGACAAGGTTATTCTTTGTTTGGAGGCCAGAGCGCTGTCAGGCCAACAAATCGGTCCTCTTATCTGCCTTATCTCAGTTTGCCCTTGCCGGGAAGGGAGCCTGCTGCAGACCTAGTTTTCCAGCTCTTGGTCCGTGCCCTTCTTTGTGGCTGAATTGACTTGGCTGGGTTTTCCCTCTGAGGTCATCACTTACTTATCCTTCCCTTATAAACTGGCTTTCTGAAGAGCTGACAACCATTTGTTCTTCTTTTATTTCCTGAGAACTAGAAGGTTTGTCCAGTTCAGTTCTCAAAGACACCTCATCTGCGCATTGTGCTTGTCAGCTCATCTGTAAGAGGAGGGAGTGCAGAGAACTGGTTGATGCCACGTCAGTGTGAAAGCTTTCTCGGTGACAGGCCGGGTGCCCGGGACAAAGGCCGGGTTCTCTGACAGCCTTCAGGTTCAGATGGGATAGATGTTGAGAACCCTGAATACATGCCTGCTACCTCCTGGTGTGCTGTGGAAAGATTTGAGCCAGGCAGCCTGACAGCTCATCCTCGCATACCTGGCACCCAGCCCCAATGCCAACCGCCCTCACCCTCGACCTGTGGTGGCTGTCTTCACTCACAGAGCTCCCGCAGAGTGACCACACCAAACCTTTGGATTCCAGGAGTGTCAGGTCATCCCACTGTCAGCTGCAGAAGGCCCTTTAAACCTTCTTTCTGTTCTGATGAGCCGTATAGACAAGGGTCATCGGGGGGTTTGGCTGGCAACATCAGCAGGAACTAGAATCACAGAAGAAAGGGATAGAACCTAGGGGATGAGACAGTACAGGTTTGTACTGGTGCATCTGGTAGATTGCAATTCTGTATCCAGGGGCACTCTAATCTGCCCCTCTAGAGAGGTCCAGACTCCCCAAAAGGAGGCTTTTCTTTTCTAAGCCATTCTGGACGGCTTGCTCAGTTCTTCTGGAAGGAAGAATGCCTTCTCTGATAGCACAAACCAAAGCCTGCTGAAAGCTTAATAGGGTTTATACCCAGGGTTCATCCAGGCCTGTGGAGGAGAGAAGGAATAGCAGCAGCCTTTCCTTTGTCTAATATGGGGAACTGAGGCACAGAGCCTGGAAGCCACTTGGTGCTCGGGGTAGATCTTGGAGCACGACAGTCAATTTTCAGAACTAGCTAAAGACACTCCTCAAGAAACGAGAGTTCAGGGTTATGTCTTATGAGTTCCTTGCTTCTCTTTTCCCACTTGAGAAAGATAACTGAGTTGTCTGTTCATCCTACTCAAAATTAAAAGCTACTTAAGTGCTTTCCATCCATCCTCCCTCTTGGTGACAAAGGTTGGTTTTCAATGACCTGTGTTTCTGTGTGAACAGCACCCTCTTCTCCCCCTCCGTGTGAAGAGCCCCAGCCTCTATTGGTAGTCTCTCTGCTAATCACCCTTTAGGATGGTAGGTGTGGACAAACCTCTGTTGACTTGGGTACTCTTGGGGGATTATCCGCAGAACAAAAGGTGGCAGCCTTCAGGGGCAGGGTAGGGGGTGGGGCATACTGCTGAGGGGATCAGATAACTAGGAAAAACAGAGCAGTTATGTAACTGTGTTTACTATGGCTCAGGTGGCGCTGAAAAGGCTGAGGCAGCCCCTGACAAAAGTGCCAGAACCGGAAAAAAAGTGTCACAGGGAGGGAGGTCCCAGTTTGGTGACAGGGAATCAGAGGAGACAGTGCCTGGGATGAAAGGAATCTACCCTGTTGTTGACAGCAGCCAGGTCACCTAGGACAGCCTGCCCTATCCCCAGCTTCTCCCTAAGCCTTGCCAACCATTCTGGGGGCAGGCCAGCAGCAAGCTGAGCTGAGGCTGCAGGGAGGAGCTTAGAAATCAGACACCTGGGTCTTGGCTGAATCTCTGGATTTTCCACCCCTTAATCTCCTAATTTCTAAAGAGGAGAGATTCTTCTCCCTAAATATGGGCAGAAAAGGAAGAGTCGATAAATTCCTTAACTTCTATACTCCCACCAAACTCTCATCCTCTTCTGAGGGGCACTGTGGAATACGATGGAATCATGGTGTTTGAGTTCCTCCATGGTCCAAGATCTAGCCTAAAACTCTGGGAGGGAGAGCAAGCCCAACTGAGACAGAGCTGGTTCTGGCCCAAGAGAGGAGGTGCTAAGTCCAGAATGGCCCAGGCCTCAGTGGACCCGCGGAGTCAAAGTAGCTAAGGGTTAGTCTCCCCACACTATAGAGCCTACCCCGCCTCCTACAGAGCTGTTGACTGGACTTCCTATTCCCATAGAGATGGAACTGGTAGCCCGTCCCCAGCTCCTTGGCCACGACTGCCACCTCCCCCTGTGAGGAACAGGAAGTTGGAACCTTTGTCAGCTCAGCTGCACCCTCTACATTAAATATTTATCTTGGAGTCCAGGTCAGAGCCCTATTGAATAAGAGACGCTCGCTGCTGGTGAGAGGGTATGACCAGGATTCCTGGAGTTGGAAGATCTTCAGCTTCATCATCTTTGAATAACAAGGAAGAAAATGAAAGAGATGTGGCCTTTCTTAGTCGCGAGGATCCTGCCAGGTGGGAAAAACTGGTGTCAAAGGAAAAGGGCACGTGTTTTGTCTCTGAGGGAGGGACGGGGCTTGGGGGAGAAGAAAGTAGCCAAGCTTTGGGGAGGGGAAATGCACTACCGCCTGCCCTCGGGAAGTCCCAGAGCTTGGACACTCCTTTCTGCAGCTGTCTTCTGTGGGCAGGGACTACCCATGCCCTCCCCACCCCTGTAGCTTTTCTGGAGAAATTTAGGTTCTTGGAAGGAAGTTTAAAAGTGATCGTGTTCCGCTCCTGCCCACTGCAATCATTGCCCCTACAAAGTTGCACCACAATTGGCAGCCTTGGACCTTCCATAATCATTTAAAAGCTCTTCCTTGGAAACATTGGCTCTGCTTCCAAGCATGCATGCCATGGCCCACTTCCACACCGCGGCCCCACAGGCACCCAGAGCGGGTTGCCCAGCTCTCCCAAGCTCCCCCCCCCCGCCCCCCAAATATTTCCTCCTTCCGCTTTTTCCATCTGGTATTGTTTCAAGCCGGCTCACCACAACCAGGAGAGCTCTTTGAACTGAACTGAGACGATAACGTTACTAGCTTCAACAGCGGTGGGGGCTTAAATGGTTTCATCTTTTCTCCATTTCCTTTCCAACTTTGGAGTTGCGCGCTGGGAAAACTCTCCGAGAGGCTCCCTAGGGCGCCACTCTCCAGCGCGGTAGGTATGCAATAAATGCTTTCATCATCTATAATTGATCGCTCCCAAAATGGGTCGGAAATTGCTCAGTAACTATTTACTGTTTGGTTGGTTTGGGGCTTGAGGTCCCAGAACCAAGTCAAGGGCTCAGAACTGCAGAGCGTTTTTTCCATTTGCAGTCAACACTCGGCGAGCACCTCCCTCCCTCCAGCTGGCGGGGGCCGCTGCGCCCCTCCTTGGCCCCCCCCCCGCCCCCCGGGCTCGAGGGGGGAGAAGAAGGGCGGGCCAGGGCTTCGGAAGCCAATGGGCGCAGGCCCTGGGGACGGGTGTCAGAGCCGCGGGAACAGCGGAAAAGCAGCGAGATCAAAACAAAAACGGTGTATGGGAACACCGAGACCCTACGAACCCCATCCCTGCCAAAGGAGCCCCACCCTCATCCTCTTCGGGGCCGCGGCACGCCCAGGGCCCTGATTTCCTGCCCGGGCTGTCCCCCGCGGGGCTTGCACGTGTGTGAGCGTCAGCCGCCTTGCCCGTGCACACGCGCGCGTGTGTTTGTTTGCACACGTCCGGACGCGCTTGCGCAAGCACCAATTCTCTCTCCCCAAGTTGGGAGGGGGCGGTGGGGCCTTCATTCAGCCCACTGGGCAGCTCCGCCTGGGGGGCGCCCTTATCTGGGCCCCAGTCTGTCTGCATCTCCGTCCCGTCTCCGGCCTCGCCGAGCCGCCGACTCCCTATCAGCGCTGGCTTGACCCGCGTCCTTTAATCGCGGCCGGTTCCTGCCCTCCATCCTGGCCCCGCCGAGCAGCGGCTCCTTCCCCCTCGCTGGAAATGTCGCTGGAAACTCTGAGCGGCGCTCGCCGGCCCCTCTGCCCCCCGCCCCGACGCTGGCTCTGCGGTGGGGGCCGGGAGGGCAGCTGGGAAACCAGAGCGGGTTCCCAGGGGACCCTCGGCGGCCCCTCCCGGCGCCGACTCACCACCCGCCGGCCCTCTCGGCGGCCGGCCACGGCCTCCCCGCGGCGCGCCCCGACGGAGCGCACTCGCGCGCCCCCGGCCGGCCGGCGCGAGCCCCCGCCCCGCGGGCGGGAGAGGGAGTCTCCGGCTCGCACCCCACCCCCAGCCGCAGTCCCGGTCCCAGGAAGACGGCCCCGCCAGCTCCCGGCCCGCGCGGCCCGGCCAGCGCGCGCCCCCTGGCCCCGTCGAGCCCGCTCCCTCCGCGGGCGTCCCGCCTAGCAGACCGGCCTTGACCGGGTCACGAGGGCGGGCGGCGCAGCCCCGACTTCTCCCTGCCCTCCCTGCGCGGGGACCCGCCGCCGCCGAGCCAGGCAGGAGCCTGGCAGAGATGCTCCTGCCCTCCCGGCCTTCCTGCGCGCCCGCCACCTGCTCGCCCGGGAAGGTAGGTGTCTCGAGGGAGAGGGGGCGGGTGGAGGCAGGAAGGCGGAGAGCCTCTCTCCCTGGGGTCTTCGTCCTAAATGCTGGGGTGGAAGAGATGGGAGTAACCCCTTAATCTCAGGAAAGGTGAAACTGACAGAAACCTGCCCATGCCCACGTGGGCTTGCAGCTGGAAAATGCCCGGAAAAGTGCCTAGGGCCGGGGCGCCAAGTTCAGGGCAATACTTGGAGGCGGCATAGAGTCTGCCTACTGCAGCAAGAATTACTGCACCCTGTGGAGCTGCAGGGGTGAAGAAGACCAACAGGATTGTGGGAGAACTCCCCAGATTTCCTGTCACACTCTGCGCTCTTCCAGATGTGGGGCCAATTCCCCTGGCCTCCATCTCTGTGTAAAGTCCTCCTTCATGTCTGCTGGCAGGATTGCCAGGAAAAAAACCCAATCTACCCTTCCCCATCCACCCCTGCATGCCCCAGGAGGAAGGCACTGCAGGAGCAGTGCTGCAAGAGGACAGAATAGGCCACCAAGAATTAGCAACCCCCGAAAATTGGGTGGTGTGGAGTACCTCCTGCTCACCTCATCCTAGAGAGGGCAGGTCCACCCCTCCCCCCAATATAGCAGGGTGGGTGGCACCCTGAGGCTAAGGAAGGAGGTTCTGGTCAGCTGATGATTGGGACTGCTGGTGCTGACCAGGCATCTTGGCCTCAGACAGTCAGCTGGGTGGGGAGGGGTTGCTGCTAGGAACCAGCCTCCCCTGACCTGTGCTACCAATCTCCCCTGCCTCAATTTCCCCTTCATGGGAGGGAGAGCAGGAACTGGGGAGTGTCTGCATGTTTTGCTTTTTGTAGGAGCCCTAATTGAATCCAGCTGTGAGCAACCCTTCCCCGGCCTCAGCCCTCCACTCCCCCCACAGCCAGTGATGGGCATGAAAAAGCTGTCCCCAGTAGGTCATTCAAATGCCTGAAGGAATTCCCACTCAGAGCAGAGGCAGAGGGCTGCCCCCAGCTTTGTCTATACCCTCCAGCTCCGCAAAGCCCTATCAGGAACTGGGTACAGGAGATGAATAATCACAGCACTCTATTGTACTTTCATCCCCTCTGGTCCCCCAGAACACTTGTGTGGCTCATATGACTGGTGGCTGCACACAAACCCCACCCCTGTCAGCTGACCTATTGGCACCCTCAGCCCCCATGCTGCTCACATGACCCTCTGGCTGTACCTAACATGGTCACATCCACTGCCAGCGCTGTGCTTACACTCTACCACACACAGCACCTAACAGGCCCTGCAGGCCCTCTTGAGCGCCAGGTTCCAGTCACACAAGTGCCAGGATTGGTCAAGCCCCAGAAGACAGCACAGGTTGGCTGAGCCTCTGGCCCAGTCAAATAGCACAGGTAGGAGAGAGGGGTTCTCGGGGAGAAAAGCCCTGTCGGGCAGGCCAACCGCTTCCATCTCTGGATGTCCGGAGCCCCTTGCGCCGACCTAAAGTTTGGATGGGGCAAAAAGCCAGCTGGCCGTTAGGCATGGTGTTGTTGGAGAAGACGCTCTGTTCAAAAACTGGACTGGAGGCGTAGAAAAGTGGGGTGTGTGTGTGTGAGGGGGGTACTCAGCACTGTCCCTCCATGAAAAGTCCAATTTTGTGCTTGCCTGCTGCTCTGCTTCCTACCTCCACCCCTCATGGGCACCCTGAGGGGAGCCTTCTGTGCAGGGAGGGAGGCCAGACAAGGGAGCCAATACTGCTTTGAGCTCAAAAGGCGTGGCTGCTGCTGCCTGGAAGTGGCTGCCCACTCTCCCCCCAGGAACCCTGGTCCTGTCACACAGTGGACATTTGGCCTTGCTGATTTAGGGCCTGAGTAAGCTCCTGTGCCCACAGACATACAGATGCGCTCACAGCCTGGGGGAGGCAGAGGGAACTGAAACAAAGTCTCGTGTGCCCAGGCCCTCCTGGCCAGCTGCCCAAGTTCCCTTCTGGGGGAGCCCGCCACAATGTGCAGTGAGAACCCCAGTGGGGCTGGCCAGTAGGCCTGTGTGCCTGAGGCTTTGTCCAGCAGACCTGCTCCTGGCCAGCCTCCCCCCTCCAGGCCTGGCCTCTCCCTCCCCCACTCCCACCCGGAGCTCCTGCCTGAGGCCTAACAAGCAGCCCATTGTGCCTCTGGGAGCTGCGCGGGCAGCCTGCAGGCGGGTGCCCGCTGTGGCCTGTTTCCTGGGTCCTTGAGCACCCACCCCGCTGGCCCTGACCCCCTCCCACAGCCATCCCCTCCTCCGCCACTGGTGGTTGTGGTCAAGCCCAGAGGGCACTGGCGGCCCAGGCCCAGCAGGTTTCCCTTCTTTTCTTCCCCACAGAGGACTTTCAGAGGAGCCCTCCAACCTTGACCCGAGCATGCAGGCCCCTCCCTGCAGCCTCCCTGCCGGGCTCAGCCTGGATGACTTCATTCCCCGCCACCTCCAGGCCCACGTAGGGTCTTCCTCCCGGGGCACACGGGTGAGTGAGATGGCGAAGGGTGTGCTGTGGGCTCACAGTTGGCAGGGGACTTGCAGGACAGTTGGGGGAGCCAGCGGATTAAAGGAAGAAAAGAGGGAGGGGGGCGGTCAGAGGATCGCACCAAAGGGCCTTGCTGGTTTCCCTGCAAAAGAATCAGGCTGACCTTGGAGCCCTCACTGTGGGGTGTGGGCTGTCCTGGTAGCCACCCGTCCTATCCTTCTGTGGAATCTTCTGGGCCTGAGCTGCTGCTCCTGGCCCCTCCACACAGGTGCCTGTGATCCGGAACGGTGGCTCCAACACCCTTAATTTCCAGTTCCACGACCCTGCGCCCAGGACCGTGTGCAATGGGTACTTCCCACAGAGGAGAGATGCTTCCCGGCACCCAGGTGGGTCTGCTCCCAAAAACCTGCTCCAGGAACCCTCTGTGGGGCGGGACTGCCTTCTGACAACATGATGTATTAGGCAGGGTGGGGCTGGGGTCTTCCCGGCCTCTGCCTCTGGCTCAGCTAACTCCCTTGCTGGCCTGTGAGAGTGAAACCAGCTGTGGGAGGCACAGCTTTCTCCCTGCTTCCACCCTCCTCTTACCCCAGTGCCAGGGGAAGGAAGCCTGCAGGGGCCAGGGAATGCGATTATATATATTGGTTCTAGAAGGAGTGAGGCCTGAAGCTGGCCCTAAGAGCTGCCCTAGCTGGACTCACCAGCCCAGCAGAAGGTTGGAGAGGCGACCTTGAGAGCCCATCAGCTGCTGGTCACCTATCGGTCACCCAGCCACAGTGTTTGGAGATCCTGATGAGGGTGCATCCTTTATCGAGCATTCCCTTTGTGCTGGACACTGTAGAGCTTTATCTCATTTAATTCCTTGATATCCTGATCAGGTAGGGTATGATTATTGAATCTTCCAGCGAGGAATCAGACTGAGATGTTCGGGCACAGAGATAGAGCAGATGGACCTTTGTCCACCTGCCTGGAAGCCCTTGTGCTGCTACACAGCAGAGAGCTGAAGACTCTGGGGAAGCTGAGGACGCAGTAGCCATGTCTGTGAATGAGTGTCCCTTACTGAGAGTGCTCGACTATGTGTCAGGCACTGTGCTGGGCTTGGTCACACACACTATCTCTCTGCGACTCTCCCTGATTGCTCTCATTTTTGTATCAGTGGCAACTGGGCACTGAGAGATTGATTGGTGGATACCACGTCACATAGCAGAGTGTATCTGAATCAGGTCTGCTCCCTCCACGCCCAGTGTCTTCTGCCACACCCTGTTGCTTCCCCTGCCTGTAGCTTTCTCTGCAAGTAGTGATTCCCAGCCTTGAGGATAACTCTAGGAAACGAGGGTGGGTGGAGGGAATGGCGCAGATTTCTCAAGACAAAATCCATTTTTATTATTCATTTTAATTGAAAAAGTAAACAAACAGAGGCCTGTGGAGGAGGTTTATAGAGTCTGCGTCATCAACTCTAAACAAACAAGGAGATGTTGAAACTTTTGAACCCACAGGGATCAATGTTCTGAGGAGCTAATGGGGCAAGCAACATCAGGTGGGCCCCAGCGCCTTGCTAATGCTCTCTTGCGCACACTCCACAGATCCTGCTTGGTATCAGACCTGGCCAGGCCCTGGGAGTCACCCATCTGGGAGTCAGAAGATCCCTGTTTCCCAGCATGCCCAGAACTGGTCAGCGACGTGGACCAAGGACAGTAAACGTCAGGACAAGCGCTGGGTCAAGTATGAGGGAATCGGGCCAGTGGACGAGAGCGGCATGCCAATTGCACCCCGATCTGTGAGTCCAGGGCTGGGGCTCCATGATGGCTGGAGCCCAGTGACCTGCTGAGCTCTGCTTCTGTTAATTAAAGTGGGGACCTTGTACCCAACCATTCCAGGCTAAAGCAGGGATTTAACCACAAAATGGGTTTAGCAGATGTTGAGTCTTTTAAAGTTATGGGCACTCTTGTGTGTCTGAGTTATACAAATGTGTCAGGGGGAGGGATTCTAGAATGTCCCTCAGGTTCTCAAGGGTGGAGAACCATTACTGTCAGCACTGGCCCTGGCACTGCCCCTTCTTAGTTGAAGAGCCCCTGGGCCCAGCTATGGCAGGCTTGGAAAGGTCTGGGATACCAGGCTTGGTGGACCCTGCCTGTCTCCTACCCCCTTGCCTGTCTTTGTTTGTTTGTTTATTTATTTATTTATATAAGAACCGGGGTACAGGCCAGATGCACAGGAGGGTGAGAGGATTCACCAGACAGAGCGGGGAACAGACCAGGCAGACTGACAAAATACACTGCTGAGGGGAGCAGCGGGCGAGACAGGAGAGGTCTGCTGCGCCACGTGGAACCCTCACCGGCGGCTGGGATTGAACCATTGCTGCAGAGGCTGCGGACAGCTTCACAGTGCGGCGCTCAACCGCCCGCGCCGCCACAAGGGGAGGCCCTCTGGTGAATTAGCTGCCTGCTTCTAGTTGCTCACCTCCTTATCTAAAACTGAAAGTGGTAACATCTCCTTCCTGCCTCCCGGGGCTGTTGTGAGTCTTAGGTGAGGCAAGGGATGTGAAATACCATTTCCCACCTGCATGACTGCATTTAGTTTTCCTTTCATAGTTGTCATTACGTAGAAACACATGTTTTTTGTTGAAACATTAGAAATATAGAAAATAAAAGAGAATGCACACCACCCCCTATCTCACGGCTTAGGGAGCAATACTGATAGAGATCCTTCCACATGTCTTATTTATCCATCAAGTGCTGTATGAAGTTCTGTCATTAAGATTAGCACAGCAAGGCCTCCCTGGTGGCACAAGCAGTTGAATGCAGCGCTGTGAAGCTGTCCACAGCCTCTGCAGTGCGGGTTCCATCCCGGCCAGTGGTAGAGACACTCACATGGCGCGGCAGACCTCTCCTGTCTCGCCCGCTGCTCCCCTCAGCAGTGTATTTCATCAGTCAGCCTGTTCTGTTCCCCGCTCTGTCTCTGGTGAATCCTCTCACCCTCCTGCGCATCTGGCCTATAGCCAGTGCTTGTATGTATAAAAAAGTAAATGAATCTTTAAAAAGAAAGTTTAAAAAACTAAAAAAATAAAAAGATTAACACAGCAGTCGACCCCCTGGGACTTCAAGGGAAGGACTCAGTAAGGAAAAGCTTCTGTGGCTGGGAAGGTAGCCTGATTTTGTCTTCTCCAATCCCAGAGCGTTGACAGCCCCAGGGACTGGTACCGGAGAATGTTCCAGCAGATCCACCGGAAAATCCCAGGTGAGACACCCTCCCAGGGCCCTCTCCGGGCCAGAGTGAGCTCAGCCTATGGGGCTTAAGGAAGGGAGTGGGGAAGGGAACTTACCTGCTTGGGGAGAGTGGTCCCCAGAACAAGCCACAGGAAGGAGCCTCCACATCTCCTCCCTTAATGGGGAGCGACCCCCCAGATCCCCAAGCCATTCTCATGGCTAGGAAGCCATGATGTCACTCATTTGTTCGTTCAGCCAATCCCTTGACCACCTATCGAGCACTTATCTGGGTGCTGAGCACTAAGCTAGGTGCTGAAGATACAAGGAACAAAGAATGTCCCTGCCCCGGTGAGGCAGCCATTCTAGGCCAGAGCGAGGCACAGAATGAACAAATCAGTGTTTCATGTGGCTGGCGATGTTAGGGCTGGGGAGGAAAAGGCCAGGGAGTGTCTGTGCAAGGAGGCTGCTACCTCATGCCCGCTGGTCCAGGGAGGGAGGTAGCCCTGTGGGCTCAGGGCAGAGCAGCCCAGCAGGGGGAGCAAGAGACCCAGAGGCAGAGCAGGCTGGCACTTTGGTTTTGGGCTGCAAGCAGAGCCGGGACTGGAGTGAGAGGGACCTGAGGTGGGGGATGGAGCCGCAGGTGACCAGGTCATGGAGGGCCTTCAGGCCATTATAAAGACTTTGGGCATTTTTATGTGAGAGTGAGGACCCACTGTGTGGTTCTGAGTGGAAGAAACATGCTCTGGCAAGTGAGGGCTGCAGAGGCTCACGCTGGCTGCAGGTGGAGAAGAGAAGGTGGGGCAGGGTGGGAGCAGGGCACCACTTAGGAGGCCTGACTTTAATTTAGTGACGTTCGTGTCTCAGACCAGGCAGTACAGTCGGCATGGTGGGACTCCAGAGACAGAGACATGGGAGTCTGCCGAGGGATTGGACATGACATGAAAGAAAGGCAGTTAGGGTGGCTTTAAACTTGAGCAAATTGAAGAATAGTTGCAATCCTTAAATGCTGGTCTAAGGGGCTTTCAGTTTTAGACATGCTTCCAAGTGGAGATGACAAGTAGGCAGTTAATATCCACATCTATAGTCCAGGGTGAGGCTTAAGCTGCAGATGGAAATACCTGGACTCGGAGAGACTTTGATTTAAGGCTCCCAAGCAATTCTAACATGCAGCCAGGGTTGTATATCCCTGGACTAGATGGTATTTTTAAAGCCAGAGGACTAGATAAGCCACCTAGTGTGATGGAGAGAAAGATCCCAAGGACTGAGCGCTGAGACACGTGGAAGTTCAGAGGTTCAGGAGGTGAGCAGGAACCAGTACAGCAGACTGAGTCGGTGCAGCTATGGAGATGGGAGGAAAACCAAGTGGTCCCCTGAAGCCAAGTGAAAAAGGAATTTAAAAAGGAGGAAATCACCCACGGTGACATAGGCTGCTGATGGTCAAATACCATTGGCCATGGAGGTCGCTGGGGTCTTTGATGAGAGCAGCAGGGGCAAGAGTGCTGGGGCTGAAAGCCTGCTGAGCTAGAAGGGGAATTGCCCACGGTGGGTTCCTCCTGCTTGCTGCAAACAAAGGAAAGCAGAAAAATCCAAGATCCAGAGGATGGTGTGCGATCTCAAGAGGGGCATTTTGGTTTCATCTAAAGTTGAGCTGCTGTGTCACGTCTGCATGCCAAGGAGGTCAGAGGCGTTGGTTGTTCAAGTGCATTTCCTAGAAAAGTCATAGGTACCTGAAAGTGGAAAGTCATAGGTACCTAGGAAAGTCATAGACCCTGAAAAGTCATAGGTACCATAAGGAGTGGGTTTGGGCTGTGGGGAAGTACAAGCATTTAGGAGAGGGTGCAGAAAAGGAAATAGGAAGAACAAGAAGTGGGATGTCACCAGCCTGACATGGTGTGGGCAGGTCTGCAAAGGTCAGGGAGAGGGTGTGTATGGGAACGCAGGCAGGGAGGAACAGGAGGGTTTAGGCAAGTCTGTTGCCCAGTTGGGTTGGCTCGCTCAGTCCCTAAGTCTGCCAGAGGCATTTCAGGCCCTCCTGAGAACTGCCCTCCTAATTCCTGCCCTCCCTGGGGACATTCTTGAGGTCCTGACTCAGCCCCTTGGCCCCTGCTCTAAACAGGAGGGAGGCTGGAAGCAGCGGCCAAGGCCACTTCCCTGACCTTGTCCTTTCTGATTCTGCAGACCTGCAACTGGACTGGACCTTTGAGGAACCACCCAAAGGTGAGGAGGTGCCAGTGCCTCGCCTGGCTCCTGCATCTGCCCCTCCCTGCAGCCATGTTTGGCTTTGGGGCTCCCTGGTTGGTTTAGTTCAACTTGCATTTTTATAGTCCATTTCTGGTGAGCTCCAATGGGAACTCAGCTTGCTGTGCAGAGAATGCTTAGCCCTGGCCATGTTTTCTCTGGGTTTCTAGCCTCATCTACAAAATGGGGATATAGCAACCCCAGAGTTGTTTTGAAGATTTAGTAAAGTGTGCAAAACTCTTGGTGCAAAGCCCACATTTAGTAGACTGGAGCACCATCCCAGTTCCCACAAGCCACCCAGGAGTGTGGGTAGAGATGCGTGCCAGACCTTCAATGATCCCCCAGGCACCCTCAAGCCCAGTGCTCACCTCCCCCTCCCCCTGCCTGTCTTCTTCTATTTCAGGGGGCTCCTGCAGCGCCACATCAACAGACTCAAGGCATCCAGGGCTCCAGCAAAAACCTGCCTCCAGGCCAGGCCAGTCCTCTCTGAGTGGGTGAGCCTTGGTGGGGAAGGGGCAGGGTCTGGGAAAAAGTGCTGTATTCCTTTTTGAGGACTGGCACCCCCTGGTGGCCACAGCCAGTGCAGCCTGAGAGCTGGCAAGGTCTGATCTGGTTCCTCTCACAGCCTTATCACTTGGCAGGGTCCCCACTACTGCAGAGACTCCCCTCCCTGCCAGGGCCAAAGTGGGGTGCTAGGCAGGGATACACCCATTCCTGGTCAGGAACACCTGTGACACTTCTGACTGGCAGTAGAACTCTGTACCCCAAAGATCCACAGATCACATGGAATGGGGGGGAGGGGTAGGGAAGCCCACACGGCTTTAACTTGTGGGCCATCTACTGAGGCCTGAGGGAAATAAAGGCTGTGGAAGACCATAAGCTTCTTCCCAGATCCACTGAGAGAGGACTTCCTCTCCCCTACACCCAGGTGAAGGATCCAGTTCCTTTTGTCTGTGTAGTCCATACAGGCCCAGCCGTGGCTGCCAGGGCGCTGACGGGGTTCAGTGTGACCTTGGGAACCAGGAGCTTTGTTCGCAAAGTGAAATTTGAGAGATCACCTCATCAGCATAGCCATGACTGGCTGTGGCTCTCGACATGATCAGTTACACAGAGGCTAAGAGCTTGAGATTTGGCTTCAGCTGGATCAAGCTGACATGTTGCCATTAGCCCTGTAACCTTGCACAGCTTCAGCAGCCTGAGCCTCAGTGTTCCCATCTGTTAACAGGGATCATGGGTGGTTGTAGGACCAAGGCACATAGCAAGTCTCCACAGACATCACCAATGTACAGATTTAATTATGACTAAAGTTCCCTTAGATTAGAAAAGACACAATCCGTGCCCCTTATCACTAATATGACTAACATTATTACTAAAATAGAGAATAGAGTCATTGTCACAGCCACCAGATCCTGACTCCCCCATTAGACATTCAGTCCTTTGATAAGTTGCTGAGGTGCTGCACTTGGAGAAGAGCTTCAGACGCAGCAGAGGCTGGAGCATGACAGCCATCCAGGATAGGTGCGCCGGAGGGGACTGCGGCCATGTGCTGGCGGGCACCCGGGGGCTGCGAGGCCTCCCTGGAGACTTCACTGCATCGGTGCCCTGAGGGAGCAGAGACGACTTTCAGGGGCTCTTTCCCTGGTCGCGGTTCTCCTTGAAATAAGATGTAGTCTTACACTCTTGGGCCTGGGTGTAAGACCACGCACAGTGGCAGCTGGAGAGATCACCTTCTTCAAAACTGTACAAACATACAGAGCCACAGCCGCGGGCCCAGACTGAATGCCACTGCGGGAGAGTTCACCGGGAGGGTTCTGCCACTCAAAGAGCAGATGCATGTGTCAGGCCTCCTCCTGGGCCTCGCCTCTCTTCCCTCACCTAAGCCTCGCCACACCCTGATGACGGTGGGGATCATTTCCACACTATGGTATTGAACCTGAGGCTCCAGAGTTCAGTCACTTGCCAGGTCGCACAGCCGAGTGGTGGAGGTGGGATGTGAACTCAGGTGCTTAAGTCTGCTTCCACAGTCTGGAGCAGGTGGGCAGGGGTGCAGCTGTGTGCTCACGGCTACTGCAGTTTCTGCAAAGGAAACTGAAGGGATTCCCTTCCCTTTCTTTAGAAGAAACTGGAACTCTGAAGAGTTTCCTAGGCGTACCTTCAACTCTAACCTTGGAGCATCTTCCTCTCCGGTGCACACTCCAAATCAGGTAGCTTGCCAGAACCTCCCTCCACCTCCCCCCTCCCCCAACACCCTGCTCTTTGGCCAGGCCCCTCTGCCGAAGCTGCACAGATAAGCCCTTTCCACTTGGTGCAGCCAGGAGAGCCCAGAGTGCTTAGGAGGCGCCAATGGGCACAGGGGAGGGACTATCACCCCAGAGTCTGTTTTCTGAGCCTGACCAGTGTCCTCTCCTCAAGTTGTTGCCCACCCACCTCCATGTAGGTACACAGACGCAGAGAGAAAGCGGACAACATCTGGACAGAAGAGTCTTGGAATCAGTTTCTGAAAGAATTAGAGACTGGGCAAAAGGTGAATGGGTGCAGCCCCTCAGCTTTGCATTTTAGAAAGCGGGTTCACGCCCTCTGACTTGCTCTTCCCTCCCTTAGCCCAAGAAGCCACTGGTGGACGACCCTGTTGAGAGACCCTCCCAGCCCATTGAGGTGAGTACTGTGGGAAGTGGGGGTGTGTGGGAGGGGACACAGCAATGCGGAGAGAGGAATGAGGGAGAGTCTGGGTGATGTTGGTCCCGGTGACCATAGGCAAAGGCCACAGACCAAAAGCTCTGACCCTCTCCAGTCCTGTACAGTTTTCTAGCCCAGGACAGTGTCTGGCACACAACAGGCATTCAATAAACATGTGTTGGATAAACGTGTGTTGACCAACACAAGAGCTGAGAAGGGAGTGGTGGGTGTGGACTGGAATGGTCAGGAAGTATTCTTGGAGGTGGAGCTGGTCCTCCAAAGAGTTTGGCCAGGCAGAGGGGGTAGGGGAGGAGCAGAGGCAGAGGCGGGAGAGAGATTGATTGATTCTAGGGTGTGTTCTTGCACAGGCATGTGTGACCACCAGCTGGGACGGGCAGCGGGAGGGGGAGCAGGTTGGGTACAGGGAGGCCAGGCTGTGGAAGACCACCTGGGAGAGGAACTAGGGAGCCCCGAGGCTTGGGGACAAGGAAGTAACTTGACAAAAGTGGCACTGAGGCGCCATCAGTAAGTATTAAGCGAATGTCATCCGTCTAGGTGAGGGGTGAGCTGGCCCAGGAGGGAGGGGCCAGTGAGAGGCTGTGGCAGGGGCGCCCTCCAGACGCCCTGAAATGCCTCCCCAGGGCCACAGGCAGGGGGCCTGCCCCTGGCTCTGAGCCCTGAGCCTGCCCTTTACCCGAGCGCCGTGCGCTCTGTCCTGCGCTTCTCCCGAGTGAGCTTTGCCCCGCGCCCGCCCCCGACTCTGCACGGCCGGGTCTGCCCATCACCGCCCCCCCAGGTCCTGCTGGAGAGGGAGCTGGCCAAGCTGAGCGCGGAGCTGGACAAGGACCTGCGGGCCATTGAGACTCGGCAGCCGTCCCACAAGGTGGCGGCCTCCCGGGGCTCCCCTGGGGGCCGCGGGGGCGGGGGGGGGGGGGGGGCGGGGAGGGGCCGGCTGGCGGGGCCGATCGCCCCCAACCGCCCGGGGCGCGTCCTCGGGCCGACTTCCCCGCCGTCTGCGCCGCCCTCTAGAAAAGCCGGGGATTGACTTTCCCCGGTGACCCCGAAAAATCCTCCAGGCCGCCTCCGCCTGACGTCCGAGGGCCCGGGGCGCGCCCGCCCCGCCCCCATCCAGCCCGCGGGACCCCGGCCCGGCCCCGGCGCGGCGTCCCCGGCCGCCCGCCCCCTTCCGCCGCCCGGTTTCCTCCCCGGCCCCTCCCGGACCCCGCGGCCCGCCCGCCCGCCCCGCCCGCCGCCTTCCCCGGGCGCCGAGAACTTTTCCGGAGGCGGCGGCCTCGGCGGCGCTGGGACCCGCGTCCCGGCCTGACCGCGCCCGTCTCCCCGCGCAGAGCTCGCCGGCGCCCGGACGGCCCCGGCCCGCGCGGCCCGCGGCGGGGTGAGTGCGGGGGGCGGCGGGTGAGCGCGGGGGGCGGCGGGGTGAGCGCGGGGGGGGGGGGGGGGGGGGCAGGGTGAGCGCGGGGGGCGGCGGGGACGTGGCGGGGCGGGGGCCGCGGCCGCTGCTCCTCGCCGGGGAGGGGGGCGGCCCCGGGCGCCCCGAGGGAAAGCGGGCCTCTCCCCGGGACGCGGGGAGTGGGGCGCGGGGAGGGGCGCCCCGCACTCCCCGCGCGCGCCCCCGCGGGCCCCGGCCGCGCCCTTGCCCGCCCGCCGTGGGGAGGCTGGACGGGGTGCTGCGAGCCCAGGATCTGGGAGACGCTGGGGGGTGGGGGGGTGGAGGGGCGCGGAGCTGGGAGCGGGGTGCAGTGGGATGGTCAGGGAGGTAGTGGGGTGAGCTGGGAGGGTGTGAAGTTCACTCGCTGTGTCCCCACGCAGCCCAGCCTCAGCCTGGAGCTCCAGCACCCCGAATGCACTTTACCTGGGTTCCTCCCGGCCCCTGAGCCCCCACAGAATGGCGGATGGAGGAAGCCCCTTCCTAGGTCGTAGGGACTTTGTCTACCCTCCCTCAGCCCGAGGTAAGGACCAGTTCCTGCCGCTTTTCTCACCCACACGGTCACCCTACGCGTCACATATGCTTGTGCCTTGGGAGGCGGGAAGGGCCCAGAGCCCCCACCTGTCCCTGGTGGGGGGAGGGCATAATGCCACGGACCCTGCACCCCAGAAGCGGCCTTCCCGCTGAGGTAGTGCTTCTCCACAGACCCCAGTGCCTCTGAAGGAGGGGGCAGCCCTGCCAGGAAGGAAGAGAAGAAGGTAAGAGGGGGTGGAAGCCCTAGGGTCTGGGTGCAAGGAGGGTCTGCAGTGGGTGGGAGTTGGGGGGTCGGCGGTTCTGAGCCTGCCACCTGCCAGGCCGAGGTAACCGCTCTGTCCTCTCCTCTCCTTATACCCAGAGGAGGGCTGCCAGGCTCAAATTTGACTTCCAGGCACAGTCCCCCAAGTAAGTGTTGTCCTGCTGTCTCCTCCCCTAGGCCTGGGGTGGTCTCTGCACTCTGGGGAAGGGTAGGGGGGTTGGGGCGGTGGGGTAGCTTGGTGGGGACTCTGTGGTCTGATAAGGAGGAGGACCCCAGCTTGTTGGATGTCTTGCCCTGGGCTGCAGGGAGCTGACTCTGAAGAAGGGGGACATTGTGTACATCCACAAGGAGGTGGACAAGAACTGGCTGGAGGGAGAGCACCATGGCCGGCTGGGCATCTTCCCTGCCAATTACGTGGAGGTGAGTGGAGAGGAACAGAGCGAGCAGGGGCCCCGGCAGGAAGGCAGATGCATTAGCAGAGACTTAATGTGCAGACCCCCTTTGACCGTGGGGCCCTCTCCTGCTCACATGTCACTGGTTTCCTCAGGTCTGAAACTGTGAGCCTGGGGACAGGGGCCAAGGCAACCTCATTCATGACCTTGGCCCCACAAGTCCTGGCCTAGGAGCTCCAGCTTTGTGTCCTGCTGATACTCAGGTGTAATATTTTTCATGACTCTTCTCCCGGTAGGTGCTGCCTGCAGATGAAATCCCCAAGCCCATCAAGCCCCCCACCTACCAGGTGCTGGAGTATGGGGAAGCCGTGGCCCAGTACAACTTCAAGGGGGATCTGGAGGTGGAGCTGTCCTTCCGCAAGGTGCACCAGGCCATCCAGGAGGGCAGTGGGAGGCTGGTGAAAACATTTAGGTGTACCCATCTTCACCCAGTATTGCAACTTCCCGCCCAATCTCTGCATATGTTCCCTCAGTGTAGCCCATTTTTGAAAGGCTATAAATTTCTAGAATGGTTGTGCTTTTTTTGTGTAGGTTGGGGTAGGCTGTGAGGATCACAATCAGCATTTTTGACAAAAAAGTGGAATAGAAATACTAGATGCCTTCCATATAGGAAGGGCATTATCAAATTTTGGGGCAGTTCTCAAATACTTCACTCATTGGTAATTTACAGTTTTTATTGTAGATACCAGAGAAGTCTCTTGCTTTTTTTTTTTTAAAGATTCATTCTATTCATTTATGCATACAAACACCAGGGTATTGGCCAGAGGTGCAGGGGCAGAGGATAAGAGGATTCACTAGAGACAGAGTGGGTTGCAGAACAGGCAGATCTACTGAAATACACTGCTGAGGGGAGCAGCGGGCGAGACAGGAGAGGTCTGCTGCGCCATGTGAGTTACTCACTAGACGGGGATCAAGCTCAGGCTGCAGTGACTGGTGATAGTGCTGAGATCCCTTGTGCTTTATAGTGCTGAGACCCCTTGTGCCACCAGGGAGGCCCCCGGGAAGTGGGAAGTCCCTTGTTTTCACAACATGATGGTTGAAGCAGTATCGGGTTCTGAAGTGAATTTTTAGACAGTTGTGTAGTGTATTCTGCAGGACTGTGGTTAGACACGGACCATGGCTTGACTGGCCAGAACCCTTGGATTTAAAGACTTCAATTCCTTTCATTTTTCTTATTCTCAGTGCAGGCAGGCTGTTCAGCCCACTGGCTAGAGTGTTTGGTATTAAAGTACTTAAAGTATTAAAAACAGTTTTTACTGTGGATCATGGTCAAGGAAGTTTGGAAAATGTCTTAGAAAGCAGGAAACAGCCTCCCTTTGTTTGACTTTTGGGACAGAGGCCATGAATGCTTCCAGTGACTGCACCCCAGAAGGGCGAGCCCCAGGGAGAGAGCAGGGAGGAGGTGGGTGAATAGAGGGTGGTGGGCAGGAAAGGGCTGGAGATCATCTCCCAGGGCCGCCCCAGCTGACATCAGCCAACTGTGAGCTGGAGAATGCTGCAGCTGCCCTCAGGGAGTTTTTTGTTGCAGTGGGGACAGGATCCCTAGGGTGGAGGCAGGAATAAGGACCTCTGGCAGTGGTGGCTGGTGCTTGTACAGAGCTTCTTATGAGCTCTGGGGGGAGATAGTGCTATGACCTGGCCAGGGGACACATGTCCATAGGCTTCCCATAGAGGCAGGCCTCGGTTAAACCCAGCACTGCTTGGTGGGCAGAGCGCAGACATCTGCCTGCTCCCCCAGGCAGCCTGGATTTGGCTCCTGCCTCCCCCTCTTCCTAGCTGTGTGACCTCCACATAACTTGCTGATCCCCTCTAAGCAAGATGTTGTGTCTAAATGAGGCAACCCACATGTCAGGTCAGGTGCGGAAGCCCAGGAGGGCCTGCAGACACAGCTCCTTTCTCCCCACCCAGGGCGAACGCATCTGCCTGGTCCGCAAGGTGAATGAGAACTGGTACGAGGGACGCATCTCAGGCACAGGGCGCCAGGGCATCTTTCCTGCCAGCTACGTGCAGGTCACCCGGGAGCCCCGGCTCCGGGTCTGCGACGAAGGCCCCCAGCTCCCTGCATCTCCCCAGCTGACTACCACCCACCTGGCCAGTCACCCCAGCTCCCCCTCAAAATTACGAAGCACAGCTGACAACACCGACTGGGGGGGCCGGACCTCACCCCACCGCCCTGGCTTTTCCTCCCCAACTCAGGAGCTTAAACTCCAGGCCCAGGTAAGGTGACCTACCTCTGACTGGAGAACTCATCTCTGCTAAACATTGCTCCCCACACACCCCCATTCCTGGGATGGGCTGCACTTTGGAATTCTTCCCAGACTGCCTCAGGATAGACTAGTGGGGGCTCCGGATGGAAGCTTGCATGGGGCCCCACCCTGCCCTTGTGGACTGCAGACCCTTCAGGTGGTCTGACCCTTGAACAGCACCCAGAGGCATGGGGTGGCCAGCCAGCTCTGGGTGGGACCCTAAAGTCAGCCCTGGCCTCCTGATCTCCCACACTGCACGTTGAGGCAGACTTCCCTCTCTGGGCTTGGGTTTTCTCATCTGTAGGACAGAGTAGCTGGTGGGTGGAAGATAGCCCTGAACCCTGGACTGAGAGCTCGTGAGGCTCCTGCACTCCTTGCTCATCAGCAAACCTGGACAGCCAGATACAGCCACACCAACTCCTCTCTCCCCTGGCTGGACAAACTTTGTCCATGCTGGCATTCAGAAATCAGCCCCGCACCCTAGTGGGCCTCAGTTCCCAGCCCTGTGACGTAAAATAGTCAAACAGATCTTCCTGTGCCACGTGGGCGCGGCCGCTGTAGGTCAGGCGGCCTATTTCCCGTCTCTCTCATGCCTGCCTGTGCCGTCTTTCCTTCTGTGGGCCTCCAGGGTCTCGGCACCCCTGCCTCAGCTTTGACCCATCATGGAGGCTCCAGCCGTGCCATGGACGTGGGGACCTCCTCCCCCAACACCACTCAGATACACTGGACCCCGTGAGTACTGCAGCCGTGGGCTCCAGGTGGGCCCTGAGGTGCACAGATTTCCAGAAAACCCCCACCGCGCCGTGGATTTGTGAACTCCTAGCAATAGATAGTGCTTGTCCTTGCAGCACTTATGTATGATGGGGGGGAAGTCTTTTATGGGGGAGCAGGGGAGCAGGCACTTCTCAGGGGTGTCCTGACCTTCCAAGCAGCCCTGTGGCCTTCAAGCAAATCTCCCTCGGGTCCTTTGCTGGGTTTGCAGTCCTGAGGGCAGTGCATATGTGGAAGAAGTGTGGGAGTTGGTAGAACAGACCTGAAGGCCCTGGGGAATGGGGTGGGGGGTTGGGTGGTTAGGGCTCAAGGACAGGGAGTCCCTCCAGAGAGGAATGGAGTCTCCATTCCTGGGGATGGGCCTTGGGCTCATGGGAGTGGGGAGGGACCCTGGGAAACTCAGAGGAAGGGGCAACACTTGGGTGTGAACTCTGCCGGCTTGGTCTGGGGATGGTGGGGACTCCGGGGGGTGCCATGATGCTGTCTCCACAGGTACCGGGCGATGTACCAGTACAGGCCCCAGAATGAGGATGAGCTGGAGCTGCGAGAGGGGGACCGGGTGGATGTCATGCAGCAGTGCGATGACGGCTGGTTTGTGGGTATGTGGGCCTGCCAGGTGTGCCTCAGGGACAGACTAGAGGGGGCCATCTCAGGGTCCCTGGGGGGTGGTTTAAGTGGGCTGCTGCTGCCTGCCAGTGCTGGTTCAGCAAAGATTCCTGGCCTCTTCGCTCCCCACTTAGCTTCTAGCCTGGCAACTGGGAAGGCCTGGCATTGGGGCTTCCCCAATCCAGCACTCTGTTGTCTGTCCTGAAGAGGGACAAGCTGGGAGGAAAATCGGCTACCCAGGATCATCGATGAAGTCAGTGCAGCCTCAGGGTGGGGTTCCTGACCTCTGGACTCCCCCTTCCTCCTCTTTCCCACCGCACACTCAGCCTCTAGAGCAGTGTTGGGGGTGCAGGGTCCTTCTTTCCATGTTGCTAAGTTCCTGGTGGAAAAATTCAGGTCTCACACCTGTGTTCCCTGGCCTGCACCCTCCCCTCCCCCAGCCAACCAGAGGGAGTGCAGTACATTAAGATCCTAGTCCCCAGGCCTGTCCAAGGGCTTTCAGGCAAAGGACTAATGCAGGAAGCCTCAGGTTGGCCTGGGCCTGCTTCCACCAGGGTCCACATGGTCTGTTTCCCAGGGTGGGCAGGCCCTGCGCAGCCATCAGCTACAGAGGATGGGGTTGTCCTCAGAGGCCGGAGCAGCCAGAAGCCCTTCCCTCAGTGCTGCAGGACCTGAAGGGTTGACTTGGGGGGTGGCGCTTCCTGGGCAAGGGTGGCCACAGAGGCAGTTAGTTCCTTGACCTGGCAGCTGCCCTTTCTCTTCTGAGTCTCAGTGCCTTGCTGCTGACCAAGCTTTGCACACACCAGTGATTATGAAGCACTGACTTGTTAAAGGCCCTTGCCGCAGACTGGTGGGCTGGGGTGCATTCCAGTTTTATTCTGAAGGTTTCTGCTTTTGATTTTTTTTTACAACTACTAATAAAATGTTGCAAATTTTTACTAGACTAGAAGGACAGCACCATTTATGTGGTATAAGCCACAAATGCTTTTAGAGGAAAGGAGCAGAATCTTCAGTTTCTTAGTCACCTGGGCTCATTTCAAGTGTTCAGTAGCCCCTTGGCTAGTGGTTGTCATTTTGCATGGTGAGAGTCAGGGAAGGCTTCCTAGAAGAAGTGGGGGAACTGGGCCTTGAAGAGCAGGGGAAGGATTTGGGGAAGCAGAGAGGAAAAGGGAGCACTACAGGCAGGGGGCACAGTAACAGCAAGGTCTGGGGGCAGGATGGCTTTGGGTGCTCACAGGAAGTCAGGGTGCTAGACTGGGCGGAAAGGGAAGGCCCAGGACTTCAATTTCATTTTATATTCCTCTATTCCTTACCCTCAAGACACAATTTTCTTAGGGGTTATAGGAGACCAGAGGCCTGCCTTTTAGTCCCTCTTTAGCCCCAAGCTGCCCAGTGCTTTGGGGGAATTCACTCGGCCTCCTCTCTACCTACCCCATCTCTAAATTAAGGTGCCATACTATAGACCAGTAGGGTTCCTGCTGATGTAAGTTTTGTGATTCATCCTCCCATGTCCCTGCTTTCCCAAGGCAGGGTGGGGTCATTCCGTGCTGTGTGCCAAGGTGTAGACAGTCAAGTGCCCAGGTCCTTAGGTTGGTACTGCATTTAGGAAGTATTGCTTTGTCCTTCTAAGTTTCTGCCACTCGGGGGCAGGGGTGAGAAAAGCAAATCTTCCCCGGGGTTGGGACTCCACCTGCAGTTCTGAGTACGGCCAGCAAAGGGCAGCGCCTCCCCCACCCTACAGTCCTGTTACAAAACCAAGTGTCTTTCTCTTCCTGTTTTTCCTCTCTCAGGTGTCTCCCGGAGAACCCAGAAATTTGGAACATTCCCTGGAAATTATGTAGCCCCGGTGTGAGTGGTCTCCACGGCAACTCAAGAGTCCAGCCAGGTTGGGGTGGGGAGCAGTAGCACTTATGGGAGGGAGAGAGGACCCCCCTCCCACATCCTCCTGCCCCAGGACCTGAACTGTTGGCATCTGCAGACAACTCCAACAGCCTTTCCCTTGGAGCCCCCTGGAGCCCCCTGGACTGATTCCCACCCACAACTCACAAGCATTCCTCTGACAGTCCTTTTATTTCCTCCCCTACCCCACTCCCCAAATATAGAGGTCTGCTTTGAAGTGGAGATGGTTTCCAGCCTTATTGAGACCAGACCCCCGAGTCCCCCACCCCCACCCTGCTATGGCGTTTCCTCTAACAGGGACCAGCTCCCAGCTTCACCCCCATGGGGTTCCTCTAACAAGGACCAGCTTCCTAACCTAACAGACCAAAGGCTGCCTCTGCCTGGAGGGGGTTCCTCCCCTTTCCAGCTTGCCCCCACCCCTTGCCTGCCTGCTTCCAGCTGAGCCTGGGAGTGTCTTGGGGGTTGGACACAGCACCTTCTTAGCAGTCAAGGCCTGGCAAGAGTTCTGTGCAAAGGCCTCCTCTTCCCAGAGACTGCCAAGCCCTGAGCCGGGCCCTGCAGATGTCCTGCTGCTGTAGTGCCCAGGAGGGGTGGGTCTGGAGAACTGTCCTCTTCCACATGTCTGCAGGAGAGACTGATATGTACTGCCCTTCCCAGCTCTGCCCAGCCCCTAAGTCTCCCCTGGAAGAGAATGTACAATAAATCTGGATACCAGGGACCTGCCTTGCAGTTCTTTTCCTTTGGGGTGGGAGAGGCCTCCTCTTGAGTGTGCGTGTGTGTGTGTGTGTGTGTGTGTGTAAGGGGAGGCTGGAAAAGCACTGTCATTAGCTCTAAAGATCTCAGGTCTCAGGCAGAATTGGGCAGCCCCCAGGATTGGGCAGCTGTCTGACCAGCAGTGTTAAGAGAACAACTAATGTCACATGGACCAGGGCAAGACTGATTGTGGGGAGAAACCAGAGACAGGAGCTGAATGCAGCCTTGTTTGCAGACTGTTTTGATTCTGGAGCCACTGTGGGGTTGCTGGACTAGATGACATCTCGGCTGTTCTGCTCCTAATGCTTTCCTTCTGCGGACTCCGTTTCCACACCGAAGCTCTCAAGCATTTGTTTACTTGTTTGGGCTCAGGTCTTTGAGCAGTCAGTTGTGGGAACTGGGAGTGGGGGGCACAGCTAGCCAGTGACTTCTTGCCCTGGGTTTCAGAGTCCTGGGGTTGTGGTGGCTGTGGCGTGGCAGCAGTGCATCAGTCTGGGCTGGCTGCTCTGTTCTGTGGCAGCTGCTAGGAAGCTAAGCGGGCATAGGTGCTATAAATTCTTTAATGTTAAGTGTCCCAGCAGGAGGATATGATTCCATTTTACAGGAGGAGAGACGGAGGCCAAGAAATTTTGTCTAGATCACATCACTATGAAATGCTGGTCCTATCAATGACTTGCCACCTCTCTGCACAAAGCCTACCAAGTGCCCAGGCAGGCTGTGTGCAGAGGCCCCAGAGAAGGAAGGTAATGCGTGGAGTCAGGGCTGCTCTGGGAGGTCCTGGGCTGGGCCTCTTAGCATTCATCCTGGCAATTCTGTCTTCTAGGCCTGTCACTAAAGGTGCCCCCACCCCAGGTGGGTGGAAAGGGGTGGTGGTGCATAGTCTGTCAGGCCGGTGGGAGGGTCTGTGAGTGACAGGGCTGTGACCTGGCCAGCAGGTTCCATGAGCCTGGGTGTGACCTGAGGCCCAGAGGTGGTTAAATAGCAGCTTGAAGAACAAGACCTACGTGCACTCCTTTATCCATTCTGTTCATCCCTGTGCTCACCACGGTCTGCTGGTAAGCTGGCAGGTTTAGCCTGTCCTGTGGAGTTATTCTTCAGGAGCCCACTGGCCTGTTTCGGATCCTGGTCCTGGCTCCTTTGCATCCCCTGATGCCCTCATAAATGATATCAGGGTTGAGACTTCCTTTCCGGGCAGAAACCAAATCCACACCCTCTCTGATGAGGCCCTGAAACCTCTGCCGCAAACCAGCCCTACGCCCCTGGGCTGCCTGCCATGAAGGCCCTGCCTGTAAAATGGCCACTTCTGTGCCTGACCCAGCTTTAGGGAGGCGTAAGGAGGGAGGGGCCCTAAGGAGTTGAGAGCCAGAAAGGACCTGAGGCCAGGGGGTATGACGTGTGAGGCATATCAGACTGAGGTGAGAGGAGTGATTTTGACTTGCCCAGGGTCACGGCATAGTTTAAATCAGGACAGCACTTCCTTCTCCACAGGGCACGCCTTGGGGTCAGCTGAGTGGTTTTTTTTTTTAAGATTTATTTTTATTTATTTATGCATATAAGAACTGGGGTGTAGGCCAAAGGTGCTGGGGCGGGGGAGGGGGTTTGAGAGGATTCACCAGAGACAGAGTGGGGAGCAGAACAGGTGGATCTACTGAAATACACTGCTGAGGGGAGCAGTGGGGAGACAGGATTGATCTGCTGCACCATGTGGATCAGCTCCCTGCCTGGGGATGGAACTCATGCTGCAGTGGCTGGTGATAGCTTGACAGTGCTGAGACTTTAACCCCTGCGCCACCAGGGAGGCCCAGCAGAATGCTTCTGTTATGAGTTTTGTGATTACACATGCCACGGAGCACAGTCCAGCAGATGCAACTGCAGATGTCCCTAGAGACTGACCAAGGTGAAGTCAGGAGCACAAAGAGGCACAAATAGCCCCCACCAGAAATTGGAGGGGGTGGGTAATAAGGGAGGGAAATCAAGCCATTCAAACATTGAACACTACTAATCAACATTTATTGAATGCCTACTATGAGCCAGACACTGCTAGGCCCCAGGAAGTACAGCATGAACCCAAAAAACAAATCCCACTCTGCCGTCAGAAGAACCTGGGTTCAGGCAGCTTTCTATGGGAGGGCAATCTGCGAAACAGGAGGGCAAGCTATGCTTTATTCCCATGTGACTTATGGGGAAACTGAGGTCCAGAGGAGCTGAGAAAACTGCCCCAGGTTACCCCGTAAGAGGTAGTTTGAGACTAGGTCTGTGTGACCCCAAGACTGTGGGCGCCCTTCCTGCAGCTCCAGGCTCCCTCCAGGGTTTCCAGAGCTAGAACAGGAGCATCAGGGAAAGAGGCCATGTCAGGGGAAGGGGAAAGTGACACAGTGACACTTGCAGAGGCAGAGGATGGGCTGGAACAGCAGGGCTGGCTGCCAGCGGGGCTGGGAGTGATGGGAGGAAGAGACGCAGGGCACAGGTGGCGGGAGGGGTGTTGAGGGCACTCCTTGCAGAGGGAATTTGGAAGGAATGACTCACACCTTAGGCAGGCAAGTTACAGCTGTGCCCACAGGTATGCTCCCCTGCAAACAGCCCCACCTGACGGCAGAGTGGCCCGCAGAGGAGTGCTAGGGAGGCTCTGGTGGGCCCTGAGCTCCCGCTGCGGGTTGCCAGGTATGACTCAGGGAGAACCACTTGCCAAGTCGAGCTGTCATTTAGGGCCTCTCCTTGGCACCTAAGCCCTTCCATTCCCTAGAACTTGGGGTCCAGCTGGTTGGCAGAAGAGCGGGGCTTTGCAGGCTGCGGGCCTATAGTGGTTGTTGGGGTTGGAGTGGTCCCAGGTGGGGTCAGCAGAGCAGGAAGGGGAAGGCAGCCAGGAATAGAAAAGACCCAGCTACAAAAAGTGAAGGCCCTTGGTAGCCAGGTGGGTGTCTGGACACCTGCACCCCTGAGCCCCTCTTCATCCTCCCGGGTGGTGCAGGTCTCCCTAGAGCAGGCCGGCGGGCATCTCTAGAAGGGAAGCTGGGGCTGGGGTCGGGGCCACCCGCAGGGGCGCGCAGGCCTTCAGGAGGGAGCCGAGGAGGTGGGCGGGGCGGGCGGCCCTGCGGTGGGATGCGGGTGTCCAGAGGCCTCGGTGCCAGCGCGTCGCACCGGGAGCGGGGGAGTCAGGACTGCACAGACCTCGGGGGCCCCTGAGCCGCCCACCCAGTCCCGGGGGAGGTGCTGGGTGTGCTCGGGGTGTGGAGCGGCTGGTCTGGGAGATTCCTAAAGAGCCGCAGCCCACCTGACCGCGACGCGGGCCGGGCGGCCAGCGGGAGGACGCTCCGCGCTCGGGGAGGCCCGTGGGGGGTGCGAGCACCCCTCGAGGGGAGGCCCGTGGCTCCTGGGGGCTCTGGGGACAGCCCCCCGCGCCGTGCGTCGAGGCGCGGGCCGGGCCAGGTGGCAGCGCCGGGGCCGGGCTGCGCGGAGGCGGCGGCTTTCCCCGGCAGGGGCGGCGGCAGGGGCGGCCCCGGATCACATGGGCGGAGGCAGGTCCCGGAGCCCCGGGCGGGCTCTCCCCAGAGTCAGGCTGACGGCGGCCGGAGCGGCGGCCTCCCTCGCCCTCCCCTGCTCCTTCCCGCCCCTCCCCGCCCGGCCCGGCGGCCGCCCGACAGGTGAGCGCGAGCCAGGTGAGCGCCCCCCGCGCCCCCCGCGCCCCCCGCGCGCGGCGACCTCCGCGGCTCCCGGCTGCCTGGCGGGTCTGCGCCCCCTCGGCGCCCCCCTCGGCGCCGCCCCCCACGGCCCCTCTCCCCGCACCTCGCCTCGCGCTGGGCGCCCCCGCGGGCGGGGCTGGCTCGGACCCCGCGCGCCCCCCCAGCCCGGGGTGCTTCAGCCTCGGGGCTGGAGTCGCGGGAGCGGGGCGCGCCGGGGCCGAAGGGCCGCGCACTTCCCGGCGTCGCGGCGCGCGAGTCCACCGGGCCCCTCAAAGGTCTGAGAACCTCCCGGCGTCTGCGAGCAGCCGGCGCAGACCTGGGGCCCGGGAGGGACGAGGCTGGACCTGGCTAAGGGTCAGCTGAGCGCGGGGAGGCGGCAGATGCTCCCTGGCCCGGCGCCTCTCGCCAGACTCCCAGATGCGGGCCGTGCCCCGAGTCCCCGCGGGCTTTGGACAGCTCTTGTGCTCTGGACGCCCCGGGGCAGCCCCAGGGTGGGTGCTGGGCGGGGTGGTGGCCCAGCCTGGCACTGCAGCTTCCTGCCTGGGTTGGCTCCTGACTCCAGAACTAGAAGCTCAGGAAATCCTACAAGGGCCAGATCTGCAGGGACACTCCCTTGGCCAGCGGAGGGGCTGTGGATGGGATGGGAGGCCTGTGGCCCCAGTGAGCAGGTGGCGTAGGTCACCTCACCTTGCTGGCCAGGGGGTGGGTGTGCCCAGCTTGGCCCATGAGTCCTCATTCTTGCAGGGGCAGTTGGGAGGGCAGCAGACCCCCGGGGAGGTGAGAAGCCCATCCTCACCTGTCTGCACGGCACCGCAGGGGCTAGACAGGCCCCCAAGAGGCCTCTCTGAAGACCCCGGCTTGGCCTCAGCCCACCCCCGCCCAGCCAACTACTTGAACAGTCCTTGGTGGCGCCACCCCCTTCCTTGCTGTCACTCCTGTTCCTAGAACCCTGCCCTCCCCCAGAGCAGGGAGGAAGTACCTTATGCTGTGGGTTTGGGGGACAGGAAGCAAGCACTGCTGGGACTCAGCCCTGGTGGTGGTGGAGGGGGAGAAGGCTGCAGTGCTGACATCTTCTACCACCTGCCAGCCCTGCCGCTTTCTCCAGCAAGTCCCGGTCCTGCACCCTGAGAGCTGCCTCCAGGGCCGCTGAAGAAGTGAAGGCGGAACTCAGAGTCAGGGTTTCCCAGGGTGGGGGAAGTGAGACTGGTGGTGTGAGGGAGGGATTTAGTCACTTCCTCTACCCGCTCTACCCACCCCCAGCCCCTGACGCTCTGCCCTGTGAGCCTCTCATCCTCTCCTCAACCCTGTGCTTCTCCTCAGCACTCCTTGAGGCCTGGGGAGTGGGCTCCACTTCACCATCCTTTCTTCCTCAGGTATGGCGCTGACAGTGGATGTGGTGGGCCCGGCGCCCTGGGGCTTCCGAATCACCGGGGGCAGGGATTTCCACACGCCTATTAGGGTGACCAAGGTAAGGGCTGGTCCCAGGAGATAAGGAGGTGAGCCCAAAGTTAGGGTCTGTTCTCTCCTTGGGTATCCACGGAGACCTTCTGGGAGTTGGCTGGGGGAGGGCTGAGGCTTTGTTGCCATAGGGATGTGGTGGCCACTTCAGGAACAGGTTTCTAGTGAGTGAGAGCAGCTGGCCCATGTGCAGGGCCTGCTCTTTTCTCCCTGATCACCAAGCCCATACCTGCTGGTAGCCGTTTTGGGTGGTGCTAGAACTAGAGCCCAAGTTCTTGGCAGATTCCCCTTGACCCAGGCCTAGGCCAGGGACAAGTGCATGGAGGGCTGGTGTGCAGGCAGCCTGCTCGGCACCATGTGCTCAGGCAGGGCTCTCTACCCAGAAGTATTTCCAAGCACAGTTCCTGAGATTCTACCGTTCAGTGTCCTTTGGGAGACCCCATTGGAATGACCCCTCTAGGGTGGGGGAGGGAGCTGCCATTCCAGCTTTCCGAGGGGTTTAGCTGGTTGCTGGGCAGCCCCTGATGGGCAGGGCAGGGATGTTCGAGAGGGATACAGGCCAGCCTGGTTCAATCTGGTTTCCGTGTTTCTTGGGCAGGACAGAGGAAATTCTCTGTCTCCATCCCTACCTGAGTGTCACTGCTGTACCTCAGACTATCTGCTCCTCATCTCCTATAGGTCACTGAGCGGGGCAAGGCAGAGGCTGCTGACCTCCGACCTGGTGACGTTATCGTGGCCATCAATGGGGAGAGTGCGGAGGGCATGCTCCACGCGGAGGCCCAGAGCAAGATCCGACAGAGTCCGTCGCCGCTGCGGCTGCTGCTGGACCGGTAGGCCCGCCATGCCTCTGGACCTGCCCACAGGCTTCCCCCACTAGCCAGCCCACTGCCTGGCAGCTGCCCTCCCCACTAGCCTCAGCGCTGACCTGCCTTACTAGGAGCTTTCAACTCACCTGTGAGGTGGTCCTGGGCTCTAGGCCTATGGCAGGGTGGGCTGAGAGGTGTCCCTGTGCCCTGCTGGGCGTGCAGCCACAGGCAGGGCTGGCTGGCATCAGCCACCTGGATGCCCGGGTTTGACTGGTTCCCAAGTGTGTGGGGTACAGGGCGTGGGCATGAAGTGGATTGAAGAGGGGAAAGGTGTGCCTCAGGCTGGGTCTCCAGGTCCCTCGCTCCAAGAGGGCAAGGCCTTTGTTTGGATCCCTGGGGGAGGTGGAGAGTTTGGGGGCTCACCCCCCATAGACCCCCTCCATTTCTTCCTTTGCCCTCTGGGCCTAACGGTGGGGGCTCATGGGGTTGGACACCGGGTTGTGGGGGAACAGGTGGTTCCTAGGGGTGGGGCATCACAGTGAGTCATAGGACAGGCATCCTGGGAGATCCCCCAGCCAGGAGAGCCCTCTGGGCAGGCCTTGGACCTGAGTCAGGTACCTCCTGTCCCTTTGCCGCTTTCCCACTGCCAGGATCCCTCGGGCCCTGGCTCCACGCCTCCACCGCCCCACGGTGCCGCAGAAGCTGGCTCCTGAGACGCCTTCGTGCCACTCTGGGCCAGGAGTGTTCTCAGGAGTGGGGCCAGAGGAGGGTGGAGAAACGTCCTGGTATCCAAGAACAGGCGCAAACTCTAGGAGACTGCAGTGCAGGGGAAGCTGTGGCACCATTCCTTCCTCCCGGCTCTCTCCTGGAGGGACCCCGCTTTGGCTGGGAGGGGCGCCTGGTGAGAACCTCCAGGCTTCCAGCTCCGTTGGGCTGGTCAAGGCTCCGTGTCTCTTTTTCCTTTTGTCCAGCCCCCCTCTGCCCCCCCACCTCCCCAGGAGACCTCTCAGGCACTTAGAAGCCCTGTGGCAGGAAGCAGTGCTCTGGGCCAGCGCCAAAGCCCAACTCCCCTCACTCTGACCCCACACCCCTCCCTGTGCGTGTGTGGGGGGCTGCCGAGGCTGGCTTGGTGTGTGGTGACTAAGGTTCTTGCTGACTTCTCTAGAAGGGGCCAGACATCCTGGAGTGGTGTTGTGCGGCTGAAATATCGCGGTCTCTGCCCAACCTCTATTCCAGGTTCCCGCTGGGCTCCACTGGGCAGGACTAGGGAGGGGTCCTTGGGGAGCTGGGGTGGGAGAGCCCCTCTCCACGGCTGCCTTGGGGATGAGTGGGGGTGTTGAGCCCACATGTCCCCTAGGATCTGCCGCTGCTTGCCGGGCAGGAGGGGTTGGTTCCATCCTGTGTTTTAGGAGGAGAAGCCTGTGGAAGGGACAAATCTGCTGAAGGGACAGAAATGACCCTCTCAAAGATGGGGGACAGGCCTCGGGTTGGTGGAGAGCGGGCAGCTGGCCCGGCCATTGTCTGCCTTAGGACTTTGGGCAACTTCCCCTCCTCTCTGGGCTTTGGTTTTTCCATGGGTGAAAGATAAAGGGTTATTTCCATGAAGTCAGCAATCCCCTCTAAAATCGATGTACAAACGAATGCCAACCCTGTGACAAAGTCTAGATGAAATGCAAAAGAAGAGGGAAAAAAAAAGAAAAAGAAAAGGGGGCGAATAATATGAGCGGCTTTTGAATAGACTGGAACGTATTGACCTTTTTGCTGAAAGTATGTCCTTCCTACTTTGCGTTGCTGACTTGTCCTTTAAGAAATGATGTGATCATTGATGATAGTTGTTGAAGTTTGGCAAAGCTGAAAGCAGACAATGACTGCTGGAATGTTCCAGAGAGTTCACTAGTCTTGAGAACCTTGTGTGGGAACAGCTGAAATCTGCAACCCCTACTTAGTGGCTTTGGGGGGGAGTGTTGTGGCTTCGGGACGGGGGGTGTTCCGGGACCCCTGTGACACTGGCTCCCTCTGTCACCTCTTCAGGTCTAGGGCTGTTTCTCCTGGCCAGACCAACGGAGAGAGCTCCGTGGAAGTGCTGGCAACTCGCTTCCAGGTAGGCTGGTGTGTCCAGTACCTGCAGCACCCTGAGATGAGGGGGAGGTTGGAGGCACCCTGCTCCTCTGGGCCCCTCTCTCCACAGAGCTCCGTGAGGACACATACTAACAGCCAGTCCTCCCTGAGGTCTTCCTGCTCCAGCCCCGCTTCCCTCAGCCCCCGGCCAGGCAGCCCCTTCTCCACCCTGCCCCCCACCAGCCCGCATACCCTCCCTGGAGAGGCGCTGACCAGCCGCAGGTGAGCACAGGGTGGGCACCCTGGCCACCAGGTATGGGCTCGCTTCTTGGTCGCTGGGTTTAGGGGCCCCTGGGAGCACTCTCTGCTCCCCTGGGGCAGTCTGGGTGGGGTCCTGACACCCACACTCTCCATTTCCCCCATTGCAGTTTCCAGACTCTGGCCCATTCCCCGGGACCTGCTGCTGACCACTTGTGCTATGAGGGCCGCCCCGGAAGCCGACAGGTGAGGGTACCTGGGGGCAGGAGAGAGCCTTGTGCTCCTGGCTGGTTACCAGTAGTGCCTGTAGGCTGAGGGTGCTGTTCCCCCGAGTGGGGGAGGCCCTTGTGGGTCAGTCCCAGGTGGCCTTCTGCCTCGTCACTGCGCCTCCCCCTCACTGCTGGCTGCCTCCCTTCTAGAGTGTTTCTCTTGGGCCAGGACTGAAATAGTTTTGCTGCTGTTGTTGGGATGATTCCCTTTGGCCCTGGCGGCATCTCTTGAACACATTCCTCCTGATTCCAAGTCCTATGCCCGCCCCCAACTCCCACCACCCCTCCTTCCTCTTCTGACTTAACCAGGGAGCCCCCAGTGGGACTGTGGCTCTACCTCAAGTTCACTTGGCTCACTCTCTGCCCCTCCCCCACCCTCTCCTCTGGACATCCCCACCCCCAGGTTTCCACTAGTGACAGCCCGTTGGTGGCATTTCTTCTCTCTAAGGGCAGACAGGGGTGAGGAGGTGAGGGAGTGAGGCAGCCAACAGTCCTGGAACCCAGCTGCTGGGGGCAGTGTTGGTGGGGGCATGTCCAGTCTTTGGGGTGGAGGGGATGAGGTCCAGCTGCTGGAATCCTACCTCTGGGTTGATTCTGCATTCCAGAAAGCAGAGCTTTCAGAGATGGCTGGGGAGGGTGCTGAAGGGGGGGTCTCTGGAGAAGGAAGGAGCTGGGTCCTCTGGGGGCTGCATGGTGGGGACTCCCTGATCACCTGCCATGGGCCCAACCACTGATCGTGCAGGGGGCTATGGACATAGAAATGTATTCAGTGAGATCTCCATCTTTAAAGAATTTCAAATGCAATTGTGGAGATAAGACAGACATGCAAAACAATTTTGGAACAATTAAGCACTAAACAGTGTGGTCTCAATTATAAAAGCAGGAGGCATTCTGGGAGGGGAGCGATGAGTGTGGGCTGGGGTGGCCTGAGGAGGTTTGTCCGGAACGCTCGGGATGTTGGAGGTGGAGCAGGCAGGGTTTCGGTCAGAGAACAATGAGCCGGGAAGATGGGACAGCCGTGGCACAAGCAAGACCTGGTGTGTTTAGGCTTGGGGGACATCCTTAGGGAGACTTTGGGCTGAGACCAGCAGGGATAGCTTGGCCTTGGGCATGGTTGAAGAGGGCCCTTCCATCCTGGCCTTCTTCCTTGTGACGTCCCCAGTCAGGAGAAGGGGAGATGCCAGTGGTGCAGGGGTGCATCTTGGAATGTGTCAGAAATGCACATTCCCAGGCCCCAGCCTACTGACTAGACTTACTGACAAGAATTTGGGGAAGGGAGAGGGATGAGGGCATCAGTCTGCACTGGTGGCATTGGCCTGGGTTTGTCCCACCTCTGCTGTGTCCCACACTGTCTGATCTGTGTAATGCCAGACAGGCCCCCCACCCCCAGCCCCACCCCCGGGCCTCAGGCTCAGGTCCACTGCTCGAGTTCCCTTCTTCGACCTTGAAGCCCCTCTCATTCCTTCCACAAATATTTATGGGGCAGCTGCCTTGTTCCAGGCACCCTTCTAGGCTCTGGGGATGAGTTAATGGAAAAAGAAAAATCCTAACCCAACTGTCAAATGGTGTGGGAATCCCCGGATCCCACAGTTGCTTTCGGGCGTCACTATGCATTTTTGTATCTTAAGGCGCCAAGGAGTCCTGTGAGAAAGAAATACTTCTGAAAAAAATACATTAGGGAATAAAAAGGAGCCCACCACCATCCATTAGACCCCCTCGGCCCTTTGCTCTGCTCCCCCCCACCCTCTTCCCCTCACGTAACCTAATTTCTGCTGTTGATGTCCATGGGTTTATTTTTATTTTGTCATTTCACTTGCTTTGTTTCCTTGTCTCACGCATTGTACCCCCAGCAAGGCACAGGGCAGGTTCTCTATGGATCCGGGCAGACAGGTAATGGAGCCCTCAGCAGCTTTTCCAGGCTGTAATGATCTTTCTGCACCATTTGTAGTGCGGCAGCCAGAAGCAGGGATGGGGGGCGGTGGGGGGAGCAGGAGGCTCCTAGGCCTCCCAGCCCCACCAAATCTTGACTCCCTCTGGGGTCTCTGCCGTTCTCTCATGGTCTCTTCGCCACACTCTGCTGCCCTTATATGCTCAGCCTGCAGGCTCAGGTGTGCCCACTTACGCATGCCCACACCATACTCCAGGTGTTTACCATCAGGTATGCGTATCCAGATCCCACACTCCCAAGCGCCTCGTGCATTCAAGGCCACCGAGGCCAAGGGCACAAAAGCCTGAGCAGTCTCCATTTACCCTACACACATGTAGATAAAATCATCCAACATTTATCTTTCTCATTTTGACTTATTTCACTTTGCATAACCTCCTCAAGTTCTTTCCATTTTGTGGCAAATAGCAAAATTTCATTTTTAAGAGTTGACTAGTATTCCACTGTGTACATTTACCACACTTTCCCTATCAATCATTTTATTAATGTCCTAAAATGTTTTTTTTAGCAGTAGATTTTTTTTAAAGATTTATTTATTTATACAAGCACTGGGTACAGTCAGAAGCGCGGGAGGGTGAGAGAATTCACCAGAGCCAGAGCAGGGAGCAGAGCAGGCAGACCAACGAAATACACTGCTGAGAGGAGCAGTGGGTGCAGCAGGAGAGGTCTGCACACCGTGTGGGACCCTTGCTGGGGGCCGGGGATCGAACTGGTGCTGCAGAGGCTGTGGGCAGCTTCACAGCCTAGTGCTCAACCGCTGTGCCACCAGGGGAGGCCCAATTTCCTAAAATGTTTAACTGCAGAATTTTCCTCTGGCACCTCCTCCCTGGCCATTCAAGGCTTAATATCCCTATACCACAAGAACACATTTTGTGGGTGTTGGCTACAGAAGGACTCCTGATGGGTGCCATTTTTGGACTTGGAAGTGAAAGGCCCTTTCTATGGAGGCAGGTGTCCCTGGCTGACTGGGAGGCGGCGGGAGAAAGGCACAGCCACTCCCAGGAAGAGAGCTAGGCTTAGTCTCTGGTGGGAGGAAGGGGCCCGACATAGTTATGGACAAAGTGGGTCCCCTCCCCAGTCGACTGGAGTCATGGCCTGGCTGCTGGCTCCTGAGATGGCTGAGGCAGCACTGAGCCCAAGACACAGGACACCTCCAGCCCTTCTGGAAACTGAAAGTTGCCCCCTTCAGGTAGGCACCCGCCCTGGGGAGTAGATACCAAGTAGAAACAGCCCCTCCCCTCCAGCTGGTCTGAGGACTTGGCTTGAGGAGGCAGCTGAGTTCTGCCCGCCCTCACTGCTGGCCAGTGTCTCTCTGTAGGCACATGCTGGCCGGGGAAGGACAGGCAGGTGGGCCATCCTCCTTGAGTAGCTGGTGCAGCTCACCTTCCTGAGGTAACCAACTCATGGTCCATCAGTTGACAGAAATGGCAGCAAGTGCCAGGTGTCCAGAGGCCCAGGTGTGGGCTCCCAGCCCTGCCCCTGCCTCCCCAGGTGGCTTGATCCAGCCAACTGGCCCTTCTGCCCATCAAGTTCCTCCCCTACAGAACATTTCCTTAAGGAGCCCCAGAGCAGAGGCATAGGGGCTGAGGCCTCAGGCAAGGATCTAGGACTATTCTCAAGACTGTAGTTTTCACTTTCAGCTTAAGAATCCATGCAGTTTTTTTCAAATGTTTCCATAATTGGTCCTGACTGAACTTTCAAATGGAGGGAACTTGGCTTTCCTGGAAACTGGCCTCAGCCTGCCAGGTTGTCTCCAAGGTTCTCCTTTCCTTGACTAGTATAAGCTCCTGGGGCTTAGGGGCCCCATTGGGGATGGTAAAGGGTAAGGGACACAGAAGGGGAGCCATGCAGAGGTGCAGGCCAGAAAGCAGAGCAATGATGAGGTTGAAGGCGAGATTTCCATGCCAGGGGAAGGAAGGCACACGAGCTCAAGGTGAGCAGCACGCCTCTGGGCGTGGGCACTGCTGCTGGGGAGCCGCTCCCTGGGCTCGATGGGGCTCGACAGACCTCCCAGGGCAGCCAGGAGAGGTTGGTCAGCCCACATCCTCGCCTTGGTGGGAGAGAGCCCCTAGGAGGAAAGAGTTCTCTGCCTGCCAGCCCTGACTCCAAGGAGGGTTTGGTGTCTTCCTCCACCCCCTTATACTTCCTTTCCTATCTGGCTTGTTCTGGTAGGCCAGGCCCTCAGGGCAGACACCAGCATGATGTGATGGAGGAGTACAGGGGGCGTCCAAGCGCCACCTTTCAGCGCTTGCCCAATCCTCTTGCAGATCCCTCACACCTCGTGGCTGGATGCCACCTCCTCTCATTTGGGACCAAGCTGGAGCTGCCCCTGTGCCAGTTTCTGAGGACAGGGTTGGGGGATGGCCCTTACTGGTCGGCGAGGGCTGGGAGCCCTCTGGTGTTGGGCCTGGGGAACAGCCACGCCTGGCGGTCCAGACTGGGCGTGGGGTGTTCAGGCCAAAGGCTCAGGCTGGCTCCTCCCTGGTGCCGCTCCTTCCCACAGGCCGGCAGGGGCCGCGCTGGCGACTCAGCGGTGCTGGTGCTGCCTCCTTCCCGATCCGTCAGCCCCAGACTCAGGTACCGGTGGGCCCTTGAGGAGCAGGTGGGGTCTTGGAGGCCTGAGAGAGGCAGAAGAGGGACTGGCTTGGGGGGGAGGGGGGAATGAGTGGGGGCTGCTGCTCTAAGCCCAGTGGTTTTCCTCTGGCCCCCAATTACTCTTTATGTGCTCCCCATGCTTGTCCTGACAACGGCCCTGACCCCAGGCTGTTCCCATCCCCACAGTGTGGACCTCCTGGGAGAGGACTCAGAAGTCTTCAAGATGCTGCAGGAAAATCGTGAAGGGCGGGCACCACCCCGCCAGTCCAGCTCCTTTCGACTCTTACAGGAAGCCCTGGAAGCTGAGGAAAGAGGTGAGATCCCCGGGGCTCTGGCAAGGGAGGAGGTTCCCCAGGACACCCCCACCCTGGCCCTGCCTGAGCATGCTATTGAACTAGTATCTCTCCAGTGCTCGTCATGGGAGTGGGCACGGGGCGGGGCTCAGAAGATACAGTTTCTGACCTAAGGGGGCTGATGGCCTGATAGGGGTTTCCAGGCGTTGCCCAGAAGGTGCCAGCTGGAATCAGGAAAGTGCCAAGAAAGGAAAGAAGTGGATGGCAGGATCCATGGGAGCTGGGTCCCTAGCTTCATGGAGGAAGAGGGATTTGACTTGGCCCTTGAGGAAAGATCAATACTATAACAGATGACCTTGAGATGGTGACAGAACCCACTGTGGAATGTGGAGGTTGGCATCCAGCGTGTTTTTTTGCTGTGGAAGTGAGAGAATGGCTGGGCCTAATAGCCTGGAGGGCAGCTTTCGAGTTTAGATTGTGGCCATGAGGACTCTAGTGTCAGGCTGAGGCGTTCCGTGCCCCAGAGGGCCAGGTGGATAGTTCCAGGCAGTGAGTGAGATGTCATAATGAGCAACACAGAGACGAGGACTCTGGCCGGCTGTTCAGTGGCTCCTGCAGCAAATGTTTGCCCTGGTAGACCAGGTGTATAGAATGTGAAAGCGATTGTGATGGCAGTTGTGACACATCTGCTGAGGTACTTTGGGGTGGATGGGCCTGTCACGGTCCCAAGGAAGTAGATGGTACTGCAGGAGTGTGTGTGTGTGTGTGTGTGTGTGTCACTGCCTTAGGCTAGGGGAGAGGGAGGGCCAGGCCTGGGTGGTGAGAGGTGGGACATCTGTTCATAGAGGTGGGAACTGGGTGAGAAGTTTTGAGGAAAATCTTGTGCATCATGATCTGAGGCCTGGGCAGGTCCCAGGAGAGGGCACAGGGAGGGGGGTAGGGTGAGGGCCGTGCAGATGGATGGTGACTTCACCTGCCCGGGGCCTCCATGGCTTTGGCTGCAAACAGGGCCTGCACCTGCCCATTGACATCTACGCGCCGTCTTTGCAATCATCCAAGGCCCAGATGCAATCATGCTCGTAAAACACTCTGAAAGTGTACAAAGGTACAGCTGTTATCATAACTGCCATCTACAAGTACGATGACCCCGCACAGCGGACACTCCTCAGGCTGCCTTAGCTCCTGCTCACTCATCCTTGAAAGTGCTTCCTGCACTTGACCAGCTCAGCCAAGGTGATCTGGCTTCTTCCTCCATTGCCCACTCTTAATGCCAGTGTTACTTTAGAGTTCTACTTGAGAGTCCTGGGAGCTGCGTTGGAGGAAGTACGGGGGGCATGAATGTGGGCAGCCTGGGTGCTGCTGCTGTGGAGAAACTCTGACAGGTGTGTCTGCACCCACCCCCCAGGTGGCACGCCAGCCTCCCTGCCCAGCTCGCTGAGCCCCCAGTCCTCCCTGCCCACCTCCAGGGCCCTGGCCACCCCACCCAAGCTCCACACGTGTGAGAAATGCAGCACCAGCATTGCGTGAGTGTCGTGGCTGGGGTGGGGCGTGGGGTACAGGGGCTGCCGGGCCTGAGGGGCCAGCGTAGGGCATAGCCACAGTGGAGTTGAGTGGCTTTTTCTGGGTTTCTTAGAATACGTGTGCCAGCTTCTTCCTGCTGAGTCTCCTCTCTCCTCGTCCCCGGGGGCATGTGAGAAATGCCCCTGCTTTTGCGTCTTCCCTCCAGGGACCTCAGAGCCTCTGGAGCTCTGCCTCCAGATGAGGTGCCTCCTCCTGAAAAATCTTGCTCTCTTTCTGTTCTCACCCCCTTTGGGGCAGAATGAATTTTCCACAGGTTGGTTCAATCTTCTCAGTGGGTGGCATCATCATGCAACCTCATTCTCTGGAAAATTGCTGTATTGCACCCCCCCCCAACTACATTCTTCTGTAACAGCGTTAAGGGTCAGATGAATGACTTTAGGCAAATTCCTTCACCTCTGTGGGCTGCGGTATTTCACCTGCAGGAGGGATGCTATCTACCTCTTGCTGACACGGGGAAGTATCTTAGTGGGGGCTTCTCAGCGTCCCATGGGCTTGTTAAGACAGGCTGGTGGGACACACCCCCATTTCCTCTTCAGGAGGTCCTTGCGCAGGGTGGCATTTCCGGCTTGTTCCAAGGTGATGCAGTGACGCTTGCCCTGGCACCACACTTTGAGAACCACTGTCCAGCTAACAATCCTGACTCTCTGCCTGTGCAGGGAGGGTGGCATCTCCTCCTCCTCCTCCTGCTCCCTTGCTCTTTCTCTCTCTCTTTCTCTTTTGACTTAGAGATTTGGGAGGGTGGGGTCATTGAAGGAGAGGCCCAACAGCAGGCCTGGGCAGTCAGGGCTCTAAGGTTCGGGGATTTTCTCAGATCCTAACTCTGGGCTGGGAACGTGCTTCCTCAGAGTGGACTGGCAGGCCCTGCCTGGCTGCCCACCCCGCAGGCTAAAGACGCCCCCTCTTCTCCTGCAGGAACCAGGCGGTGCGCATCCAGGAGGGGCGGTATCGCCATCCCAGCTGCTACACCTGCGCAGACTGTGGGCTGAACCTGAAGATGCGGGGGCACTTCTGGGTGGGGGACGAGCTGTACTGCGAGAAGCACGCCCGCCAGCGCTACTCGGTCTCCCCCACGCTTGGCCCGCAGGCCTGAGCCGGTGCTGTGGCTCCTCGGTGCCAGGGCATGCCTAGCAGTGGGCATGGAAGGGCAAGGGTGGTGGTGGGGGGCCTCTTCCCCCTCACTGGGTGAGGCTGGAGGCGGGCACCTGTCATGAGTATGGATACCAAGGGCAGCCTCACCTTCCCAGCCTCTGCTGGAGGCTCCTGCCCCTTGCAGCACAGGTGCTGCGCCAGAGTGGGAGGAGGGTGCCCCCATTGGGTCTTTGTGCAACAGGGTGAAGCACTTGGGATATGGAGGAGAGGGTGGGCCAGAGGCCCAGTCAATGTATTCACTGTGTAAAGTTTTTGACATAAATATATCTGAAGACAAAATTAAGTAGATGGTTCTCTTTCTTCACCTTCCTTTCCTTGGCCCCGTGGCACACGCTTCTCCCTGCACTGGGTGAAGTCTTTATACAAGTAATTACCTCTCAGTCTCCCCTCCCTCAGACCCCTGCTGCCTCTCCGCGTGTGCCAGCCCCTCAGAAGAGGCTTATTTCTTGTAGATGGAGGGTCATGCTTGTCCTGAGCTCTCTTGTAAAGGTGTCCCCATTACTGGGATGATCCCCAGTGCTTTAGAGGAATGCCTTCCCCACCGGGGTCTGGAAAGAGGAAGGGGTGCTGGCAGGGACAACCAGCGGGCTATGGGGATCCAGTCCCCAGAGCCTGTCTAGCGGAGTCAGGCCCAGACCCTGCAAGTCCTAGTGGGACTGGTGGTCTGTGCCCCTGGCTCTCCTTGGTGGGGATGCCATTGACCTGTCAACTTACCTGGAAGAGCTGGATGAGCAGGAGAGGGGGCAACATCTAGGACCTCTTGCACTCACCCCAGGCTGTCTGCACCCATTTGAGAAAGAGAATCACCAGAAATAACTTTGAAGGGGCTGCAGGGTAACCCTGCCTGGGAGGGGCAACTCAGCAGAGCTCCAGCCTGGTGGACTACCACCCATCAGCAGCCTCACCTTCAAGTCAGGCCTGTCCCTTCCACCTCTGCCCTGGGAAACTGCTGGCATCATTGGTGGTTGATTTGAAAAAGATATAATGCAAGGCCAGGCATGCCAGCCTTGGGGATATGCTGGAGTGCAGTTGCGGGGGGCGGGGGGGAGTGGCAGGGGGGGAGTGGTCCCTGCCAGATTTTGGGCCTCATTTACTCACCACTCCCTGTCCTAATCCCAGACGACATTTCATAAAGTTGCTCCAGACCTACCCTGCCCCAGCCTCAAGGATGGGCAGTGGCCTCAGTTCTATTTTCACAGGAAAGATCAAAGCTGGACTCAGAAGGAGCAGTGGCTAGTTCCAGCTTTGTGCTGTCTGGCTCTATTGGAAGGAATCTTGGCAGAGACTGTGTTGCCTCCTAAGGCATCTGTTAATTTACACCTTGATATTGTCCCACCTTTTATGGCTGCTTTGCTTGTCCTGGGCGAACAAGCTTTCCATGGGGTCAGGAGTCTCAGACCAGGACACCTTGTAGCTGAGAACCTGACTTGTTGGCGCCCCCTAGTGTCAAGTGTTGCTCATGGTGGAGATTCCATGGGATCAGGAGTTTGAGACCAGAACACCTTCTAGCTGCGAACTAGCCTCGTTGGCGCCCCCTAGTGTTAGGTGTAACCATGGTGGGGAGAAGACTCATCACAGGGGAAGTCAGGTCTCTGCAAGCCCTTGGTTTCTGGCACAGCGGGAATACAGAAAGACAGAGCATTTTTCTTGCTTTCCTGAAGATGACAGTTGAGTGGCAGGGGCTGAGCAGGCTCGAGTGAAATAAGGCTATGTGGCAGGGCCTCCCTGGTGGCGCAAGGGGTTAAGCACCACACTATGAAGCAATATGCAGCTTCTGCAGCACGAGTTTGATCCCCGGCCCACCAGGGAGCAACCCATATGGCGCAGCAGACCTCTCCTGTCTCGTCTGCTGCTCCCCTCAGCAGTGCATTTCGGTCAGTCTGCCTGTTCTGTTCCCCACTCTGTCGCTGGTGAATCCTCTCACCACCGCCCCCCGCCCCCGCATCTCTGGCCTGTACCCCAGCTCTTGTATGCGTAAATAAATAAATCTTTTTAAAAAATAATGCTATGTGGCAGTGGCAGCTGGCATGGAACACTCAGGGGTGGGCCATGTGTGTGCAAGGATGGGCAGGACTAGACAGGTACGAGGGAGAAGTGCTGAGGGGCAGTGCAGATGGAATGTTCGTTTTGGGCAGTGGCTGAAAGGGGTACTGTGATAAGATGGGAAAGGGAGATGGGAGCCTCGAATGCCAGAAGATATGATTTGCCATTCAGCTTAAAGTTCAGGGGACACTTTGAAAATTTTAAACAGGGAAGTGACAGGTTGGAAAATGTGTGTTGGAATATTAATGCGGTGAGCTCTCTCCTGTAACAAACCATGCTGGGCCCTGAGTGTTTTAAGGAAGCAGTGTTGGGAGTGGGGAGCAGGGACCCTTGTAGAAAGGGTGTGCCATCCTTTCATAGATCAGATGGGCTCAAGCGCACTCCCACCTCTGAGTTGCGGCAGCCAGCTCTCCTCCCGGGGGCCCGGGGGGTCTTGGTTCTGGAGTTCTTAGTAGACACATAGCAGCCTGCGCTTGGGAGCAAAGGGCTTTGGAAGTTGGAAGTTCTTAGGCCAAGTTGTTTGCCAGCAAAGAAAACTGGGGGCAGTCTGACCTTTTACCCCTACCCTCAACCCCTTCCCAAGACAGCTGTGAGCACCCACCACCCACTGACACTTGGAGGTGGGCATGAGAGGGCCACAGAACAATCTTGGGGATGAAACCTAGACCCAGTATGGGGGAGACCACTCAATTATACCACCATACTTTGCCCAGTGCAGTGCCTGTTTTACTTTTTTTTTGCACTGTGGGAATAACTTCAGCAATGTCAACAGATTTGAGCGAGAAGTGGCCTGGGGCAGCGTCTAATCTGGTCTCCTTTGGTTAGAAGTGAGAAAATGCTTTTCACCTAATGACACAGCTAGATAATTCTATGCCAGGGATGTTTGAAATGCTTTCACTCTAATCCTCGCAGTTCTGAGGTCAGTAGTGTTTTCATTCTGGTGTAGAGACGAAGCAACTGAGGATGGGGACAGGGAGGCTGGGTAACTGGCTGGTAAGGGGGAAGGGCGGGAACAGAACCTGAAGCCTGTCTGCTGGATGTCTGACTTGGGGGAGAGACGTATCGTGCAAGATAGGGCCCTCTTGCTCGTCATCACCAGAGGCAGACCACCAGGGGAGGTGACCGTGGCCTCCCAGCCACCTCTAGCCTGGCAGGAGCTGCCCTCAGGCCCTTGGCTCCCCCCTCCTCCCACAGGGCCTAGCTCAGTGCCGAGCTTGCAGGACATGCACTTCTTGGAGCTGGGTCTCCCCTAGGAGGTTGAGGAGCAGCTGGGCATCCTTGGTCTCAGTCGGAGGGATGACTCTGCTCTGGCCACCATATGACTCAGGAATTTATCTTAGGAGCTCACAGGAGCTGCTCACCCCTCTGGGGGCGGCAGTGGGGTGAATGTGCTGCCCCTCCCCTTCCTTCCAGCACCTCCTCAAGGAAGCAGGTGGGATGAAAATACTGGGGTGGCCATGAAGGGCCACAGAGCCCTCAGAGGGTGTGTGTGTGAAGGCTGGGTAGGTCTGGGGGTGTTGTGCTATTACAGTCAGGGTAGCAGAAGGCACTTGGGGGAGAGATGTGTGTGGTCCCCACCTGGGCCCCCTGACCACCATGGTCACCAGAAGGCTGGGCAGCTCTTCCTCTGCTGCTTCCGCATGGGGGTGGGCAGTGTATGGCGGGAGGGGAATATGTGCTGGGGTGTGTGTATGGGGGGGGGTGAGCCATACAAAGCCTTGTGCTGAGACACTGCATTCCTGCTGGCTGGGCTTCCTGTCCCAGATGCATTCCTGCCCCAGAGTCACCACGGAGACTGCTTGGAATCCCGCCCCACATTCTCCAAATTCAGGGCAAGACCCAGCAAAGGCTCCCTCCCTTCACCTCCCCACCCACTCACTTGGAGGGAGGAAGTCACCTGACTTTATTTTCACCCTCAGACTCCTGGACAGGGGGGGCTGGAGTGGGGTCTGGCTCGGCTGGGGGGCTTGGAGCCATACATCCTGTTGGACTCGCACATGCAGTTCCTGCCAGGCCTAGCTTTCTGGGTTTCCCTCTCTAGAGCTGGGAAAAAGGAATGGGGCTGGGGTGCTGTCCTGGAGGATAAGGTTGGGAGGGAGCAACACAGGTTCATGGCTACAGGGATGGACTTGGCTTGAAATCCAAGGGGTGGGGGTGGGGGGGGGTAACTAGGGCACCTGCTCTCCCTCCTTCGTCTTACACCTTGGGATCTGACAGTTTGTGGCTCTCCCGTGCAGGCTCCGGATTAGCCCGCTGGAGGCAGGATCGCAGCGCGGAGCAGAAGCGGGTGGGAGACTCCTCTCCCTGTCAGTAAACAGCCACTTCCTCCCAGCCCAGCTCCCCTCCTGCCCCTCCTCAGCGGCTCAGGTGCAGCTCTGCACGTCCGCCAGCTCCCTTATCTGCCTCCAGGAGATTTGGGTCCATCCAGCTGGGATTTTTCCAGCTAGCCCCTGCCTCGGGCGACAGCGGGCTCCTCGGAGACCACCCGCCTGTCCCAGCACTAGAGGGTCTCACTCCCAGCAGCTGTCCGGGCTCTCAGCCCCTCAGCGCGGGATGGTGGCTCCCTGTGGACCCAGAGGGTTGGGGTGGGGACCGGGCAGCGTGTACATTTCCAGCGTCTCCCCTGTCCCGTGGCTTCTCTTCTCCCCAGATCCTGAAGACCCACTCAGGCCCCCGCTGTAGGATGCTCGAGGGGGGCGAGAGGACAGGTGGAGACCTGCCCGGGACGCGAGGTGCCCTGCAGTGGTCGGAGCGTTTCCTGTGGGCAGGAATCAACCCCCCGTCTTCTGGGCAGGAATTAACCCCCCGTCTTCTGGGCAGGGATCAATCCCCCGTCTTCTGGGCAGGGGTCCCAGCGGCGGCCGCGCGCCCCAGGGCTCCCCGCCGGGAGCGCCTGGACGCCGAGCCGGGCGCGCTCGGCCCCCGCCGGCACGTGGGGCTCCACTTCCTTCCGCGCTCGGGTCCGGCCCCGCCGCCCCCCACCCTCCGGCTTCTTTTCGGCGGCAGGAAGCGGGGCGCCGCGGCGTGTGAACCGGGGGGCGGGCCGGGCAGCGTCCTCCGGCGGCCGGCGGCGGGAGTGCCGAGCTGCGCCGCCCCGAAGGACCCCGCCCCGGGCGCCCCGTCCCCGCCCGGGCCGGCGTCGGGGGGCGGGGGAACCCCCAGCGTGAGTCCGCGGACCCGCACACCTGCGCGCCCCCTCGGCCGCCCCGCCCCCCGCTGGGAGGGTCCGAGGGCCGCGCCCCGGGGTCGCGCCGCCGCCGCGGAGCCGTCCGAGCCGGGGCGCGGGGGACGCGCGCCGGGACCGCCGGGGGAGGCTGCGGAGGCCGGGCCGGGGCGCCGCGTCGGGGCCGGAGCCGGGCGATGCTGGGCCGACGGCGCGTCTTCGCCGTGGAGCCGCTCGGCGGCTGCGGTGAGTCGCCCACCCCGGCCGGCCGGGCTTCCTGCCCGAGCCCCCCGCCGCCCCAGCCCGGCGCGCCCCTGGAGGAGCCGCCGCCCTATGGAGGCGCCGGGGGACTAAACGGGGGACGCCTCGCTTAGAGGAGACCCGCTGGTTTTTGTCCTTAAACCCGCCACCGCCTCCACCCCACTGCCCCCGGGGCCACCGCCCCCTCGCCCCTCGCCGGCGTCTGCGCCCGCCCCGCGGACCCTTCCCCACCGGCGACGCAGGCTGGGCTTCCCGGGCCGCCGCTGGCCCGGAGGGGCTGCCCTGGCGTCCGCCTGCCCTGCACGCCCGGCGGTGGGCGCGTGACCCGCCAGCCTCGGGCTCTGCATCTCCTCGCCCGCAGCCCAGATGGCTCAAGAGGGCCAGGCCCAGAGGGGGCACTACATGGGCCACGACTCTGCTTTTCCTCCTAGTTCTCTTTCTTCCGGTTTAACTTTTCTTTGCAGCCCCCACAGAAGCTCCGCTGTTTCTCTCTTCAGATAACAAAAGCCCCAAATGGTTGCAGCTATTGTAATTTTTATCCTCCCTCTTCCACCTCCAGGCGAGGTGTCCTCTGGTGTCTTGTTTGCACTGGGCCTCCGGAGGGGCCTAGGACCCTGGGCTTCTGTCTTTGTGCCCCCTCTTTCTCTGAGGGGCTATAGTTATATTCCCTCTTGGGGAGCAGTTGAAGAGATGGATCCCCACATGTGACTTGGAGGTCTTAGGCTGTCCCAAGGCCTGGTATGATCTCTCAGGCTTGGCCTCCTGCAGTGCAGACCATGGTTGGCGGGAGCCAACAAAGACGGGTGTGAGGGGAACCCCTCCAACCTGGTCTAGTCAGAGTTGGAGAGACACCTGGGTGGGGCTGTGCTTTCCAATCTCCTCCCCTCTGGTCCAGGACACTCCTCCCTGGGAATGCTGCCCGCTGCTAGGAATGCTGGGGGCGTTGGGGCTGCCTCCAGCCTGACACTAACATCCTTGCAGATGGGGCAGCCCAGAGCCCAACTGGCAGTTGTGTGGTGCCCGGCGTCACCAGCACTTACAGACGGATCCCGGACACCACTCGCGGGTGCTCATCGGATTCCTGGAAAGAGGATGGCGAGCCGAGGGGTCTAGGGCAGCAGGTGCCTGTTTTCAAATTGGCCTCTCGGGACTCAGGAGTGGAGATGGCAGTTGGGGATAGTCTCTTGGCAAGCTCACTGGACTTGGCCAGCTCACTTGGCCTTTCCCAGGACTCTCTGGTCTCTGAGCCCACGAGGTGCCCTGAATCCCCAGCCACAGAGTCTTCTGCCCACCTGGGCCGGCTCCAGGCCAGCCGAAAGCTGGAGCAGGTGCTGGAGCGGTCTCGCAGGCTCCCAACTTCCCCTTCCAGCTTGCGACGACACTGCTGTTCCTCAAAGCAGCCAAACAAGCTTGTGACTTGTGAGAAGCACCTTTCTGGAGCAGGGGAACAAGAGGCCAAGGAGGCAGGCCTAGAAGAAGCAGAGGTGGTAAGTGCCAAGGCTCAGGGTGGGTGAAAAGTGGGTTGCAGATGGCTCTTCTATATGGGGGCAGTGGGAAACACGCCCCCCCCCCCGCATTCCCCCTGAAGCTCTCTCTGGGTGGGGCATTCCTTGCTCATAATTGATGGGTTGTGTCACAGCTTCTTGCCTCACTTCTCTCCCAGCTGTACAGAAGTAGGCAGGTATAGGCCTGGCCTGGCACCATGCCTAGGTGGGCACTGGACACCAAACGGGTGTCTGTTCCTCCTCTTCCTACCTGTTTTGCCCCAATCTCTTAGCCGCCTAGGGTGAGTATGTGTTAAGTTCTGAAGTCTCCCCTACCTCACTGTATCCCACAGGTGGAGGGCTTGGGGCCTGAAGCTTGGGCCTGCCTCCCAGGGCAGGGTCTTCGCTACTTAGAGCACCTGTGCCTGGTACTGGAGCAGGTGGCGAGGCTTCAGCAACTCTGCTTGCAGCTGCAAGCCCGGAGGCCCCTGGGGGTGAGTGACCAGTGGTGGGCAAGCAAGCTGGGGAGGCATGGAGGGGCAGGCTCCCTGGAATCAGGGGTCTTTTCAGAACAACCTCAGCCCTCTGCTCAGGCCCTGTGCTTATCTCCTGTGTCAGAATCCTGCAGAGGAGATGGGTCCTCCACCTCCACCTGCTCATGACCCCAGCAGTGAGGTACATGGACCTTGGAAGCAGCTCAGCCAGACAAAGGAGACAGGTGAGGAACAGTTGTTTCCCTCTTGTCTTGCCTGCCCAGTGCCCCACCAGTGAACCCCTGAGACATTGCTTGATGGGTCACTTCCTGTTCCTGGCCCTGGATAACCAGACTTTCTTTCCAAAGGGGCAAAAGCAGCTTCACCCCCACTGGTGGGGGTGCCCAGGGCCAACTCTCCCAGCCTGTCAGAGGCCCCAGCAGAGCCAGCTCACACCTTTCCATCCTCCCAGGGACACAAGGTAGGTGATCGAAATGTGTGGGGACAGGTAGTAGGATGGGGTAGGGGGGTTGATTGAGTTATGGGGATCTCTTGAAGGCCAGAAGCCCTGGGGAAAATGACAGGATTCTTGTTTGGAGCAGGAAATCTATCCTGGCTGTGTTGACAGATGTCTTTGGGACTTCAGCTGGGGTACATTGTTGGGAGTGGCTCAGTGGGTCTGAGCTTCTGCTTAGCTGGGTCTCTCCCACTGGAACAAGGTCAAGGTCCTGCTCAGCCGGATCCGCTGGAGGAACCGTGGACACCCTGTGCCCCCTGTCAATCCCGATGAACCTGCCCCCAGGTGAGTCCTGTGACCCAGCCCAGGTCAGGGCAGAGGAAGGAGCCTGACGAACCTGGATGCTGAGGCAGTACTGCCAGAGGTTGTCTTTGTTCCTGTGAAATGTGAGAGAGATAGACATTGCTGGAGAGGGTGCTGGAAGCAGCGGAAAGTAGTTAAAAAGTGCCCCAATATAGGGTAAGTAAAAGTATCAGGCTTTTCTGCCCTCCCGCCATCAGGATTGATGATGGATCCCTGCGGTCCTGAATGCATGCCTGATGGCGGGCACCGGGAGTAGGGTGTGGGCAGATGTAGATGGGATCCACCTGGGCTGAGACTGGGCTTATAAGGGCGGCGTCACTGGGATGCCAGGGGAACAGCAGAGTGAAAAGAGCGAAAGAGATCAGATCAGACCAGAAAGAGAAGAGAAGCGAAAAGCGAGAAGCAGAGGCCATGAGAAAACACAAGATTGCCTAGAAAGAGAGAAGATTCACTGGAGGCTGGGAGGCCTGCCAGCCTCACGGCCCCCCAGCACCCCTGCCTGCTGTGTACTTGGTAAAATCCCAATAAAAGCCTGAAAAGCCACTGAGGGCTCCAGGACTGGCTCCTTTACCCAGCCTGCTCGATCACAGAGATCCTGCCCTGGGCCTTCCTGTCGCTACACCCAATTACAGATGAGGCTGGGAGTGAGGTGGGGAAGGAGTCACTTTCTTGAGGCCACTTGGTTATTCAATGGCAGAACCAGGACCAAAATATGGGAAATTTCATGCCAGCCCTGAAGGTGCTCACCCCTCAAAGCTGAAACTTAGGACACCTCATCAGGATTTGGGGGAGAGCAAGGCAGGGTGCAAAGGATTCACAGTAGGTGATATCCAGCAGGTTTGGGAGTGTGTACCATATAACACCCCAGGGGAAGAAGCACATGTCAATATCCCCAAATTCCTCACAGCAATGCTCTGTCAACTCTAGGTCCATTGTTCCCTCCATTTTCTCCTAGCCTAATGCTATCTTTCCTGTTCCACAGGACTGAGTCAAGGGACCTTCCTGAAAGGCCTCTGTTACGCCCCCACCGGAAGACCTTTATTCCATCATTAGCAGTTAAGAAGCAAAGAGCAAAAAATCTTTCTGTATGCTGATACCTCCTGGTGCACGGACAAGACTGTGGGTGGAAGGGGTGTCCAGTGAAGACTTCTTCGCCCCTTTCCCCGTCACTGCTTCTGGGCACTGCCAGGAAAGCTGCTGATGCTTGCCCCTGTCTCTGAGGAAAGGACTGAGTCTTTCTCTGAGCAGTCTGAAAGGAGCCCTGCATCCCTGAGAGGCTCCCAGGTGTGGCAGCTCCCAGGCTCCTGGTTGCCTGAAACCCCTGGGGTTAGATAATGTGAACTAACTTATTTATGAGGCATCCACGCAGCATGCTTGGCATAGTGATCTGCGGATTGCAGATGTGTATTTCAGCAAAATTATATATGTATCTGTGAGACTGTCAGTGTTATGAAGTGACCGGATTCAACCATCTCTCCTGATTGGTCTTCTGGGTGAAGAACTGCAGAAGGATGGAACTGACCTTCATTCCTTCGTGGGCAGTTACTGGTCTGAAGTCCTGGTGCTATCTTGGCTGCCTCTACACTCTCTTATCAGTGGAGCCGAGCCCCTGCACCAGGAAAGTGTGTGTTTGTGTGTGTGAACATGGGGGACAGCTGAGTAACCTTCAAAGTTGATTACCAGCTGCTTTGCTCTCCAGTAGCTTTTACACATTAGATGAAACCAGAAGTCCATACTGGCTTTTAGACCTTGAAGAAGTCCCTTATCTTTTCTGAGCCACATCTTTCCACTTAATCTCCCAAATGGTCTGATGCCTGCCCTACCTACCTCACAGGCTTGTTATGAGGGTAAGATGAGATTAAACTGTTTCAAAGTGCTTTGCAAGTGTTATGTGAATAAGAACGGGGAGAGTATGGGTTTGGGAGGGAGGCTAGACCAGAAGGATGAAGTGGAAGTCAGTTATGATAAGGGGGGCTAGGATTGCAAATGGGGACTGAAATGGTCAGTGATCGGCAGCAAGACTTTGATGAAATCATTTCATTGAAGTCTCTCAGATTTCATATCTGAGAATTAGGGCACTAATTCCCGGCGGATTACCCCCTCCCAGGGTGGTTCTGAAGACTGAAGGAAGTGTTGGTGATAACTCTTTGTAAATGTCTAAGTATTGTGGTCCTTTATCTACCATAGTCCATTAGGGTCCTAAGTCTTTGCTAATTGAGAAAGGGGAAGTCGTTCCCTGATGGGTGTGTAGTCCTGTAGTTCCCTGAGGGTGTGTTTTGTGTGTGTGTGTGTGTGTGTGTGCGCGCGCGCGCGCTGTCCATGAGAGGGTAGGGCTAGGGATGAAGTCATTAGCATGAGTCAGATAAGGAATGTCTACTAGAAATAGCCACTGATCCGTCATCCTCGTCCTCCAGTCAGGTGGGTCTGGTTCTCTTGCTGCTGAAGTCTTAGGGGCTGCCAGAATGAATTAAGGCGTCGATGGTAGGTGTTTCCTTCTGTTTGGGGTGTCCCGCCCTAACTTGGGAATGGGAACCATTGTCTGAAGCCTGTTTTTCTAATGGGACACTTAAGCGTGGACACCACGGAGGCGCCGGTTTCCTCACTCGCATCCGCTAGGGGAAGGCGCACTTCCGCTCCACAATGGGGGCGGGATGGCAGGCCAGCGTGGGGGAGGGAGAGGTCGGTGGAGAAGAGGGAGGAACCATATCCGGGAGAGTGGCAGCTTCCGACCAGTGGTCGCGCTTCCGGAGAGGCGCTTCCGGTGGCGGCGGCAGCAGCGGCTGTGGTGGTTCCGGGTGTCTTTGTCCCCCCGGTGTCGCGGCCCTGGCCCGCAGGTGGGTTGGGGGGCCCCCTGCCGCCCCTCTGCCCCCTCGCTCCTCCCCTGGCCGAGGGGCTGCGAGTGCAGGGAAGCGAAGATGCACGGGGCGCGGAAGAGGCCGAGCCCCCTCTGGACTGCAAGCCCCGTCTCCCTGGCAACGGCCTCGGCCCTGGGGGCGGGCGGGAGGAGGAGAAACCACGGTGGCCGAGGCCGGCTGGGGAGACCCGGCGCCTGGCGGCTGCTGAGGCGGGAGCGCAGGGCCGGGGAGCGCGGGAGCCGGAGGGCGGGCGCGCAGCCGGATCCTTGTCGTCCGGGCCACGGAGCTACCTTCCACCAGCCCGTCCGCCGAACAACGGGCCGGGCTTCCGGGGAGAGGGCCCACACCATCCCTCGGCACCAGCCTCCTCCATTTTTCTGGGCCTTGCGTGGAGCATTTTGGCGGATGTATTTGAATGAATGAATGTCAGCGGGGCGCTTCCCAGCCCCCCAACCACCCAAATTATTTGGGGGTGGCCTGGCATAGTGAGAGAAGCGTTAAGTTGTCGGGAGACCTGGCTGTGAAGCGCAGTCGTGACACTCACTGGTTATGTGGCCTCGGGCAAGTCTCTTCATCGCTGAGCTTCAGTTTCCTTTACTGGAAAATAGCGTGACAGTGTCACCCACGAGGCTGTTGTGAGAGCAAACTGGAACAACGCAGTTTCTTCATTATCTGCACCCCTCTATATTCATTTACCCTCATTCATTCTCAGCACACACCTCCCTGCTTTCTAAGATCCTTAGGTCCTTTTTTGAGGTAGATGGAAATTTTCCTTGTGAGTTGTTAATATTTCTTTTCTGATTGAAGGTTTTCCCCTCAGACTCTGAAAGAGGACAGCATTCCCAATGTCCCAGTTTAAGCGCCAGCGGATCAACCCCCTTCCCGGGGGACGCAACTTCTCAGGTGATCACCTTTATCCCATGCCCTCATGCTGGGAAGTATGTGCTTCAGAGTAGTCTTTTAAAATATGGCTTGTGGGGTTTCTCTGGGGAGAAAAGCAGCATTTTGCTGCTGCTGCTTAGGAAAATAGGAGACCACAGTGGTTGCCACTGAAACCCTGTGGAGGAGTTGCTTGGAGCTATTTTGCCCTTTGAGTTCCCGTGTTCTCTGGCTGACTAGCGCTTAAGGTGGTAGGTGTAGTTCCTGGACATTGCTTTTCTGTCCCCATAGGCACAGCTTCTACATCTCTTCTGGGTCCTCCTCCTGGTTTGCTCACTCCTCCTGTGGCCACAGACCTGTCTCAAAATGCCAGGCACCTTCAGGTAGGTTGGGCATCCTTTCTAGTTTTGTTTAGCCCTTCGGACTGCCACAGCATATATGGGTGCTCGATGCTTTCAGTTCTTAGGTTTACAGTGTCCTTTCTTGACTCCTGTCCTGGGCCCCTTTGAGGTGACTCTCAATTCTTTGAAAGGGGAATTCTAAATTACGGCTCCAGGGAAATCTTTAGAGTGTTTCTTGGAACTACAGAACCAGAAATCCTAGAAAAAACTTGTGACCCAAGAATCATTACAACCCCCTCACCTCCACAACACACCCCCCAGAGATTGAATGTGTGCACTATGTATCTATATTTTCTTCTGTGTGAATCTAAGAAGCAGTGCTCTGGATAGGATGAAACGCTAGTGTAAGCATGTGCCTTTGTCCAGATTGCTCCCTGTTAACTTTCAAACTGAACCCTTCTCTTACAGGGTGGAGAGAAGCAGAGGGTCTTCACTGGCATTGTTACAAGCTTGCATGACTATTTTGGGGTGGTAGATGAAGAGGTTTTTTTCCAGCTAAGGTAGGCATGAGGCTGAGTCCCCTCTGTAAATGCTTATTGGATTCCATTCTGTCACCATGCTGGTGGGCCCCTCTAAAGCCATTGCTTTGCTGTTTTTTGTGCAAGGTGAGGGAAATCTTGATGGGAAGGACCTCAGTAGGGACAGTTAGGGTGGCTTGGCCAGGGTCTCTGTCCTGACTGGGCCTCCTGGCTTGTGTGCTGGCAGTGTGGTGAAGGGCCGGCTACCCCAGCTGGGTGAGAAGGTGCTGGTGAAGGCTGCATACAACCCAGGCCAGGCAGTGCCCTGGAATGCTGTCAAGGTGCAAACGCTCTCCAACCAGGTATTCGTCTCTCCTTGCTATCTGTGTTGGAAGGGGGAGGAAGGGAAGCCCCTGTACCCTGAAATTGAGCAAAAATCTTATTTTTGTCAAGGGGGTAGGGCATTAACCATAGGTTCCTCTGAATTTCCTGCCTACTGTCCTGCAGCCCTTACTGAAGTCCCCAGCACCTCCCCTTCTGCATGTGGCAGCCCTGGGACAGAAGCAAGGGATTCTGGGAGCGCAACCCCAGTTGATCTTCCAGCCTCACCGTATTCCCCCACTCTTTCCTCAGAAGCGTGAGTACCAGTAGCATGGTTGTTGGACTTGTAGCTTTATGGGGTGCTCTGGATGGACTTGTAACTATCTCAGAAGGGGATATTTCTGTGCACTAGAAGAAAGGGACAGGGAAGCTGGATGGATTTTTAGGGTTTAATAGTCATCTACTGTTTTCCTCTCTGCAGCTCTGAGTCTCTTCCAAACATCCCATACACTTCATCTGAGCCACCTGAACAGATTTCCTGCTCGGGGCCCTCATGGCCGATTGGATCAAGGCCGAAGGTAAGAGGATGATCCAGCCGAAACATTTTATTTTATTTGCCTCTAGGAGCAATGTCCCTTTCTTTGCCACTTGTTCACACTAGCATTCTCTTTACGTAACTACACGATAGTTCCTTTATCCTGAAAAAAGCAGACACATGGAGATTTATATATGAATATTAGAACTTTATAAAACTAGCTTAGCAAGCAGGGATTTTTATGTAGTTCATCTTTCAAAATACCATTTTGAATTTTTCTTAATGTTTAATTTTCCCTTTTACTTGTAGCCCCTAAGATTGAGATACTAAGAATCAAAACTGTCAAGTAAATCATAATTGTCAAAAAAGAGTAATCTTGAAGTATATAATTTCTACATACATGTTTCTTTATATACATGGTACACGATGGTGTGGTGTTAGAATGTGTTTGTTGGATGCTACTTCTTATAAATCCAGGCCTGTGCCTTATACAACAGGCAGCTTCTTGGTTCTGTATGGAGCAGGTGTGGTGGATAGTGCTGGACCATCTTATATAATTTCTGAGCATTGGGGACCTCCAAGAGCATGCTACCTGTTCTCTTTGCCTCACACATTCCTTATCCTGCCTTATTCGCTCACTAAAGGTTTTCACTGAAACCCTTGGGAGCTAAGCTCTGAACTGCTTTGCTTAAGACTTGCTCTGGTTGTGTCTGTTAGTCTCTGTTTTAACTTTTTACTGTGGAAAATTCAAGTGTATGCAGAGTAATGATGAACTCAGCTTCAACATCTGCCACTCTTTGTTTTTTTATGTGTACCTCCATCTATTTCCTGCCCCCTACTTGTTCTTTTTTTTTTTTTTAAGATTTATTCTTATTTATTTATGCATAAAAGAACTGGGGTATAGGCCAGAGGTACAGGGAAGTGAGAGGATTCACCAGAGACAGAGTGGGGGGCAGAACAGGCGGATCTACTGAAATACACTGCTGAGGGGAGCAGTGGGTAAGACAGGCGAGGTCTGCTGTGCCATGTGAGTTAGCTCCATGGCTGCAGATCGAATTCATGCTACAGTGGCTGGCGATAGCTAAGACTTTAACCCCTGTGCCACCAGGGAGGCCCCACTTGTTTTTTTTTTTAAAAGATTTATTTATGCATACAAGAGCTGGGGTACAGGCCAGAGGTGTGGGGGTGAGAGAATTCATCAGAGACAAAGTGGGGAACAGAACAGGCAGATTGACCTAAGTACACTGCTGAGGGGAGCAGTGGGCAAGTCAGGAGAGGTCTGCCTTGCCATGTGGGTTGCTCCCTGGCCAGCCAGGGATCAAACTCGTGCTGCAGAGGCTGCAGACAGCTTCATAGGTTGTGTCTTAACACCTTGCACCACCAGGGAGGCCCCACCTACTTGTTATTTTTTAAGGTAAAAAATTTAAGGTGAAATTTATATGGATTGAAATGCATAAATCTTAACTGCAGTTTTGACATGGAAAATCCCATGTACTCCTTACCCCTAATAAGGTATAGAACATTTCCATTGGTCCAGAACATTCTCTTATATTGTAATTTTCTTGAAATGAGAACTGTACTGAGAAGAACCTGTCCCAGATGTCAGTAGATTCTTACACGGAAAGGACTGAGAGTGCAATCCAATGTGAACACTTAAAAGTAGCGTAAAGTAAATCAGAAAAAGTTTTGGCAAAGTGATATTGCCGGTCTCTGTTGAATCTAGTTTGTTCCCTTGGAATAGGTCATTGTGAATTCTAACTAGGGGAAAGCTTTGATTTTCTAGGATGAGGATCCTTTTCCACAGTACTTCTAGTACTTGAAACATTTTGTTCCAGTCTCTCAAAGTCATGGGTATATATTTTGTCTTCACCCACGTCCCTTGTCTTGTGCATCTTCTTAGTCTTCAATTTTTGAGATTTTTCCACTCTCACATTATGTGAGTTTATTAAAGACTTCATTACAGAGTCACAGCAAGTGCCCTCAGGAGTAACGTATCCTGGGTAGAATCAGTACCTGCTCTTGACTTTCTGTTTGAGGTTCAAGTTCAGCTTTTCAGTGCAGACCATTGCATTTGATTGTCCTGGACATGTCAAAGTTCTGTGCACATTCTATGTGGTTTTACCTTTCACCATAACATTTCAGTGTTAATAGGGTCTAGGGGGAGGAGATGTTACCTTTAGGAGGGAGATATTGCTATCAGTGAATACAGAGAATTTGCAGAGTGGGAACGGGGCAGTTGAATTAGGTCACTCTGGGGGGAATACGTTGATTTATAAAGGAGTCAGCCACATTAGTGTTTTGACAGGAAGCCAAGTTTTATTTTGATCCTTACACTCTGGGATGCAGGAACAGTCACCATTGCCCCACCAAAGCTAAACTACTGAGGTTTTAGATAGGAGACCTGCTCTGTCGTGCTGAGGTTACTGTCTTCTAACCTGCTGTGTTAGTTCATATAAGGTGAGAAAAGTGACTAGAATCCACAGGATTCAGTGGAACATCCAGTTGAACTAGAGGTTGATAGCATTTACTCAAGAGTTCAGTATGTGTAGGCTGAAAAAGAATTGTCTAATGACTTTGGAAGGTTCTCCCTTTTTTTTTTCTTTTAAAGATTTATTTATACATACAAGATCGGGGTGCAGGCCAGAGATGTGGGGGGTGAGAGGACCCACCAGAGACAGAGTGGGGAGCAGAACAGGCAGATGTACTGAAACATACTGCTGAGGGGAGCAGTGGGCGAGGCAGGAGAGATCTGCTGCGCCATGTGGGTTGCTCCCTGCCTGGCTGGGGATCGAACTTCTGCTGCAGTGGCTGCGGATAGCTTCATAGGCTGCATCTTAACCCCTTGCACCACCAGGGAAGCCCTGGAAGGTTCTTCTCTTAGAAATATGAACTGTTGACATCCCATAAGGCCAAGATAAGAAGGCAGGTTTTGGATTGAGATGCCTGAACAGGGACATTACCCCGGCAGATAAAAGAGAAAGGAACAAAAAAGTTGTGTTAAATATAATCAGCTTAGTTACCGAGGGATATGATGATGAGGGAAACAACCCAGGAAGGTCTAAAAGGAAAGAACAGAGAACTTTTGGTAAATAAAATCAACTCGGTTACCTTGATGTGAAGAATTGACAGTTGACTTTATTTCTCTCATGAGACACAAGAGATTTTCTATCAGTTTACCATTTTATAAGGCTCTTGAGGTTTGTTTCTCTTCTACTGCTTTTATTTATGGCACCCTTAACTTAGTCACACCACAGTAAATGATTTGTTACAAAAATGTATAAAGTAGTATCAACTATTCCAGAAAACAAAAATACTGTAAAATTGTATCATTTCCTTTCCTTTAAAAAGTAACCATTCTTAAAGGCTATTAGAAAAGTACTTGGTTGCCACTTCCCCTACACTGTTGGCCTTTATAAATAAATGTATACTTTCATAATTTTTTTTTAAAACTGAAAATTTTTTATAAGATTTATTTATTTATACAAGCACTGGGTACATCAGAAGCGCGGGAGGGGGAGAGAATTCACCAGAACCAGAGCAGGGAACAGAAAAGGCAGAGTGACAAAATACACTGCTGAGGGGAGCAGCTCAACCGCTGCGCCAGCAGGGGAGGCCCACTTTTATAATTTTAATCTTACAGTTAAAATTATTCTTACTCTTCCACATTTCCCATGTTGCATTGTAATCCTCATGGTAGTTTTAATGGCTGCCTGATTACTGTGTTTATTTACTATAAAAACTCAGGTATTGCTGGATTTGATTGTGGCTTTCTTACTATTAGCTTTTGCTGCTTTGCTTTTTCCCCCCTACATAAAACTTCTTTTCTTCTTTTGAATTAATTCCCTTGGGATAATTTTTAACAGTGGCATTATTAGATCAAAGGGTTTGAGTATTTTTATGACCTTAATATGTACTATTAGGGATTTGTTTGTTCTTAATAAGGAATTGTCTCTTCTAATAAAATTAACTTTGTTGAGCCCTTGGCATGATACCTTATGTCTGTCTTGTTGGGAAAAAAAATCAGTTTTTTTCTTATCAGTTCAAAAATTGCATGCTGACTATAATTTACAACATTCAGAAAAACAAAATATAAGCCATATCAGCCAGAGGCATCCACCATTAGTGCTTTCTTTTCAGTAATAAAGCTTTTTTTGCACAGTTGAGGTAGTGTTGCATATTCTTCTTTTTGCTTAACCTGAGTATTTTTTTCTATTGTTAAAAACATTTAAATATCCACTTTCAAAAACCAAGAAAAACCCATTTTAATATCTTTATAACAGACTATTAAACGTGGTGGGGGTAACATGGCTGCTTTACCCATTTTTTTCACTGTTGGGGGTTCAGTTTGTTTCCAGTTCTTTTAGGCTAGTCTGTTTTGAGTCTGTATGTAACAATGTGGTTTCCTCTTTCTGGTGATGGATCAATCTCCAGCGATGACTATGACTCCAAGAAACGCAAGCAGCGGGCTGGTGGGGAGCCTTGGGGTGCTAAGAAACCAAGGCATGATCTGCCTCCTTACCGGGTCCATCTTACTCCCTATACTGTGGACAGGTGAGTGCAAGGCTGGGGTGGGTTGAGATTTGCAACTGGTCATAACTTCTTGTACGAATGAGATACGTGTGTACAAGTGTGTGTGTGTGTGTGTGTGTGTGTGCATGTGTACTTGTGTACTTACAAACTTTTTTTTTTTGAAACAAATGAAAGCCTTTTGTACACACTGGTTCTTTGCTTTTTCACTTCAGGTTTCTCAGAACTTAATCCACATTAACATTTATTATATTGATGTCATCCTCTTTAGCAACTGCATGGTATTCCATTGAATGGGTGAAATCATAATTTACTTAACCAGTTTTCTGCTTTTAGTCTAATTATTCTAAATATTATAAACATCCTTCTGCACACATCTGTGCGTGTAGATGCATTTTATCTAGATCAGTTCCTAGAAATGGAGTAACTGGCACAAAGGGTTTTATTTAAATGTTGATAGGTATCAGCCAGTCATTTGAAGTCAATTTACAGTGTCATCAGTGGGGAATGAAGTGCTTATTTCTCCATGTCTTTGCCAACGTTATTACCAAACTTTGATCTCTGTTAGTGTGATAGGTGAAAAGTGATATTCTGATTTGCATTTGTTTAGTTATCAGTGAGATTGAACATCTTTCCATGACCTGCTACGTTTCATTCCTTTTTCTGTTCATAAGTACCTGTTGATGTCAGTTACCCCATTTTTCTTTAAGCTTGTAAACTTTTCATTATTGATTTGTGGGTTCCTTTTATATTACTTCAGTAATGCTTTTCTCTGTCATGTATTGCAAACGGTTTCCCTGTTTTTTTTTTTTCCCCAGTTTGATTTTGCTCTGTCACTAGAAGTTGTAACATTTCATATGGTTAGCCATCCTTTTCAGCGGTGTCTTAGTTTTTTTGTAGATTATAAAATTACTTGCCCATTTTCTTCCAAGTCTTTCATGGTTCCATTTTAAGAATAATTTAACCTTTGCTCAATCTGGATCCCTTGCATTCTCCCTGCAGCCCCACCTGTGACTTCTTAGAACTCCAGCGCCGTTACCGCCACCTCCTGGTCCCTTCTGGTTTTCTGGCCGTGCATCTGAGCTGGCTGTCGGCCTTTCCTCTGAGCCAGCCCTTTTCCCTCCATCACCCAAGTCGGATTCAGGTATCTTCTGAGAAGGAGCCAGCTCCAGACACCAGTGCTGAGCCCAGCTCTGCAGACAGTGACCCCGCTTACAGTTCCAAGGTCAGTTGGCTGGGGTCCTGCAGCTTTAGCCCACTGTTGGGGCCTGAAGAGGCTTATGAGTATTTCCTTCTCACTGCCCTGCACAGGTACTGCTGCTCTCTTCCCCAGGGTTGGAGGAATTGTATCGTTGTTGTATGCTCTTTGTGGATGACATGGCTGAGCCAAGGGAGACGCCAGAACATCCTCTGAAGCAGATTAAGGTAAGAGCTGGAGCCCAGGAGGCATGGCACAATCATTGATAGTGTATAGGTCATGTCAGATTTTCGGCAGTTCAGCTCCTGTTCATGAAATCACAAAGAGTTTTGAGGTAAAAATAACACTCATTTTGCAGAGAGACAGCATAGCTCTGATCTTCTTACTTTATAAAGAGTGGCTGGACTGTTCAATAACTCCCCGTGTTATCTACCCTCATGCTGCCTGCATTCTACGGTGGTGGCAGGCTGTTCCGCAGTGGGAGCCCTGATCTCGGTCATTTTTTCTGCAGTTTTTGTTGGGCCGGAAAGAAGAGGAGGCAGTGCTGGTTGGGGGTGAGTGGTCTCCTTCTCTGGATGGCCTCGACCCCAAGGGCGACCCACAGGTGCTGGTTCGCACTGCCATCCGCTGTGCGCAAGCCCAGACAGGCATCGACTTGAGCGCCTGCACAAAGTGGTGAGTAGTTCCCCTGAACTCGTCTGCGGCTGGCAATGGGGCTGGTGAGAAGGTTCAGGAAACCAAGCTTCTGTGACTTCCTGGCCTGTTAATTTGCCTCTGTCTCCTTGTTCAGGCCTCACAAATGGTTGCCCTGGTCTTGAGCATGACTAGGGCTGTGTATGTGTGTTGAAGGCCAGTTGACCTGCCAAGGCTCATTCCGTCACCCTCAGCTCCATATTGGTGCCTTGGGTAGTAATTGTCTGCTTGGGTTTCTCCCCATGGCTTAACCATTTCTTGGGCCCTCAGTCTGTATCTTTTATTTTTGTACTTGCAAAGCTTGGCATGCAGTTTGTACTCAATAAATGTTTGGAAACTGAAGCAGATGCTGGGGAAAGCCATGGGTCAGCCCACATTTTCCCTTTTTCTTGTGAGCAGGTGGCGCTTTGCTGAGTTTCAATACCTGCAGCCAGGACCCCCGCGGCGGCTCCAGACTGTGGTGGTATACCTGCCGGACATCTGGACCATCATGCCTCCTTTGGAGGAGTGGGAGGCTTTGTGTCAGCAGAAAGCTGCAGAGGCTGCAGCCCCAGCCCCAGAAGTCCCAGCGGTAAGGCTGAACGTTAGGAACAAGCTAGGATGGTAAGTGCCCTGAGCCTTGGACCCAGGTGGTCAAAGCCTGTGATTTTTGTCCCAGGAAATGGAGTCTACAGAACAGGCAGCTGATACTTCAGAGCAAGCAACAGATACTTCCAAACAGAACGCAGAGAATCCAGAGGTTACGGCCCAGCAAGAAGTGGACACTGATCTCCCAGAGGCCCCTCCACCCCCTCTAGAACCTGCTGTCATGGCACGCCCTGGTTGTGTAAGCCTGTCCCTCCATAGTATTGTGGAAGATCGGAGGCCAAAAGAGAGGGTCTCTTTTGAGGTAGGCATCTGGGAGGCTGAGGTAGGGCATGTGGAATGGTGGGCTTGCAACTCTCTGGGTTTTCACAGGCCCCTGCTGCCTCTTCCACCAGGTGATGGTGTTGGCTGAGCTGTTTTTGGAGATGCTGGAGAGGGATTTTGGCTATAGGATTTATAAGATGCTGCTGGGCCTTCCTGAAAAGGTGGTGGCCCCACCTGAACCTGAGAAGGAAGAGGCAGTCAAGGAGGAAGAAGCAGTCAAGGAGGAGGCGTCCAAGGAGCCCAAGGATGAGGTACAGAGTGAGGGCACAGCTGCCGAGTCAGACGCACCGCCGGTGAGTACCTCTGCCTCCCGCATGGGCACTCGGGCTTCATGGGTACGCTGAGCTGAAATCACATGCTGTGTGTTACCAGGCACTGCTCTGAGCGCTTTATGGGGCTCTCTCACTAGTCCTCTCACTGCACGTGCCTCATGACCCTGGCACGTACTCAGGTGCAGTGGCCATCGGCTAGTAAGTGTGTACCCGGGAGAAGTGTGGTTGACACACTGCGGCAGCACAGAAATCTGCTAAGAATGCTGCAAGGACCAGGTGTTTTGATCATCCAGTGGTTGCTAGAACACTGCATTTCTTTTTTTTTTTTTAAAGATTCACTCATGCATGCATGCAAGAATGGGGTACAGGCCAGACGTGTGGGGGTGGTGGTGTGTGAGAGGATTCACCAGAGACAGAGTGGGGAACAGAACAGGCAGACTGACTGAAGTGTACACTGCTGAGGGGAACAGGGGGCAAGACAAAGGAGGTCTGCTGCACCGTGTGGGTAGCTCCCTGGCTGGGGATCGAACTGGTGCTGCAGTGGCTGTGGATAGCTTCATAGGTTGCGTCTTAACCCCTTGTGCCACCAGGGAGGTCCTAGAACACTGCATTTCTTAACACTTCCTAAAGCACATCTATTCCCTTTGTGCCCAAATACTATAAAGTAAACGTAATTTCCTACGGGGCTGCAGTTGGCTCCTGAGGAGAACCTCAGGTGCCTGGAAGTGGCCCTGGGGCTCTGAACTCCTGTAAAGCGAGGCATCTGATGGGACCGTGCCTGCTCAGCATGTGATATGGTGCCTGGGAGTGATACGGTGCCTGGGACGTGACTGCTACGCAAATGTTGTCCATTGTTAATTGTTAGTAGTGGAAGGTGAAGTTCCTGCACATCACTGTGGTCTGCTTCCTTCCTAGAAGGAAGATGGGCTTTTGCCAAAGCCCCCATCTTCTGGGGGCGAGGAGGAAGAGAAGCCCCAGGGTGAGGCATCTGAGGACCTCTGTGAGATGACCCTTGACCCTGACCTGCTGCTCCTGAGGGACGACGGAGAGGAAGAGTTTGGTACGCCAGTGGAGGCGCAGGCGGGCAGATTGGTGGTGCTGGCTCTGTGGCCAGAGGGCCTCCCTGTCAGGTGTGGAGCCAGGGTGGCTGCTGTGATCCTGGCTCCAAGCTCATCGTAAGCTTTCTGTAGCAGGAGCCAAGCTGGAGGATTCCGAAGTCCGGTCAGTTGCCTCAAACCAGTCTGAGATGGAGTTCTCTTCACTTCAAGACATGGTGAGACCTTTTCTGTCCCCCTGGGATTCAGTGCCGGTGAAGCTTAGCAAGACCTCACTCCTGGGGCAGAGATGCTTTTTACCAAATGACTTCTGGTACCTTTTGATGGACAAAAGACAAGAGGTTCTTGGCCTAGGGAATGGCGCTTTGTCATAGGAGCCAGAGGCGTCTGAGCTAGGTGTCTGATCTAGGGGCACACTGGTTCCTCTGGAGGTGACAGCCCCTGGGTCAGAAATGCTCCAGCAGGCCTGGGGGCCCCACCTGGCCCATGGTCATCTAACTGGAAGGCCCAGTGGGGGTGACTGTCAGCCAAGCTGCTGGACTTTAGAAAGTCTACATCCTGCATGATTTTAGCCATTGGGAGAACTATTTGTAAATCCTGTTCATCCTGATTCTTTTGCAGCCCAAGGAACTGGACCCCTCAGCTGTGCTCCCTTTGGACTGTCTTCTTGCTTTTGTCTTCTTTGATGCCAACTGGTGTGGTTACTTGCACCGGCGAGACTTGGAGAAGATCCTGCTCACCCTTGGGCTCCGGCTCAGTGCAGAGCAGGTACCCGCTCCTGAGGTGGCCTCACCCAGCAGACGTGTGCAGTAGCACACACGCCCGGTGCCAGTGGGCATCTTGGAATGCTGCTGTTCTGGGTTCTTATAGCTCACAGGGGCGAGGGCTGGCCTGTCTCCTGAGCGGGTATCTTGGGGCTGTGTTCTCTGCAGGCCAAGCAGCTGGTCAGCAGGGTGGTGACCCAGAATATTTGCCAGTACCGGAGCCTTCAGTACAGCCGCCAGGAGGGCACAGATGGCGGGCTTCCTGAGGAGGCGCTCTTCGGTACGTGCTGGTGCTCCATAGCTTCCTGTGCACGATTGCCGGGCCGCTACTCTCCTGAGACTTTCCTCACATTTTTCCCACGGCCCCTTCTAGGAAACCTGGACCTGCTACCTCCTTCTGGGAAAAGCCCAAAGCCAAGTGCTGCCCCCACGGAACACAAAGGCCTGGTGTCCCACAACGGCAGCCTGATCAACGTGGGGAATCTGTTGCAGCGTGCGGAGCAGCAGGATAGTGGGCGGCTGTACCTGGAGAACAAGATTCACACACTGGAACTAAAGCTGGGTGAGTGGCCCGAAGCCACAGGGGCCTGGCGTGGGTGGGGCATGGAGAGATGTTTTCTATTCAGAGACTAATGGGGAGACCCTGCCACCCCAGGCTTTAGGCCTCTCACCCCATGCACTAGTCCTTGACTTAGCAGTAGTCTTTTTGGTGTTTCCTTCTCAGAGGAGAGCCATAACCGTTTCTCAGCCACTGAAGTAACAAACAAGACACTGGCCGCAGAAATGCAGGAGCTGCGAACCCGGTTGGCCGAGGCTGAGGAGACGGCCCGAACAGCTGAACGACAGAAGAACCAGCTGCAGCGGCTGTTACAGGAGTTCCGAAGGCGCCTGACCCCCCTGCAGCTTGAGATGCAGCGGATGGTTGAAAAGGTGAGCTCCCTGGAGAGAGCTGCCTTCTGTTGGGTTGGGAGATGGGGGGTGGGGTGTGTGTGACAGCCAGGCCTGTTGGCGCCAGGCTCCCCACTCCCTCCAGTGTCTTCAGGAAGCCATCACTGGCAGCTTGCCGCCAGGGGTCTCCCGGGAGCAGGTGCTCAGTCCTCGGATCTCACCCCTAATGAGTCTTAATTCTTGTTACATCTGTTTCAAACAGGCTGACAGCTGGGTAGAGAAGGAGGAGCCGGCACCGAGCAACTGAGGGCCCTGGCACAGGAGCTGCCATCCTGTGAGGTCAGCGATGGAGCCTGAAGTTTCAGCCCTTTTGGTCCCAGAAAGAAGCTGGAGCAGGACCTGGGAGCCATAGGCAGGGGGTGGCTGACCCCTGTGCTCAGCCTCTAGGGGAGGCCAGGCCGTCAGGGTGGGGTCTGTCTGCTACGTGGGACAGACAAGCGAGGAACCCCGGTTCCGGTTACAACTAAATCCAACACAACATCTTCTGCACCCCTCGAATGTCATTTTGCCCTCTCCCTGGGGATTCTCCTGGGGCCCTTTAGTCTTGTGCTGACTTTCTCCTGTCCTCTTCCAGTTTAGAGTAAGACGGGGAGGAAAAGGCTTTTTGAGTATGTCATAAGGTCTGATGCCAATAAACTGAAGAAACAGCTGTGGAAGCTGGCTGGGGTGAGAGCCCCTTCCTCTGGACGGCACAAAGCCCGTTAGGTTCCAGGAGCAGGTTCTTGGGCAGGGGCTCCCGTGGCCACCACAGGGCCGGAGCCAGCGCTAGCGAGCTGCGTCGGGCTGTGTCTGCCAGTGCACGCTGTTACGGCCACCCCAGACTCGCCGGAAGAAACCAGCGCCTCTCCCCTGGCTCCCCGTGTTCAGAATGTGGTATTGGCTCTGGCCCAGCCTTCTCCCCTGTTCCCCGTAATTCTCGCCTCTTTCCATAATCCGTGGTTTCAGTTTGACTTTGTATATAAAGTTGGTTTTTTCTTTTGGCTTTTTGTTTTTTAAATAAACCAAAGTCAAAAACAGACCTTGTGTCCTCCATCGCTCTTCCCGTCCTCTTCTCCCCTCCTGGCCCTCGCCCAGCCTGTGCTGGATGGCGGGGTAGCCCCTCTGGGCGGGCACAGCAGGGGGAAGAGACTGAGCCGCCAAGGTCCTGCTAGCTCAGCAGGGGGCAGCGTAACCCTGAGCCGACTGAGCTGGCCTGGCGCTCCTCAGCTACAGCACAGTATGTGGAAATTTTATTGAAAACTTTACTTGAAAAAATAAAATTCCAATTATTCAGGTGAACAAACCCAATAGTGTTCTTGCTTTGAGGCCTCTGACTTGGGGGTGACATTCTGTGTGGTACAACATTTACATGAGTCGAGAGTCCTAGGGAACCTACGGGACTTGGGTTGGTGGGGCTCGTCCCTGCGCTTGACATAAGGTAAAGAAGTGGGCTAAGCCAGCCTCTTGCGTGAGGAGGCTGCGTTGCAGCTCAAAGGCCCTATAGGGCAGTGTCCTGGGCCTCTCAGATGAGTCCTTGGAAGCGGGGAGACAGCAAAGGTGGGGGGCTCACCAGCACCGGTCATCGGGAGGTAGATGTGATCCCGACCACACAAACCAGGCTCCAGTGCACCGACAAAGCCCTTGCCCTGCAGGCTCGTTCGGGCCCAGGCCGGGAAGTGCTCCGGCCGGCTCTCGGAAGGCCCCTGAGGCTTTCGCCGCACCTTACCTTTCTGTGGGCTCTTGCTACGGGTGGGGAGGTGGCCGCTTGCTTAGGGCTCTGGCGTCAGGCCGGATGCTTCCAAAGGGCTGGCGGGCAGAGCTGAGCCACTGCTCCCCAGCCCGCCGGCGGCCGCGCTCCTCCCAGAGAAGGCCTTTGGCTGGCTGATGTCTAAGCCTAAGCTTGAAAGGGGCAGAGGCGAGAGGCTGACTTGGATCCCAGGAGCCTTCGCAGGGAGGAGCATGTCAGTCATCGGCCACGATGGAGAGGGCTCTGAGCTCGCTCAGTTTCGCTTCGTTCTCCCGTTCCCGCTGCTCATCCAGGTGGCCAGGCTGGTCAAGCTGCTGGGTCAGGTCCCCGAAGATCTTATGCATTTCTGAGTAGTACACCACCTGGGATGAGGAGGCGAGAGGAGGTCTGTAGGTGCTGGGTCACAGGCTCGCAGCCCCCCCCCCAGCACTGCACCCCTGGGCACAGGACAGGCGGATAGGCGGGCAGAGGACCGGCGTCTGGGCTGGTTTCTACTTTCCCGGCCTTCATCCCCTCAGCCTGTCTCTAAATTGCACGAGGTCCCAAGCAAGAGGGAAGCCACAGCCTGAAGGCCTCCAAGAACATCCACTGCCTGAGTGACAACAAAGTCGGGAGGGAGCAGCAGTTCCTTGGTGAGGTACGTGGGGGCTTGGCTCTTCAAGCTCTCCAGGCAGCTGACAGGGAAGTGGGGGTCCTGTGTGGTGGGATGTGGGGCAAGACAGTGGAGCACAAGGCCGGGACTGGGGCAGGGGGAGGACCCTTGGTGGGTCCTGGGAGGGAGGCCTATGGAGTCAGGCTGTGACGAGGGAGGGGCTTACAGCTGTCTCAAAGCTGGGAGGGAATCCGAGGCTTCTGTTCTGTGGGTCAGAGGGCATGGCAGGCTCCCAAGGCCCTAAGAGCCTGTCCTAGAAAGGTGAGAAAGGTGACATTTTCCCAGCCTTCTGTTCCTTCTCAATTCATCTCTGAATCTGTCTGAGGGGTGCAGGCTGGCTCATTTCCACAGTTCCCTCTACAAAGGGGCCTACGGGAAAGAGGAGGGCAAACTGAGGAATGGTGACACCACCAGCACCTCTCAGGTCACTGTGGGCTCTGGGCCTGAGCAGATCCAGGGCAGAGGCTTTTCCAGGAAGGAGGACCAGGGCAATTTCTGCCTCAGTCTCTACTTGGTGATCAAATGAAAGTGTTGTATTGATATTCAAACACCCCTGAGTTTAATCATCTCAAACTCCAAGTTGTCTTAGGACAAGAAGAACTCTACTATTCTAGAAACTTGGAGCCAAGTTTCTAGAGATAAGGCAAGGCCAAGCAGGGTGCCTGGGCCCTGTGTGGTGGAGCTGTTTCTGAGGAAGTGTCTTTTCCACCCCTTCAGCTAGGATTCCATGGGTGGGGGGGTGCGAAATCAAGGATTCCTCGTACTTTTGTCACCTCACTGGGTGGGGCCTGGGCTGGTGCTGGGAGAGGGGGGAGGGCGCTGTGCACTGAGTCACTAGGAATGCTCACTTCTCCAGTGACTAATGGCAGCAGCAGCCACAAGAGGGGGAGGCTGGTGCTGAGGCGGCAGTAAACAACCCTGGCCTCCCCGCTGCCTGGTTACGGGGCATCCCATGCCCCTAGACTGCTCCAACCTGGGCATGCTGAAGCCTGGGGACCCTGAACCTTCCTCCCATGAGCAACAGGTTGGAGGGGGCAGAGAAGCAAGCGGGGCTGGGGGTGGGGATGGGAGTTCTGGCAGTGATGGTGGCAGGTTCCCCTAAACTCAGGGTGAAGCTGCTGGAAGGCAGCTCTTACTTCCAGGGCAATACTCTGGGGGCAAATATGGCAATTCCCCACTTGCTTGTGCACATAAATTCTCTGCCTCATTCTCCCTGGTGACCAGGGGCAAGGTCACCAACAAGTCCCAGTTCCAACATCAATCTTGCTCACGGTCCTGCTACCTGGATTTTGATGCTCTACCGTGGGAACTGGCGGTTTCCCATGGTGGACTGCAATGAACGATGACGTCCACTGGGGGGCGCCAGACCCCCAGGCTAAGGACAGAAGTGCCCCGATGGTCCACAACCGGCCTTGTTACCTGGAGGCTAAGGTGGGAAGGAGCAGGACGCTGAGCACCTGTAGTCAGTTGGGGTTCCTGTGGAGGAGACCTGTTGGCTTTGGCACCCCGACCTCTTTTTCACAAATGGGGAGAAGACTCCCTGCTCAACATTTGAATAACGGGGTTGGGGGGCAAAGACATGGAGAGGGCAGGAATGACACCTGATTACGTGACACCTGACCTCTTGGGTGGCAGGAGACTCAGGATCTTGGCCTGTGCATGACCCTCCAGCTGCCTGACCCTGGTGCTGTGCTGAGCACCCGCATCTACACCCAGCAACCTCGCAGGAGCCCTGGCAGGGGCTTCCCCAGGGTTTAAGGGTCCCTCCAAGAGTTGCTAAAATTTAAGACCACATGTCTCCTGCTGAAAGGTGCGGACTAATTAGTAGGGGCATGAAGGGGGTAAGGTCCCCAAAGGCCACTAGCCCTGGTCTCCTGCGCATGCAGGGCAGACAACCCGCCCGTCAACACGTGGTGCTAAGTACACAACCTGGTTTCTGCCGGCTGCTTGTGGCACCACATGAGGAGAGACAGATTGAGGGCAGAACTGCAAGAGCAAGGAGCCTCCCCCACCTGAGTGCAGGGGTCGGCCGAGTGCAATGTAGGGCCCCAAATTCCAGCAAACAGAGTAGGGCCCTCAGGCCCCTGGATTTAGTCCTAGGACAAAGGCCCCTTTTCGGGGCGGTGCAGACTGGGTGGGCAGTGAAGCTATCTGCAGAGAATGGCTAAATCATCCTTCCAGACGGTGTAAGTTACGCCCCATGACTATCTCCTAGGGGAAAGGGCAGTGGCCATCATTTGAGTTTATGGGGGCGCCTCACCTGGGCTCGGATCAGAGACTCAAAGCTGGGCTGGAAGTAGTCGAGCCGGCTGTTGTAGAACCTTGGCATCTCATCCAGGAGCTGCTTGTTTTTGGCCTCAAAGTCATCCCGCACAGGCCTTAGTTCTTCTCGGGCCTGGGGAACAAGACCCAGGGTGTGAGATCGCTCACTGGCTTAGCCAGTACCCTGCTGCAGCCTTGATGGAAGTGTGTGGGAGGGATCAGGGCATTTGGTGTCTTTGGATGGTTCCCAGGTGGGGGGGTGCAGCATGTCACCCGTGACCACCAGGCCCACTGTCCCCTCAGCCCCCTTCTCCACAGTACCTGGTGGAGTTTGGCCAGCACTGGCCCTGTCTTCTCCTTCTCCTCATACTTCTCCACCTTGGCCTGCAGTCTCCTGTAGTCCTGCAAGACCTGCTCTCGCCGCTTGACTGCCATGTTGAGGCTTGGGAAGACGCTGCTGAACCTGTGGGACACAGCCTGGTGGGATTCTGGCGGCTCTGGGAACTGCAGGCCGGCAGCCTGCCATCCATTCACAAGTGCACACTGAGTGCCCACGACGTGGCAAACCCTGGGCTACAGCTTGGGGACGCTGTTGTGAAGGAGACAGATGGGGCCATGGCCCCTGGAGCTCATGCTTGGGATAAGGTCTGGGGAAGGACTGGGATAAGGGTCACTGCACTGACCTGAGGACATGGCGGGTCAGGAATGCACGATGCCACTGCCCCCTACCTGCTGTGTCACCCAGGACTGTGCCCCCAGAGCGCTAAGCGGTGTGGTGGGGCTGAGGCCTCCTTGGAAGCCATCTGTGCAACATCTTTGTTTTAAAAGATGAAAAAAATGGGCCAGAGAGATGACAGAACCTGTTGAGGGTTCCAGGTAGGCAGTGACAGTCCAGAAGAGCGTCCCTCCCACCACCTCACGCTGCTACCAGCAGGTGAGAGAACGGCCCGACTCCAGCAGAGTTGCATCTGGCTCCCCCACTGAAATGGCCAAACCAGAGACCCAAGGAAACTGACTCTCGGACCCCTTTCTACCCCACTGTCAGGAAAGAGCACCACAAGGAAATGCTCGAGGAGTGGGTCCCCCAGCATGGACCGTAGCTGCTGGTGACGACCTGGTGACCGCATCGTAGATGCACAGGATAGCACCGCTCCTCACAGCCCCAGGCAGGGAGGTGGCGTTTTCCTTAATTAATATGATTCACCCAGGAGGAGGCCAGGCAGACCTGAAGGCAGGTTGTCTGGAAGTGGACAGAGACGGCCAGTATCCTAGAACAAAGCCTGCGGAGCAGGCCGCCTGTGGTCCCAGCCCAGAAGCAGGGTGTGTGCACGCAGGCCCAGGGTACAGCCCGCTCCTCCTGGAGCAGCCCCGAGAGCACGGGAGCCAGGCAGGAGCCTGAGACGAGGGAGGTGCTCTTCATGGGACCCTTGGGCCTGATTCCAGCCTTCCCTGGCACTCAGAGTGCGCAGGGGCGTGTAAGCGCCACCAGAGGGTCATCTTCAGAGTGGTTTCCTCATGTTTGCCTCTCCCAGGAACATGACCATGGATTTGGTTTTTAAAAGCCTCAGCAATTTAGTCCATGTGACAGAGCAATGCATGCTTTTTGCCAGAGAACATAAACTTAACCGAAGCACTAAATGCTCCAAACAAAGCAAGATTCAGGCAGCAGATTTTGACGAAGCAAAGGGCTGATCCTGAGAAAGGCTACTGAAACAAATTCTTCTCACTTAATGGGTGCCCCCAGGGGCTCACAGCATACCTGGAAATGCTAAGAAGTGGCGCGATTACACCTGATTACACCGCAACTGGATCATCAGCACATGCCCCTGTGCACACCCATCACCTCCATATTTGATGGAACAATTTGTCAGGCCGGAGACTTGGACATACTGGGTGTGGCGCAGCCTGGGTGCCACACCCACACCGCCACCTCAGGACAAAGGGCCCCGGGGTGGGTCTGCAGAGTGAGGCCACGGCTGGCTCACTGCTCTTGCTTGAACAGTCACCCTGACGGGGTCTTGGTAGCACCACGAGCCACAGGCATGTTTGTGGCTCGGGGCAGCAGGTACAGTGGGGCCTGAGAAACTGCTACACTGCCATCCTCTCCGCCTCGACTGGGCAGGGCAACTGGCAGCTGCCCTGATTTTTTTTTTTTAAAGATTTATTTATTTATTTATACATGCACTGGGTACAGTCAGAAGCGCGGGAGGGGGAGAGAATTCACCAGAGCCAGAGCGGGGAGCAGAGCAGGCAGAAGGACCGAAGTACACTGCTGAGGGGAGCAGCGGGCGGCAGGAGAGGTCTGCGCGCCATGTGGGACCCTCCTCCGGTGGCCGGGGAGCAGCCGGGGATCGAACCGGCGCTGCAGAGGCTGCGGGCAGCTTTGTAACCCAGCGCTCAACTGCTGCGCCATGCCCTGATTCTTAATTACAACTAGAAGCAACCTGCTGCTAGGTCACCCCGTCTCTCGGCCTCTGCTGCCCACCTGGCAGCTGCCTGGGAGGTGCTGATGGTGCAGCAGTGATGCAATGGGAAGGATGAGCAGAACGAGGCTGCAGGGGGAGCATTTTCTTGCTCTTGCCACCTTTCCCTCATTCCGAGCTCATCTCTTCAGGAAAGAGGGCCCTGAATGAATGAAGCAGTGCATGTGAGGTGCGCCCCATGGTGGCAGGATGGGGCTATCACCCCACTGGTCAGTCAGGCAGCTCTTGACACCCTGTGGCCCCAGCGGCACCGTACCTTGGCTGGTCCTCAGAAACCCCTCTCCTCGGTCACCAACCAGGTCAGAGTCAGATATGCCAGGAACGCTGACTAAATGCAGGGCTGGGGCCAGGCTGCAGGGAACAGAAACCCAACCCCAGGGCCAAGTCCCGAGTTGCCAGTGAGGCAGAGTGAGGAAGGGATCCTGGGGTGCAGATCTCTACCAGTGCCAGGCAACTTCAGGAGCACAAGGGTGGAGCAACTGTCTAGAGGATGCTCCCTTCAGCCTCATGGAAACAAGACCACCCATCTTCTGTGGGGGAAGCTGGGCCCAGCTGCTGTCAAGAGCCTCTAGAAAACCCATTTCTTCCCATGGCAACCTCTGCCTCTCACGGCAGCACCCCTCAGTTAAGCCAAGAGGCACGAGGTTCAGCTGGCCGAGTTTGCTGTAGATGGCACAAAATCAATTCCCACCCAGTGGCTTGGAGCCCTGGGCTGAGGGCTCTGCGAGGAAGGGGCAGGTGTCATGCCCTCCTCACATCACAGCGGGGAAACCAAGGCCAGGCAGGGAAGGTCACACGGTGTATTCCAAGATGGCTGAGGAGGATCAGGACTCTAGTCCTTGCTCTTGGTTCCTGCCCCAAGGCCCCACCTCCCCATTTTCTACTTAGAGCAACAGAATGGACTTGCCAGCTCCATGTGGCAGGCGGTGTAAACACCGTGGTGCTGAGGGAGGAGGGGAGGGCGCTCATTTGGCAGCAAGACACCCCCTCCCCATGGGGATTGCTTTTCTCCACCTTCAGGTCAAGTGAAGACAAGCACAGGCTGATCCTCAGAGCTCCGCCCCTCCCAGATCTGCCCCAGGAACCCTACATCTGATGGGGGGGGGCACTCTCCCTGAGGAATGGTGTCTACACTTCTACTGGGTGGCCACAAGGGGACAAGGCTGCCAAGCCCGTGCCTCTCAGTTCAGTTCCCTGCTTAGCGGTGGCAACTAATTAGTGAGTGGAACAGAGACACAGTGCCAGGGCGAAGGCCCCTGACACACTCTGCCCTCCACACATAACTCAACTTGCCCACCTCAGACCACCCGCCCTAAGCACCAACTGCCATCCTAGGAGTTCGTTTCAGCTCGCCCCTTCCACACACGGGGAGAGACTCAGTAACGAGGACCTGGCCAAGGTCACAGCCAGGTGGGGCAGACTGGGGTGCCCCTTCCAGCACTTTCCCCACTTTATGGCATTGTACCCATCCCCAATTTATGGCACTGGCAGTTTCTATACTTGAGAATGCGCTCATGGCCTCTGTGCCGGACCGTCCGTTCCCAAAGTCTGCATTGCCTTTCCTAAAGGGAGAACAGGGCGAGGCCTCTACCAGGCACCTGATGAAACTGCTTCTTGCCAGTCCCAAGGTTCAACAGCAAACTGCCTCCCCTGGGTAAGCGTGGGGTGAAGAGGCAGCAAGAGGGAGGCGGGAGAGCGAAGCCGGCTGGGAGGTGGGCTGGGAGCAGCCGGCCCTGGTGGGGAATGCCTGCCATTCCTCAATCTGTGCCCACACAGCCGGGATCTTCCACCCACCAGGAAAGGGAAATTGAAAGCATCCCCATCCGACCATGTGAACATGGCCCAGAGATGGGGGGATTAGAGGCCGAGCCCCCTGGGGAAGGCTGGGGGCGGCAGGGTGGCCATGTGGAGATGTTCTTCATCAGAGGACAGGAAAGCTGCAGTTTCCTGTTTCCGGTGCTGGGGTCCCTGGGAGCTTCTCTCCTGGCAAGAGGAGGCAACAGGCAGTGCCGGTTTCATGTGGTGGGAGATCGCATGTCGGCCGAGGGATGCAGCACAGCCAGGCTGGGTAGCCAGGCGGCCAGGGGGCTCATGCAGAGGTCAGGGGATCTGTTGCAGAGATGGTGCCACCCCCTCTGCCACTCACCCACCTTCCTGGCAGGTGGTGGGCTGCTCGGGTGGTGGGAAGCAGCCGGGATTTCTCTCCATTTGGCTCTAAAAGCCAGGCATCAGATTTCAAGGCCGCCTCGTTGGTTGTGAAATTGAGAAGGGAGTCAGTCCCCCAGTTCTCTGAGATGGTGTCCCCTGCCGAGCTCTGCCAGCCGTGGGTGTCCATGGCAGCCTCCATGGCAGTCCCTGGGACCCCTTCAGTAGAGTCAGCTCGGCTCGTGGCCCTTTCCACCCAGCTCGGACCCCCCTACAAGCAATGGAGTGTTTTCTGACACCACCCTTCTGGGCCACCAAACTCAACGCCAGCTCTCATATGACCTGAAGGTTGAGCAGGGCCGAGGAGGCAGAGGCCCAGGGAGGGACTGGGGTCTTCCACACCGACCGCCTGGCCATGGCTGTGTCTCCAGACAGGCCGGCTTAGAAAGAGCTTCTCTAACCCCGCCCCTGGGACCCAAGCAGGGAGTAAGAGCTCACCAACCCCAGCACCAGGGGCTGCAGGATCAAAACCTGCTCCCTTCATCTCCCTCCGGGCCCCGATCCAGGCTTAAAGGTAATTAAGCAGAGCCTCATTACCCTGGCCTGGTGAGGCAACTGCCAGGGACCACCACAGAAGAGGTAATAAAGTGCAGCTGCGGGCTGGAGCAGGAGTCTTTCTAGGTCACAGCCTGTTTGGGAGAGGCTGGGGAAGAAGATGAAGTGATTCGGAAGCTTCAAGGCAACGCTGCTGTCTGTCCCGAGGGCCCACCCCCTTCGGGGACGCAGGGAATAGGCCTGTCTGATCACTGACCAGCGCCTGCCTGACAGAAGATGAGTCTCACAGAAGAATTTTTGACCCTGATAGGCCACGAGTTAGGGGACCTTCCCAGGCGGGACACCGCTGCTGCACCCTCCCCATGTGTGGCCTCCCCCACATTTCAAAAGCTGAGTGCTGCAGGCAGCTGCTCTCCCAATCCGGATGAGAGATGAAAGGCCTAGCTCATCTCCGCTGAGGGCTGGCCAAGATCTCTGCTAGCTCAATTCAGCGAGCTCTGGTCCCACTGCCTTTCAATCAGGAACAAAGGCAGAGTGGCAAAGGTAGCAGGGAGCAGGGCCAGTGCACGGAGGGATCACAGGCCCTGTGGGCATGGCGTGTGCCTGGGCAGCTAGGGTCCTCTGGAGGGACCAGGAGTCAACCCTGGGGCCACAGATGGTGTGGCTGGACTGCCCACTGAGCTTCCTCTCATCCCCCTGGGCTCTGGGGACAGGCTGCCAGAAATGATATTCAGGCCCCAACCTCTCTTCCCAGTAAGTGCCCTGAGGCCTGTACTCCCGAGCTGACCTTTACTCACTTTTTCAAAGGTTCAATCACAGTCTTTTGGATCTGGTTCACCTGTCAAAAGAAAAAACCAATGGCATCAAAAATGGGAGGAATTCAAACTCTCCCCAAAGGGGGAGGTTCCAACTTCCTAAGGAGAAAAAGGAGACCCTGAGAGCCACAGGCAGGGGGAGAGAGGAGCAGGGCAGGGGCGTGGGGTACCTCTGACTGCAGCTGGAGTGAGGCAGAGATGACGAGCAGCCAGTGTCTGCCAAGACTGACAGCGGCCACGCTCAATGAGGAGCGCTGGGTGGGCATCTCTGGAAGGACATCTCTGGAAGGACAGCGGGGCTGACCTGAGGCCCTCTCATGGGCTCATGTGCATGATGTAAGCTCACAGGAGCCGTGGAAAGCAACCGGTGCCAAAGCCAGTTGGCCAAGGAGTTCACACAGGCTTGGAACATAGGCCTCAGAAGGCTGAGGGCACCAAAATGGAGACTGAGCCTGGTAAGGACTCAGGTAGGTGCCTCACCCAGACAGAAGTCATGAGAAGGGGGAAACCAAGATCGCAGTCACCTTTTCCTGGTTGAAGGCGTCCATCCGCTTCATGGCTGTGTCCAGAGCTGTCACCATGTTCAGAAAGTCCTGGTCTTGCTCGCAGAGGGGGTTGGAGAGTAAATCCAAGGAGATCTTCACAGCAGATTTGGACATGGCTGTAAGAAGTCAAAGCTGAGGGAATGTCCTGACCTCCAGATCTTGTCCCCAGGACTCCCTGTACTCCCCTGGTTGGGGGCCTGTACCCAGATGACCCCCCCGTGATCACAGACATTAGTCTGTGCAGTACTCCCCACTGCGGCTGCTCTGGGCCATTCTTTTCAGTAGCTTTACCTGTTGGGACGATTTAATTTTCCAAACTCTGGGTTCTGACAGAATCATGTGGGTGGGAAGGTGTAAGAAATGCAGATTTCTAGCTCCAAAGATTCTAATTCAGTAAATCTGGTACCCAGGAATGTGCATTAAAAGGAAAAAGCTCCAGATGGTTCTGCTGTGCAGTTGGGTCGGAAACTGCTAGAGCTGAGATTTTAGACTCTGGGGCCAAGTCTGGCCTTATTGGTTTCTGTTGCCACTACTCAACTCCGCTATATCAATGCTAGAGAGTGGGTGTGGATGTTCCAATAAAATTTTATTGATATAGTTGCTAAGGTAAGAAATTGTATTCCTGAAACCTACATAGTAGTGTACACTAACACTACCTCAACAAAAAGAAAAAAAGTTTCTTAGTCTAGTAAAAGGAAAAAAAACCAACACCAGAACAACCTTGATTGACAAGCCAAGGCCAGATTTGGCATGGTGAGGTGAGCTTGGCAATCCTGATTTCAAGGATCTACAGCAGTAAAAAGACATTCAAAACTTGTTTTCCCTGAGACTGGTGCAGACATGATCTAGCAAGCATGGCCCTTCTCTCTCTGTCCCTCTAGAATTTTGTTTGCAAATAATAGAGACCTGAAAATGTATACAAGACCAAGAACTCCAAAGCTGTGAACAGGTTTGCATCCTGCCTCTGCCAGGGTTCCATGCATCCATTTCTCTCTTGGAGTTAAACAACCCAGGAGACCTTTGGGGTAGATGTATTTTGGTTCCATTCTACAGAGGAGACAAATGAGGTTCAGAAGTGTGGAACTCTGCCCAGGTCAGACAGCTGCAAGTGTCGGGCTCAGACTAGATGTTGGGCCCTGCTCTCCTGGTGGTCTGGCTTGGAGAGAGCAGTGGGCAGGCCCCACGGGGCCCTATGGGGCGACTGCCGCCCTCTGTAGTCTCCTTTGTATGTTTCCATCCCTGCTCCACAGATGGGGGCCAGAAGTTAAAGGGCCACTCAGAGGCAGGATGCAAACCTGCTGGCAGCTTTGGCTGGCTTGGTCCCATACAAGTTTTCAGGTCTCCATTATTTGCAAAGTTCTAGCAGAGCAGGAAGAGATGCTGGAGAAGGGCCAGGCTCGCTCTGTAGCTTCCACACCCATTTCAGAATCCCAGGGGAAACAAGTTTTTGAACGTCTTTCTTACAACGTTATGTGATGGAATCTAAGATGCTACCAACTGCTAGGCCACTGTTACTGTGTAAACAAGTACGAAAGGGGAAAAGGCTGCAATTAAACCAGGACACACTACCGAGCAGCAAGGTGCCTTGATTTCAGGAGCTAAACATGAAAAACTATCTTAGAATCTGTGAAATAAGGCCCAGCTCCCAGTTAATTACAGACATGGCCTTGCCTTCCACAGTGAGGAGCGAGGAGCCAGCTGCTCCAACCCTGCGCGAGGCGGGGCCTCTCCCACTCCGTTTTGAGTGGGAGAGACAGAAACCCGGGGGCCCCTCCACACCCAGGCTGGTTGGCAAGCCAGCAAAGAAGCCCGCAGGGGCTGATGGGCCGCCTAGAGGGCCGTCCTGCAGTTTCTCTAGGGCAAATTATGGGACTAAGCTGGAAATAAGAACTTCCTACAAAAATGGAGGCAATGGAGAAAAAAATCTTCAAGATCTGTGAAGTGACGTTGGAGGCTCAAGAACAAACATCATGTGCAACTTGACTGCACTAGGAAATGCTCACAGACAGCTACATGAAAATTAGAATGTGGACAAAGCTGGAAACATTTTTGAGAAATTTCTTCTGTTCCTTTTTTTCAATATTTGAAGGAAAAAACCTGAAAAGTCAGGGGCTAGAAGAAGGTGGATACTTCCACCCCAGTTTGCCTTTTCTGTCTAAAGCCTTCACATCCCACATCTCATGCCTGGTCTTTCTTTGTTAGAACCACATGAAGTCAGCTCACAGGATGCACTCCTCAAGCGATTAACCCTGGGGCACTGTGGGCCTTGAACCTCCAAGCAGCCATCACCACCCCAGGTGAGCCCAGCACGGCACTGTGGCCCCGACTCTTCTGGACCAGCTCAGGAGTGAGCCGTTCAGTGCCCACCTGCCCTTTTTCCGATCCCTAGAGGCCGCAGGAGGCAGCCCTCCGCAGTCTGCAGACAACTGGGGTGGGTTGCTGCCAGTCCGAGGACCAGGGCATGGTGACCCGCGAGGTGGAGAGTAATCCAGCACCAGGGCCATCTGCTCGGCACTCCTAAGTGCACTTACTGCAACCGGCCCTGATGTGGCAGGGGAGGCGAGCGGTGGGGGTGCACCTACCCAGGTCGGCGTCGGCGCTCTTCTTCATGTCCTTCTGCAGCTTTTTGGTTTGCTCTTCCAAACTGCAAGGAAGGGTGCAGACCTCGGTACCTGGCATCGCCAAGCTGCTTTTGGGCCCTGATCTTCCCATCTCCCTAAGTTAAGCCCAACCTGGTGCTCTAGGACAAGGGAAACTGCCCACTGACTGAAGGGCCACCTTGGGTGCTGCAGGAGGCCAAGCACCCAAAAGCTATGAGTTAAGGACTGGTCTATAGTCGCCCATCGGGGGAGAGTTCCTGGCAGGTGGTGCCCTGAGCTCTCCTGGGCTCCCCTCCCAGGCTGCTGGTGGACAGACAGCCGCCAATGAGGGGTGGCGAGCAGACCAGGTGGATTGGAGGCCGAGTGGCTCCTGCCTGCTTGACCTGCCCCCTGCCTCATGCTTCGGGGGTTTGACACTCACTGCTGGAGTTTTCCATACTCTCTTTCAAAGTCTCTCTCCACCTGTAATGAAAAAGATAACTCAATCATTGGAGAAATGACACCACTTCGGAAAAAATCTGCCATTCTTCTGTAACCCTCTCCACGCCCTCCCCCGACCGTGGAAAACACTGTCGAGTTCATACAAGCAGCAGCGGGTCGTTACTGACACACAGCCCTGTTCCCCAAAGTAATGAAGCATCTGATTTAGGGTGCAAGACTCCTAGATGGGCCAGTCTGGGAAGTCCCAGTGCTTTTCCCTAATCACAAGAAGCGAGGTGCTGAACTGGGCCCCTTCTCCCCCCATCCCCTGTGTGGCAGGTTAGGCAGGTGCTCAGAGAGTGACTGAAGCCCACCCAGAGAGGCGGCAGGGTGCAAGGGAAAGTGGATTCGGAGTGTGGTACCAGCTCTGCCACCCAGCAGCTCCACGGCCAGACCAGTCACCTCTCCCTCATGGCCCTGGGTTCTGTACAGGTCCCACTGGCCTGCTGGGTCAAGGTGGGTGCAGAAAGATCACTTATTTGTGCTCTGTGCTCTGGGATGTACCACACCCAAGTACTATTACTACTGACTCCGGCAAGGCTCTCTAAATTCCTGCTTGGTCACCAGGTTGCCCAGCGGCAGCGATATTTAAGTGGAGTGGGTGTAAGTCCTGCACCCAATCCTACCACCGACATGCCCGGTGAAGTGAAGGAAGTCACTTGCTCTTCAAGTGCCTGAGTTTGCTCATCTGTACAATGGGCCTCAGCAATGGTCTCTCAGGGAAGTGGCCTGTAAAGCAGCGGTATCTGAAAGGCTCCAGGCCTCTTTTTGCAATTCAGGATCCCTGGTCAGAGCAGTACATGTCCTGTGACAGGGGACCTCTGAGAAGGGAACCTGTACCACTCTGGGAACCCTCACTGTGTGCTTCTGAGAACCCACAACTCAGTAGGTGAAGTCACAGCCCTCACTGTACTGAGGTCACCAGATAGCAGCGCAGTCACCTGCCTGCGTCACACAACTAGTGGGCGGAAGAACTGGTATTTGAATGCAGGTGGCCTGGCTCCAAGGCCTGTGCAATGGTCATTCTGCCAAAGAGGGAAAAAAGGAATTTGCTGATGAATTAACACCACGACCTAAGAAAGCTGCCCTCTTGGCTGCGACCCTGAGATAACTGCCAGCAAGAGCCCCAAACTCTGACTCTCACTCTTGTTACTGGTTGAAGGTCAAGAAGTGTGCACCTGCAGAAATTATTGAAGTCCTACTGTTCACCACCACACCCTTCTAGCAACAGTGACCCCACGGAGGACTATTCTGAAACCCCACAGACCCCTTTTTCCATATTTGGACTTAGGTATATTCAGCATAGTCAGAAATTGGCAGAACCCAGGCCAATTATGTCACACATGAGGTGAACATGATCTACCCCTTGGTCCCCATATGATTTAGGTCTAGACACAGGCTAGTTAGTGGTAAAGCAAGGCTAGAATCTGGACTCCTAGGTTAGCACCCCCCCCGCCACCATTTTAAAAGCTATATCAATTCCTTAAAAAGAAACTATATTCATTCATCCTACAAGTATTTATCAAGCACTTATTAAGTGCAGCACATTCTGCCAGATCCCAGGGGCACAGAGGAGAATGGAACAGCTGACGTGGCCCTCCTGGTGTGGGTGATGACACCACTGCAAACTGGAAAGCCCTGTGCAGCGCAGCCAAGGGTGCAGGGCCTGCATGGAGAGGTCTTGCCTTCTTCACTTGAACTGTAAAATCTAGAGGTAGGAACACATGGACTTTACTTTCTGATCCTCTTTTCAACAGGTCTGCTCTTTCTCCATCCAGGAATCCAGTCTTTTCCTCATCTTTTCCTTATGATCCCTCAAAAGGTGTTCTTCAGTAAAAATTCAAAATTCATGCCCACTAAAGTGTGAATGTAAAGTGATGAAAGTTTAAAGCATTAGCTGTCCCAGAGGATTTGCAGTTGCACAGGAATCAAAGTCTTAGTTAAAGGACTGCAAAGCTTCTGTTGCCACTGAAGGTGGGAGCTTGGTTTTGGAGCCAAAGGGCTTTGCCCAGGCCCTTTAAAGTCTGCACTGCGGTGTTAATCTAGTCCATTCTCCAACAGTGCCAGGGAGGAAGGTGGTGTGGAGAGATGAGCACAGACAGATGACATAGAAGCTCTGACACTTGCTGTGGAGCCTTAAAAATATTACCTAACATTTCTGAGCCTCAGTTTCTTTCCTAGTGAATAGGCTGGATTACACTTTGTCTTCCCCATGTAAATTGCAGGCGGCTGACAAGGAAGCAGAGATAACAGCATCAGCCTCCTTGTCTTGTCTGGAGGACTACTGAGGGGGCTGTGCAGTGTGTGGTGCGAGGTGCCTGACCCAGGCAGAATTTCCTGGTTCCTCTGACACCCTGGGATGCGGATTGGTCTGTAAACCTCTCAAAGGCAAGCAGCCATGGGCAGCTGACGGCTAGGAGAATCCTGATTCTGGCTAAGCTTGCAGCCCTGTACTGGGGCTGCACTGGCCTCCCTGCATTGGACACATATCTTTTTGACTTCGTATGAAGTGACAGCTAAGCAGAGTCTTTACATATTATTTACTTCCAAAAAGGCAAAATTAAAATGAAGGAAGCCTTGGATGGAATCCAGCTTTCCTGAAGATCAAGTACACAGAGAGAAGGCACTCTGGGAGGGGAGGTGTGAGGGCCCTCCGAACCACTGGAACCACAGCCCTGCCTGGCCGTCGGCACCTCTTGTGCAACCCCAAGTGTGCGGCTGTGTGTGGGATGTCAGTGAACACCTGGGCTCCCTGGCTGGGGACTGCTTGGACTTGCACAGGGAGGACTGCGGGCTTCCAACTGAGTTGGATCACTTAGCTTGATGAGATACCCAGGGCCCCGCACTGGAAGCTGGGAAGGATGGGAGCTCCATCCTTCTTTATACCACCCAAGGCCATCCGACAGCCTAAGAGAACTTTGTGAATGTTTCAGCTCCTGCTTCTGGCAGCCAGGTATGGGCTGCTTCTACAGCTCACTGGTTCTGAGCTTTCTCCTCCACTGGGGGAGATGGAAGGGGGTCACCGCCAGGATCCTAGCCCCTCAAATAACAGCTAAGGGAATAGAGAGACACAGGAGTCTCATTCCCAGGCATATCCATTCTGAGGGCACGAGCCAAAAAGAGAAGATCTGAACATCTTTGAATGCTTGATACCTTTGCCAAAAAGCCAATTGGACCCCAGTCAACAATACAAGTGTAAACACATGTGCACGGCCATCAGAGGGGCAGGGCAGGCCAGTCAGGCTGGTGAGGTCAGCGCAGGGAGACCCAAGCACTTGGTGGGGCTGGGGGAGCGGGAGGGGATGAGCAGGTTAGGATGGGGAGGTAGAAAGTTTTTGTTCTCCTGTTTCAGTTCCAATGGTCAGCCCCTGCAGAGGACATGCCAATCCAGCCAAAGCCTTGACAATAATGGAATCTGCATTAATAACCTGGGCACAGAAGAGTGAGGGCAAAGACACAATGCTTTCTTTGTGTCTGACAGATGGGTGCCTTGAGCCAAAACCTCCTGAAACTCCCTGAAGATAACATGAGCATTTCTTCCCATGACAGGGGAGCCATGACTTCCAGTAACCCAGGCAGACACATCTGCTCCTCTCCCTGAAGGTGCCCAGGCAAGAAGAGCAGAGTGCGTCACCCTTGTTCTGGGGCAGCTGCTGGAGATGCTGAGACAACCACACGGCCCCGGCCTGTTCTAGGGGCCGGAGGAGGCTTGCAGCGGGGAAGACGAGGCTCCAAAGTGGCAGGCTCTTGCTGCACACACTTCAGAGCCTCTGGGGAGTTGAGAAAGCAAGTAATTCTATTCCAAGCTGTAACTTGGCTTTGATTCCTTATGAGAGATCAAAGGCCTCGCCTGCTATTTCATCGTGCTGGGGAATCCAGCTGCTTGGGACAGGCTGAGTTCTTGGTAGTTTATAAAGAGTCTAATCAACTATCTTCCTGCAGTGTAGTTAATATTTACTAAGGCCCTCTATCTGCCAGGCGCTGTGCAAAGTGCTTCACAAGACATGAGTGACATAAGTACTAGTATCATCCTCATTTTACAAAAGAGAAACTAAGGCTCAGAGAGGGGAAACTAAGTGATTCAGGCCATAGAGAGCACACAGCTAGCCAGGATGGGAATACAGGTTGGGGGCTCCCCAAATCCGGCTTCTTAGCCACCACCTGCTGCCCGGCCCATCAGAGGTTGCTAAGGACACAAGTCAGAGGACAATTCCATCCCAAACAAGATGGAGCATGGAAGGGAGAGAGGTTTGGGGCCCCAGAGGATCATCTACAGGCACTGAAGGTTTTCTCAGCTTGTGCATCTGCCCATCCCCTGGGGAGTCCTCAGATGAGCCACTCCCCAGATGAGAAGACTCAGAGATCTTCCCATCAACAAGTGCTGGCAACACAGCTGGAAACTGCATTCTAGACTAGACTTTTCTGCAGAGAACACCATTTTGATAACGAATGGGGGGTTAGGAGGGTTTCATTTTGTTTTTGTTTGTTTGTTTGTTAGTGAATATTGCCCTAGAGAGGACCCTCTCATCTGCCCTAGATTAAACTCTAGAGACTCAAAGCCACACCCCTGTTTCCTGCACCCACTAGAGTTCACACATGCATGCCCAGATTTTCTGCAGATTCATGCAGATGCTCAGCGTCTGCACCCCGAGTCTGTCCAGGGCCTGCCTTGATTGAAATTGGGAGGGCTCCTCTAGCTGGGCCCATTTCCTCCAAGGAACTTGCCTTGGGATTGCCAAAGATAGAACCAGATGAGTGGAGATGCTGAGACAACTTCCCGCCAAAATGAAGCAGTTTCATCTGAGGTTCTGAGACCCGAGGAGGGCTGAAGCTATGACACTAAGGAGAACTGTCAGGGCTGGGATGACAAGGGCCTCCACAAGGCTGACAAAGCTGCACTTCTGGAGCCCTCACAATGAGCAAGGGCCGCAGAGACTATGGTCTCCTATGTTAAGACAACAGCCTCATTTGGATTGCAAGGGAAGGGCTCGAAGAGGACATTCTTTACCAGAGTCTGCAAACCTTGGGACATCTTTGCAGCCGGTGTGAGGTGGCATGAAGCACTGGAAAGAGAACTGAGCAGAGGATCAGACTTGTGCTCTAATCCCAGATCTGTTGGTGTGAGATTTTTATAGCCTGAGAAAGACACTACAACTCCAGGGGCCTTGGTTTCCTCATCAGGAGGTTGGACTACATGATGTCTAAGAGCTTCCACCTCTAATTTTCTAAGAATCTATGACTCTCTTCCTCTCCATTCTGGACATAAGAGAGAAATTAAAGGCTGCAGGTTCACAGGTGGGTTGGGGTGGGATTCCATCATCCCCCCCATTTCTCTCTGGGTGGAAAGCAACCTGGATGTCTAGAGACGATTTCCGGCCCTTTCCGCAGCTGAGGGTACTAGAGATAAAGGCCTGGGACATGTCCTTGGCAGGAATCCCTGTTTCAGAAGCCCTCGCTGGAAAGTGCAGGCCCCAGAAATAGGCAGCGTATTCCTCCTCGCCTTTGCAGTCTGCCTCTTCTACCTGCCAAGGAGAGGGGAGTCGAGGCTGACTGAGGGAAAAGCTCCAGGACAGGAGGCTCCTGCAAGCCCCTATCTGTGAGAGGCTCTAGGACTACATGATGGAAAAGAGGGCCCAGGGGCTGCCTTCTGAGCCCCAGATGTGCTGAGTCAAAGCTCTGCTTCTATGCTTTGAAGCCCATGTGAGACAGAACTGAGTGTCAGAAGGAAAGAATCAGTTACTCACTGTTTTGGAGACAATCTGTTTCTTGGGCTGCGCAATCTTGAAAGGAATCCTAAATGAGGAAGAGGCAAAGAGGGATGTTAGGAGAAACGGGGAAGGATGTGGCTGAGAAGAACTGATGAAGTACAGGCCATCCCCCCCAGGAGGGGCAGGAAGAGTGGCGCTGGCTTGCTCGCTGGAGCTCAGTCTACGTGCCCTACCCTGTGGGTCCAGGACCACAGCAGCCAGGCTGGGTTCCAGGAGCGCAACCCTCCCATAGACAGTGTCAAGCAAGGCCCTGGGCAACACCTTCTGCCCAAGCGGCACTCCTTGGGCAGTCTGTTGTCGAAGTGCATCGCCAGGGTGAGGGCAGGAGGGAAGCTACTGCAAGACGGCAGGAGTAACAGTCACTATAAACCTTGTGTCCTGAGCAGCTCAGAAGGCAGAAATGCCCGGCTCACAGGAGAGCTAGCATTCTCAAGAACCTGCCTGAAGAGCACCATAAAAACCATGAGTTGTCTGTAATAAGGGCTTCACTACTTCTCCACAGAGGAACAAATTGTAGATCTTGGGTGACTGTGGAGAAACAAATTGTAGGGGCATTAAGGATCAGCCAGGCTGGGTTATTTCCCGGGAGAATAGCAAAATCTAAACATGGCAAACTGGGAGAAGAATCTGAAATCCTGCCCAAGTCTGCCTTGAACTTGCTAGGAGGCTTGGCACCGCAGTTTCCCACTTAGAAGTGGAAACCCGCTTGGCATGATGGCAGGATCATGGCTAGGAGTCAACCTGGGCACTAACTGCCTCCGCGCTGATGAGCAGGCCATCCTTAACTTCCTACTCAGTGAAATATGGGGTTAAACTTCAGAAGCTTCCTCAAGGCAGTGGAAATACCATGGTTCTAGAGCTCTGAGAGGAAAATTATGGCTGGGTCAGAAAGCAAACCGTGCGCCCCAACAGCCGTAAAAGGCGGGCTTCCCCCCACCGGGTAGGAGTGACCTCAGCACCCCGGGGTCAGGGTAGGGAAGTGGGAGCAAGAGGAGGGCCCTGAGGGCACAGATCAGAGCAGCCACTCCTCCCATTTTTCTTTTAGCACCCCTGAACCTTCCAGCCCACCAGGTCCAAATCCCATCCCTTCTCCCAGAGCCTGGTTTCTCTGGGTCCAAAGTGACCCACACTCTTGCTAAACCCAATGGTATAATTAACCACCGATAATAACCCCAGACAACGATCCGGTCGAGAGGATCGGCCAGCCTGAGTCACAGCGGTTTAAATTTAATTTCTGGAGGACATCCTGTTTATTGTTAACCCAGCCCCGTAATTTGGGCGCATTAACCCTTTCGGGGTTAGCTGATTCACGTGGCTTCTGTAAACAAATAATCTCTGGCTATATAATTACCAGGGGAAAGGTAAGCAACAGAACTGAAAAGGAAAGACAAAAATGAAGCTTCCAGTGCCCTTTGCAGACCTAGAGGGGAAAGTCTCGAGGGGAGAGGCGCTCCTCGGCCCGCCCACCCCGCCCTTGGGCCCCCAGTTACTTTTCCAAAAATCAGGGATTGCATCTGACTAACACGATGGTTTTGGACAGTGAACAGTTGCCCTCGAGGGCCATTCTGGTGACCGTGCAAACGAGGCCCTGGCGGCACTGGGAAAGGATGGAGCGTGCTCTGCAGGGAGGCTGCTGTGGCACACAAAGCTCTCAAGCAGCAAGCAGAAAACCTGGCTTCTGCTTTGGAGCAGTTTGAACAAATTATAACCTCTTTCGAGCTCCATTTCTTAGATGATAAAACAAATGAGTTGGGATAGATGGTTCTTCAGCTTATCTAAGACTTGAAATTTAAACTGAATCTCTGTTCCAAGTATGTGGCGAGAATTCTCAGAGTGGACTTCAAAACAAGTCTAACTTGGAGTCTAGTGCTGACTAGAAATTAGGAATGGAGATTCCATATTTGTGGTGCCACAGCCGCTCTTAAAATCTTAATTTAGAAGCACAGTATTTTTAGAACAGCAAGTTACCATAGAAATTTTTCCAGTTCAACCCTCTCATTTTGTAGATGAGGAAGCAGATCTGGAATTCAGTGACTAGTCCAGGGTCATTCTGCTGGTTCACGACAGAACCAGGAATGAACAGCCAGGGCTCCTGACTTCTGGTCCTATTTTCTCTCTTGGACTCATAGCTTAAAACTCTTTTCACATGAATTTGTTATACGTGGTTGAAGTAACTAGGAAAAGTCATCTGACCAGAATGCCTAGTCCTAAAATACTGGAATTTAGAAGAGGGTCATCGTTCTTTCAGAGACTGCATCAGCAGGAAGGAGGCTGTGGAAGCGGGAGCGTCTGCATAAGGGAGGGGCAGCCTGTCTGGACTGACCGAGCCTGGTCTCTCCTAACCTTTCCATTGCAGCTATAATTTCATCTTACTATTTTGATTATTTCCCAACTCACCTCTTTAAGTCACATCTCCATCCACTAGAACAATGCTTTTTTTCTTAAATAAACTTAAAATTTACAAAGTTTTAGATTTACAGAACTGTGGAGATAGTACATAATTTCCATATATCCCACACCCAGTTTTCCTTACTATTACCATGTCCTATTAATATGGTACATTTGTCATAACTAATGAGCTAATACTGATATATTTTACAGCCCACACTTTATTCAGATTTGCTTAGTCTTTCCCTAATGTCCTTTTCAGTTCAGGATCTCACCCTGGTTAGCATATTGCATTGTCATTAAATCTCCTTAGGTTCCTCTGGGCTGCCACAGTTTCTCAACTTTGCTTTTGATGACCTCAATAGTTTTAAGGAAGCTAGTCAGGTATTCTATGTGTTCTTCAATAGGTCTGATATTTTTCTCATGACTAGACTGGGACTGTTGGGTTTTGGGAGGAAGAAATCAAGTGCCATTCTGAGTACATCCTACTTAGGGTACTGGACTATCAACATGACTGATTACTGCTGATATTAACCTCCATCACCTGTCTGAGTTGTTGCCCAAGTGTCTCCACTGTAAAGTTACTCCCTGTCTCCCCTCCCAGACTACACCCTTGGGAGGAAGTGACAAAGCACAGGCCACAGGTGAGAATAAGGAATTAGGGCCTCCCTGGTGGCACAGGTGGATGAACGCCATACTGTGAAGCTGTCCACAGCCTCTGCAGCACGGGTTCAATACCCACCAGCTGGCGAGAATCCCACATGGCATGGCAGACCTCTCCCGTCTCGCCCGCTGCTCCCCTTAGCAGTGTATTTCATCAGTCTGCCTGTTCTGTTGCCTGCTCTGTCTCTGGTGAATCCTCTCACCCTCCTGCGCATCTGGCCTGTACACCGGTTCTTGTATAAATAAATAAATCTTTAAAAAAAAAGAATAAGGAATTATAGCGGCCTCTTGGTGGTGCAAGGTGTGAAGATGCAACCTATGAAGCTATCTGCAGCCACTGCAGCACAATTTTGATCAACAGCAGGGGAGCTACCCACATGGTGCAGCAGACCTCTCCTGTCTCACCCGCTGCTCCCCTCAGCAGTGCATTTTGGTCAATCTGTCTGTTCTGTTCCCTGCTCTGTCTCTGGTGAATCCTCTCACCGCCCGCACCTGTGGCCTGTACCCTGTTCTTGTATGCATAAATAAATAAATCTTAAAAAAAAAAGAATAAGGAATTATACTCCATCTCTGTGAGGGCAGAGTATCTGCAAAATTATTTGGAATTCTCTCTGGGAGACCTGTTTATTCTCCCCAATTTATTTTATTTATTTATTTTTTTAAATTTCTCAAAGGGAGGGAAAGTTTATTGCGCCCCGGGAGGACCTCATGCACCCAAGGTGGGGGTCAGTGAAGCCAGGCCTATTCTCCCCAATTTATTCAATCAATCATAGACATCAATATTTATATTAGTCTTCTTTGCATTTACCTAATACCGCTACCCTGATTTAGCTAAGTGGCTGCTCATTAACAGCAACTTCTACCCCCTCCCCAAATCCAGATTCCTTGTAACTTCTTGTCCTGAACTTGGATATTTCTGAGTGCAAAAAAGTCAGTAATAGTGACATCAAACAAAAGCTTAAAACATGGACTGTCCAGGCCAACCAGGGCAATTCCCTCTCCCTGCAGTATGCAACATGTTCCCTTCTTCTGGCTTAATCAAAACTGTTCTTAAGTCCAAACCCTTGCTTACTTTCCTCTAAATATCTAAGACTTCTTTGACATTTTAAAATAGTCTACCTTTGACAACTGATTACAGCTTATCCCTATGAAAAGTAAAAAATGCTCATCAGAGGAAAAAAAAGAGAAACACAGAAATGTATGGGGGAGAGGAGGAGAAGGAAAAGAAGGAATAAAGCCAAAGCAGTCCAGTCTCATATCCAAAAGATAACCACTTTTAATGTTTTGGTATTACTTTTTGTTTTTTATTTGCAGAAAGAAAAACTACCGAAGCAAACACTCACTGTTAGTGGTTAATGTTGGATGGTGAGACTATGATTATTGTTTTCTTCTTTGCACTTTCCATATTTTTCAAATACACTAAAAAAGCCCCTTGTTTTTTTCCTTGACTACAAAAATAACAGTGATCAGTGTCAAAAGCTTGGAAAACACAGAAAAACACAAAGGACACATACACACAATTAACAGCAAAATGCCCTGAGCCTCAATGTGTGCATGAATACATGAATATTTTAACTTTCCAAAAATAAAGGAAACAGATATCATGAACATTTTCCATGCCAATATAGTTCTCATCAACCCGACTCTCAAGAGCTACCTTAATATTTCAGGACACACCTGTACTGCTAGTTTTATTTTTGTAATCTACATAACTTCCTGGCAGTCATTTCAACTCTTTCAGATTTTTCTTCTATTATAAACAAAACTTGCAAATCTTTATGCAGATCAGGATAAATCACATGTGCTAACTTCTGAGATTTGGAGTTGCTGGGTCAGAGGATATATACATGTTCCAGGCTTTGACACATTTTGCCAAATTGCCCCAGAAACAATGAAGCAGTTTACATTTTTTAAAAGACTGAAATAGTTTACATTTCCCCAAAAGGCCTTTGGCCTATGTATTAGGATTCTTTT